TTGTGAAGAAATGTACACGAAGACACTTCGAATATTATAAGAGTCCAAAAAAGGCAGAAGGGGCGCAGGAAAAGGCCCCTTATGCAAAATTAAAAATTAACATTTTGGATAAGTTTATGTATTGATTTTTTTATTTATTTTTGTTATTCAATTGAATTCAATTTTAAAATTCAATTTCAATATCATATGTATGAGAAAATATTAATTGGAAAATTGCAAGAGCTTCTTCATTTTTAGTGATTGGGGTGAAACCTATAGTCAGCATTATCTTGTTGGATTTTCTTTTCTAATATCATCTAGAAACAAAAACCTTGCAGATTGGCGACAAAAGTATTTAAACATAACTCAAGAGCACTGACTATGAAAATACATATGCCTAACAATAAGAAATTGTCTACTTTGTATTAGAAATAAAATTATTAACAAAGCTTTTTGTTCGAGAATTTTAAAATCAGTAACAAATACTTCTGCTATTATATGTGCTAGATAACATAGTAGGCGTCGAAATGTAATCTGACACAAAGAGATGTTACAGGAGACATCTCCGGGTGTTACTGTGTGCCATGCACGTGGTTTTCTGCCATACACAAGTGCTTTATATACTTCTCTCAAAAGAATTTCACTTTCCACCTGGATAGATTTAAAAAAAATGACCTAAAATGAAAAAATTCCTAAAGATAGTTTTATTACTTTTCGAAGAAGGTTCTAACCGAACTATTTTTCCGACTATTTTCTTATACTAACACCGATTTGTAGTTGCAAATGTTGGGCTATAGAGAATTTTTAAAAGTGATATTCATGGCGTCGTTTTGGTAATAAATTTCATTTGTAAAGAAGACAAAAGTCAAAGAAATATTAGTCATTATTTGCAAATCATTCGTAACAAAACGTGAGGATAAGAGTACTCTTCGGTTTATTTGTTCAAACAAAGGCGACTTGTGTAATCTCACATAGATATACCTATGTTGACGTGTAGTACTCGTATGTATGCAGCATAAGCTCATTTCTAGGTTACATACACGCACAGGACACCATCTGGCTAAATAAGGAAATTCCTATTATTATTAATAAATTTAAAAAATGCAAAACATTTGGCACTCATGTTTTTTTGATTTATTTGCTTTCTGAAAAATATTCTCTACTATTATGTTATGTGATTTTTGTAAATCTTTATACTCTCTAATACTAAATTAGATTTATCTTCATTGATAGTTTGTATAATTGTTATCTGCTATTTTTATCAGAATACAAGCCATACCAATGAAAGGTAATCAATGACTTGTTAATCGCAAGTTTTATAATTTAAAGACAATAGATATTTTCCGCAAAATATGATGAAATTCACAAAAACATCACTGTTATCTCTGTCTGCAAATTTCTTTTCTGAACTGCTTTAAAAATCTACTTAACAATGTACTTGAAGTCCCGAACTTTCAATGAACGACTTTTCTTTATTTGCTGCATACTATAAGTGAAAAGTGTAATTTTTTACATACTTTTCATTGCTTTGCTGCGCATAATTTTCACTGCAGCATGATGTACACTATAATCAACATAACATTACATTTATTCATTAAAACAGTATAATGGTAGTGCATCAAGAGCGGAAAGATGTTTTCTATACACGTGGTGCACACGGTGCTTTGTGTACCACCTTTTCATCAAAACTATGCATCAAGAAAAGTATGCAGAAAAGTAATGAAAAGTGTGCAGAAATTAACCACTTTATGCTGCATTTGCACTTTTTCGACCTCAAAAAAAAGAGTGGTTTTCATGAGTATTGTTAGACTTTTCATTAAAACTTATTGTTAAAAAAATGTACATTGCATCAGAATACAAGGTTTTATGAACTTTTAGCAACTTTGATTTTGAAACTTAAAAAATATTAATATTTGTGCGAACTGTAGATGTAGCCCCAAAAAACTTATAAGCGGCTTGCAAAATGTCTTTTCTAAACTGCAGAAGAAACCTTCCTTCGTTCCTTTTCAAAAGAAACTTACAAAATATAACTTTTCCAAACTGAAGAATTTCTCAAGTATAAAAACTCCTTCACAGCTTTCATTTCAATATTCTACAAGTGTTTTCACGTCTCTTGGAGAAAAAAAACAATAAAAAGAATTGATGAGAAGGGAAAACCCGGGAATGTTTAGTATTATGTTTATACTGTAAGGTGAACGTATGACAGATCACGCAGCATTCCTCGATGGCGTATATATAAAACCGGCTTCTTTAACTTCATTTAAGCGAATCTCCAGTGCGTGACGAGGAGCGCTAAAGTCGCGCCGGGACATTTCAAGCGCGTGTGTGGCGCGAGAGAAGCATAAGCATGCGGGAAATAAGCAGCACCGTCTTGAGTTGAAACCACAGTGTTCAATTCTCTTCAGTCCAACGCAAACTGTCTTGCGCGATACTTTTCGTTGTAAAGACGTTTAGTTTTATCCGGTTGTAATCCACTCGACAGCTGCCAGTTCTTTGTGTCCTCAATGTCCTCCGATCGTTTTGCTATCATATACTACCAGTTCTTAAAACATTGTCTGACCTTACTCACACACACATACATGCGGCCGGTACCGTGACCCAAAATAATTTTCCAAAAAAAATATTTCCCGCCCTTCTGAAAGAAATCCCGAAAATAAAGTTTCGAACTTTGAATCTATCCTAACAAGTGTAGTTTCTTATGATATATGAATATCAACAAAATTCTCTCAAGGAATGTGTCTAAAACAAGTGCCGTGAATTATTATTAGATTATGAAACGAACTGGTGTGTTTGCCGCTGGTTGGATACTGGGAATTCGCACTAAAGATTATTTGGTTTTCTTTTGCAATTTAGTGGACTTATGCGTTTGATTATCAATCAAGTGAATCGAGACACGCATTACGATCATCGACCTTGTCCATCATTCGGTAAATTAAATTGCGTCAAGTTCAAAGTTGTCTCGTTGGCAAATCAGCACTGCCAACGTATTGACGATCACCTGCTGCTGATTGGAATTCAAACCAGTTGGCAGCGAGTATTTTTCTCCGAAAGGAAAATTCATAATTGGTGGCCTAAATGCGCGTCAAAGTGAGTGCCAATGTTGTATTACATGCGTGTGTGATACGTGTTCACCTTTAATTTACCTGGAAAGCTAATAAAAGAAATAATATTCTTTTGCAATCACATGTCAGGAATTGTCATATATCATGCTTTTCTCATGGAAAGTTGTACTAAACCTAAAAATATACTTTTATGCACTATGTTTGGATCAAAATTCTAGCATTTTATTTTTGAATCTTTATGCTTAACCTGTAAGCTTGCAGAAAGCTTTCACTGCATGGTTTGCAGCTATGAAAACTTAAAATTGAGTTCGGTGCTAAACACTGTTTACTATTTAATGTAGTACTAATGCTTAAAAATATTTTTTAACTGCTTCAAAATTTCACTGTGAGGTTTATTTACTAAACTGCTTTATATCTGTATACTGTATTCTCTCATTATTTATATATTATGTAATAAATAATATAAAAAGCTAAACTAAATATTTGTACAGTTTCTTCAACGTTTAAATTGCTGGAAAGGTTATGTCCCTGAAGTTAACGTCGAAGACAATTATTCGGGGCTTTTGAGATGAAAACGTAATTTCTTCTTTATTCGCACGAGTTAAGTAACGTTCAGGACCTTCTTTTAACCTAAAAACTTTGAATCAATTTCGATTTTTTCGATTTCGCGAAAAAAATTATCTGCGCGAACTTTACCTCAGCGATAGGAATTCAACAATTGTTTCAAAAGTTTTAGCTTCGAAAAGTACCCGAAACATTTTTTTAACTCCCAAAGCGAATAAAATAATGAAAATTAGTGACACTTTCAAACCCGAAATAATAGTTTTCGACACTGATCATCAACGCGAACTTCAGGGACTCAGCTTAATCAAACATCAGTCAGTCAAAAATTGCAATCTTTGACAAAGTAACATTTTTTTTCCTCGTAACATTTTAAAATTTGCATTGAATTTAGGATATCGATAGATAAAGCTAGGAATATTTTAAAAACATTGAAAATACAAGTGTGAATCATTTGATTTTCCAACTTTGTTTTTCTCATTCGATATAACATGACATCTATTGGCAATAAATTATTATCGCTTCGAAAACTAAAACTTTTCTGATTAATTGAATTAAATGAGTTACCTAAGATTTCTTTTTAATTCACTAATAGACTTCTCTTTCGACAGGATCCGGGTACAAAATTTTATAGCTTCTATACTGCGCGTGGGCGCACCTGTTTTATTAAACAGGCGTCTTTTCTGTACATAATTGTGAAACTTTACTTGTGTATTGCAATTGTAAATGTGCTATTGTACATAGTGCACACGCCCGAGTCAAAGAAACGTAATTGAAGACTTCCTCAATTAAAACCTAACCCAAAATTTTTAAATCAGAACATGTAAATCACCCTTCAAGTGGGATATAATCATGTACCTGTCGGTGATACCTTCATTAAGTTCAAATTATTTCGAGGGTTTTTTAAATTTCGATTTATTCTTTTAATTTTATTAATTAAATACTTGACTAATTAATAATTTAATTACTTAATTAATTAAGTACCTATTGTCAGTTAATTAAATATTTAATCGCAATTAATTTCATTATACTATTCTTTACAAACCGAATTAAGTTTAATTTGAGATTTCGATTTCGATTTCTTTGGCCGCCATTTTGGATCCTCTATTTTTAAAATTTGATAAAGGACACTATTCCTAATTAAAAAAAAAACTTCAGATTGTAAAAAATAATGGAAAAATCATTAAAAATCGAGATTACAGAATGAAGAACCTTTTGTTTTGCCACTCTGGTAATGTTAGTAGGAAATTAACGAAAATTTTCTTGACAAAAGAAATTAAAATTTTTTAAGGACAATTTCTTTTTCATTATCATTTATATTGAATTATGATAAAATAGATTATTTTTAATATATTTTTTTTTGGCAAATAAACATTATTTCTATTTATCTGTTAACAGATGTCGGATTTCCCGGCGGAGGGGGGCGAAAATGGAGACATGCACGCAGTCATGGAAAATTTTCAAAAAAAAAATAACTTGATAGGTGGAAGGACACATGTAACACACACACACCACCCACAGGTCACATCATCTTCACAGGTAATTTTCTTTTCATATTTTAATTGTTAAATGAATTTTGCGAAATATTAAGAATTCAAGATCTTTTACAAACTGAATTTTAAAGTTTTGTTCATCTTTCAGCAACACTTTTGATTCATTTTTTGTCTCAATTTGATATCTGCAGAAAAACTGTGTTTCTATCCAGAGTTCAATTTATAAATATTTATTTATATCCAATAGTTATTCTTGCTTTAAATAAATTGTTTAAAAATTCACTTTTAACACTATATAACCGGTTTTGAATAAATATGTTGATTGCCTATAGTTTTTCATCCCTTCTTCGCACAAATTCAACTATTCAAGAATCAAGTTGTTTTAAATTTAGATCTATATATTTTTCTAAAAATCATTAAACTGTCTTTATAGGGAAAGATTTATTGTCCTATTAGCAGCGAGTATCATTAATCATTATAATTGGGATTCTCGTTCCTTTTTTCAGTTGTAATTAACAAATGAGGTGTAGTCGCTATTATTTTTATATTATTCGTAATCATTGAATGCCTAGCATAGCACGTGTCTGATAGTTTTTATTTTATTTATTTTATTTATTTTGTCTTTTCTTTGACGCCCACCAATTTTCTCAATCAATTCTAAACCCTAAATATAAATGAGAAATTGTTTCTATATTCCTTTTTGTCTTAATAGATTCATTTAGTATGATGTAAACATTTTTATTTTTTTGAATATTTAATGCAGTAATTTAAAAAATAGATAAAATTCTGGATGGCCCAAAGGGTAAAGAATTTTTAGTTATGATATATTTTCTAGAGTAATGAAAGTAAATAATTTGATTACGATTTTGTCGCGTGAATTGAATATTAAAACACTGGCAGTTGATCAAAAATTTCTTGTATTTTATGATATTCCGTGAAAGACGGAGAGTTTGTAAAGAGTGCTACGTCACTTATGAGCTAGTTGAGACTATCTGACTTATATTATTCTGACTCATCTTTTAGAGAATTTTAAATAGAGAGTGAGACTGAAAATATATTTGGTCCAACAGATGCTGACAAATCAGAGCCAGAGCAGCAGTTCGAGCACTACCACCACGAGTAGTACGAGTAGGGTGGCCAAATCCTCGCAGAGGATTCTCACCTCGTCATCAAGTGAAATGAAAACAAGTTGCGTGAAAAAAAATCTTCAGGAAATTCAACAGGGCATGGCCGAAATGAGAAATATCTCGACAAATTTCTCTCACAGGCTACGGAATAGCATGGAAAATCTTGTCGATCGGTAAGTCTAACATTCCAATTAATATTAAGATTAGACAATTGAATAATTCTAGAATGAACATAGACTTAATGAACATATACTTAATATTAAAAATATTAAGTAGTTATATTGAGAATTACTTATCCTAATTGACAGGTCATTATAAAAACCATTTTTGTTACATTTGATCTCTTGTTTCCAGGGACGGAAGTGGGACCGAGGAAGGAGACCTCACAGAGCCTTTGGTAACTTTTCCAGATCCTGACACTCCACCACCTGTTACTGGAACTGTTTCCATTACAGGATCACCGTCACAACTAACCTCTCTAAACAATCTTCACAGTATAAGTCCGCCGTTAAATATCACTAGTATGCCCAGTTTGCCATCTGGCCAAGAGACTATGAAATTTGAGCAGAAAAAAATGACCAGTGCTTCGAAAACAAAGGTACATTATTTTAAGTTTGAATCTTCCTACTCGAAAGACGTGGTTTCGAATAATTCACAGATGATCATTGATCGTAATCAACTGACACTTTCGTGGCACATGTTCACTACTACCATGGTCGAATTCTAACAAGAGTCTTGGGTGCATTAGGAAATGTAGCTTCTCTAATCTTTATTGTCTTAAATTTTTTAATTTTCTGTTAAAGAATTTGACAAATGAGGATCTTATTTTTCAAACTAATTTATCTATTCTGATTATCTACTCTATTTTCTAAGACAACAAAAGGAATCGTTTAAGGCGAACATTTCGAAAATTTAACGACGGATTTATGGTATAACGATGGTAAATCCGTCGTTATTTTCAAATAGTTAATAATCCGTTAAAATTCCTCGTTTACGATTATTCTAACTGATATGCGTTACCTAATCTTGAAAGATAAGTTCTCTAAACAAATCAGTTTGCCTAAATTGACAAAAAACTAATGTCGATGGACAAACTTTTTTCTATGATGAACTGTTTAGTTGTCGACTTTTAGTGGCAAACAGCCAAGTTGCACCTCCATTCATAAATTTTAAAATTTATCGAGTAAGGTATAGAAACTTTCTTTTGACATTCGCTAGCTAGTCAATTAAAATATGAGGGTATCATCTTTCAAAAAAGTAAGTCTAAAGTCAAAATTAATCCATTGTAACCATAGTTCCAATTGTCTACTATCATTGCATGATTTCTTTCTACTTTCGATTTCTTTTTTCTTTCTACTTCTAATGAAAACTTTCTTTCAATTAGAATTCAAATTTATGAAACATTTCTATTAATTAATTTTTAAATGCGGATGAAAAATTGCATTCAATTTAAAATGCATATTTTATTTTCAAATTCTCAAAATTTTTTTTCTAATGAAATTGTAGTTGAAAAGCGAGTTAATTAATTTTAGTTTGTAGAGTATTACACAGAGATTTCTGACTGAGAGGCGTAGCCTTTGAATGGGAAGTTATTTCCTCTAGGTCAAGGACTTGAACTTCTAACACAAAGAAGTGAAGATTCACGATTCGAATATTGTCGCAAGAATCACAGCTTACAGGCGCTTTTACTTCCATTATTACATAAAAATTTTAATTTATTCAGTCCATTTATAAATTCAAATTCTGACAGAAAATTTGACTTCAAATAATAATAACAATAATAATAGAAAATTAGCTTCGAAAACTATTATTAGGAGATTTTTAGAGATGAAATAAATAGCACTAATTTAATATTCTTTTTGACGCTCAACGTCGACACTAACTTCAGGGATTCAGCGAAATTAGAAATTTTAGATACTTTTCTCTAAAAGAACAAAAGCATAGCTCATTAAGCAAATATTAAAATCTGAGGTATTAACTTGACATAATACATATCGGTTATAAATAAGCTTAAAGAATTTAAGATATATATGTAGATACAAGTGTACAAATAAGAAAAGATAGAAATCTTTTATTTGATTGGTAAAGTGGAAGTGTTGATAACGTTTCTTGTTATTTTCAGGTCGTCACGGATGGTTTTAGTGCGGAAAAAGCAATTGCAAACACAGCTGAAATGAGAGCAGTTCAAGCTGGCGATGTATCATATAAAGAACAAAGTGCAGCAAGCGCAGCGAGGGCACGTGTCGAAATTGATGGGGTTTCAGCTGAAAAAAGCGTCGCTGCTGCTAGAGTAAGTAATAATTTTTTCAAAAATAGAAAATTTAATCAAAATTCCACCGCGTTGATTAAAAGTTATAAAAAGTTATAAAAACTTAATTTTATGAATATTTGATTTTTTACCATTTTTTTCTACATCTTTCGTAAATTATCAATTTTTTGTGAAATGTTAGCTTCTACTAGAATTTATAATGATATGTATGACATTGACAATGATTTGACGATTTTGTGAATGGGGAGACCTTCAACCCACGATTTTTATTTAAAATCAGTAAACGCACTTGACAATTGCCTTGGGACTTAAAATTCTTATAGCGTCAGTCTAATTATGTAGATTTGATTCTCTAAAATGTGAAAAAGTAGATAATTTTTATAATTTTATAATTAGTGTAATTATTTGTGATTTTATAATTAGGGGCCGTCCATAAACTACGTAACCAATTACTCAGACTAATTAGACTCCCTCTCCCCCTCGTTACCACTGCGTTAAATGCAATTTTGCAGATTTTTGGACCCCTCCTCCCCCTAAATTGGTAACGTAGTTTATGGATGGCCCCATTAGTGTAATATTTGTATTTTTATAATTTGTGTAATATTTTTAATATTGTAATTATTCGTGTTATTTTCTAATTAGTATAATTATCTATTTCCGAAAGTAATAATCAACTTTTAGATAATTAAATTATATATATTGCCTACTACTTAATATCATTATGATATTAATGTCTCAATTATTTTATTTTTCTTTGCTTTTATTCAATTTTCGTCAAACATTGCGTGATTTTCGGCTATTCGTGTTGTTTTTAATTTTAATCAGAGGGGAAATTAATAGAATTCTTGAAATTCAGAGGTAATTTTTAAAAAAAGCCTCTATTTATTTCATTTTAATAAAAATTTTAAAAAAATCTTTAAGGGTGATTTTCTGAAAAAGGCAAATCACGCGTTCTCAGTATTGTTTTAAAACTTAATTAATAAAAATTCTGCTAGTCTTAATTTTCAATCAAAGAAATATTAAAAAAAATAACCGAGTGGAATGTTAACATCAGATTCCATTCAATATTTCAGTTATTTTTCAATGTATTTGAATCTTTCTTTTGTGATTTGACTAAAAATTGTTAAACTATCTTTGTACGGTTTGTCAGAAATTTTTGATAATTTAAACTTATTTTACTATTTTTGAACAAAAACACTGTCGTTTTTGAGAGAATGACCCTTAAACTTTATGCATATGGCTACTCGCTGATAATTTAATGCTTCAAAAAAATAATTACATATATAATTACATAAATTACGTAAGATTTTTAGGGGAGAGGGGGTCAGCAAATTCTTACGAATAATTGAAAAAATCGCGCTAATATATGTAAAATATCTTACTAGGGCAGAAAGGACGTTAAGCTTTAAAAATAAGTAAACAAAGAAGGTTTTTGCATTACCCTTGAAGAGTCGAGTATTTAAAGTAATAAAACTGTGATAATTTTCATTTATATTCTTTGTGGACACTACAACTTATTAATACAAAATCATTTTTCTGAATGATTTTAACTTTATATGAGTGTCAAGTATATAATTCAGTAACATAATTATTAACAAAGATCGAATTATTCACCAATAATTATTAATTATTCATCAAAGAAGCGAAACCTTCTTACGAATTTCAAAGCATGCGCTTTAAAATGTTAATTACGATTTGTCATTTCATAAGATGGGGTATTTCTTTATACTTTGTTACGATACATCACTTCAATAGTCGAAAGTCGTGTTTAATTCAAAACCGCAAATCTATTTTTGAATAGAAATGCGCATATATTTTAAATAAACATTGTACAAGAGTGTACAAGTCTTTTTATTAATTCTAAATCGCCTTGTTTTTTAGTAGCAAATTTTGAAGCTATCCTATTAATAGCTAAGGGATATTAATAGCTTCCTCTGTATGAAAAATTCTGTGTATGACGAAATGCGTAAAAAATTTATTTTTTAGTAAAAAATGTGAGATAGATTAAAAAGCAGTCCAAAATAACGTGACGTAATTTGTGAACGACTCCCAAAAGTCCCTCATGGAAAAAATGCAGTCAAGCAAAAAATTAAAGACAAGAATCAATATAATTGAAAGAAGACAAGAAGAGTTGTCTCAAAATCATGTATATTAACAAAAATGAGTCACTATAGACATAAAGATGTGTATAGTGTGTGATATGGCAACCACCCAGTGACCTGGGTCGATAAGCAAACACTATATAGGGGCTAGTTCTGTTTTCCAAGAGAGCAGCTCATTTTGTAGTGTGCCATGGGCCCTCAACTCTCGAGAATCATAAGGGGTGTGTTGCCAATTCTGAGAAATCGAAATTTTCCTTCATCCGTTGACAAGTTTTCGAATCGTAGACAAGTTGAGGACAAAATCACCAAGGCTTTAGTACCAGTTGTACCCATGGTATTATCATAATTTTCCATGATATTCTATGTCACAAACAAGCTTTCATTGTGGCTCGCCTTCGTCTCTATGCATTTCTCTTGCACTATTGCTTTTACTTTCCTTCAAAAGCAAAATTTCTAATATGTTTTTTTCTTAAAATGCTAAATGGACGTCTTACATCTTCATCAGAAGCATTTAAAAAAATTATGTAATCGTCGATTTATTATATGCTAAAACTGCGCATTATGTGTTATTTTTCTTCACTGATAATGATCAGCACTTGAAGGGTGTCAAGGTCACGAGTACTTGTTATAAGTGCGCAAATTGCTTTACTCTCGCACTCACAGCCTATCGATGTTTATTTTATTCCATTAAGAATCGAAATTCGCGGTTTTTTTTATTTTTTCGTATTCTTTAAATTATTCTTAATTTATTACAAAAAGCTTAGTTGAAATTAAAGGCGATAAAATTAAATGTTATTATTTTTTGAAGTTAATGTTACCCTTTTATGAAAGTAGATGGATGACGCAGATAACATCGTTTGAAGTAATCCGAAATAAGCCAATTAAATTGATTTTAAATTGATTGTTCTTTATGCTCAGCATATATTTTTAGGCCTCATTTTAAAAATTAGTGCAGAAAGGAAAAAAAGAAAAAAAAGAAAGAATTGAAAAAAAAGAATTATTTGAATATGTTTTATATTATGTCAGAGTTGCAAATGGAATATTGCACTCTATAGCAAACATGACAAAATTAAACGTCTTCTCAACTAGTGGGGCTTAACAAAGTGGACGGAAGTTGAACTGAGATTAGTTCAAGTCGTGCTTTCAAAATTAACTGACCACGCGACTTTTAAATCGCAATTTCAATTTTACAAAACATTCCATTAATTTTACACAAAAATTTAATTGCAATTAATAATTTATTCAAATTAGTCAAGTATAAAATAATTCGATCGATTTCTTTTAAATTAAGTACTATTTATATGATTTTCACTCAGTGTTATAATTTTCACTCAAGATAAATTTTCAGCAATTTGAAAAATATGAAAAAAAGAAATTTTTCCTAAAATCAATAATTAGTTTTAGAGGTAATTATAATATTATGAGTGCCCCGTGGCCTGTTCATGAGGGAATATTTCGAGAAAAAAATACTGTAAGTAATATTTGTAATTGTGTATTGCAACGATTACTATACGCACAATAGAGAATGAAAATTTCAGAAATAAAATCCAAAGAATAGTAAAATTCGTGAATATTCAGAATAATTTGAAACAATCAATAGAGGAACTAAAATACATTTTTTTAAATCTGAATATTTTTAAGACAAATAATAATTAATATTGTTAATATTTTTTTTTTTTAATTTTTATTTCTATTTGTTAATAAATTTAATATTATTAATAAGTTTTAAAAATCGGGAAAACTAGTCAAAATAAGAACAAAAGGATGACAATTTCTTAAAAATCTAAAATTGAAATTTTTAAAACCACTTTATTTAAATTGCTAGATGATTTAAATAAATATTGCTCATTGGAAAGTTTGTAGTGTTTACTTATCCTTTGGCACATATTCTAAGAAATACTTTTCAAAACTTGGCAATTGATGGAAAAAAATATTAGTGTTTTTTGACTGATATTCAATGACAAAAATTTTAGCAATACAACCTGTCAAGATAAAATACAATATTATTTATGTATTTTCGAAAAAATATTCCCCTAAATTAACAAATTTTGATTAAAATATTTTGAATTAGTAAAGTTTTTTTTTATTGGGGTTAGGTTTTTTAATAAACGTTATTCGGTGATTTCGATTTGTTTACGATTAATTTAACGTTTGCTCTAAAAATAAAATCATTTCTTTATCACAGTAAAAAGTAAATCTTAATTTAAGAGCTGCCTTAAATTCAACACTGTCTGCTATAATGTTAAAGGATACGAAAAACGTGCGTAAATTCAACATTGACTGTCTTGAAAATGTTGCATCTTAATTTAAGGCAGCTTTCGTGCCTTAAAATAAGATTTTCTTTTTACTGTGATGTTCTGAAAAATCCGACAACGAATCGGAACAAAAGACATAATTTTGTATTTTTTATAGGAAAAAGAAAAATTACATTCTAAATTACATTCAGTGGAAGTGAAGAATTTAGTTTTTAATGTTTTAAACGTTTTAAAAAAAAGTTGCATTTGAATAAAAATTACAATTTTCTGTCAATAAGAAAAAATCTAGATAACATAACCTAAAATTTAAGAAATATTTCTTATTGCGACAAAGAACGGTAATTTTTATTCAAATGCAACTTTTGTTTACTTAAATTGGAGAAAATTAAGTAAAACAAATTTAATATTTTTTGCTTTGAAAGTACGAAATAATGACATTGAACTAACTTTTGTTTTGACTGTATGTTCGATTCTTCTTACAAAGAACAAACAGATTTAATTATTCAGAGTTTTGTATTGATCTGCAAAATTATGTTTAGTTGGTAAATAAATTATTAAGCGTGTTTTTCAAATTTATTCGAATTAAATTTATGTTATAGCTAATAATATTTTTGCTGAAAATTACTTAGTTAATTTCTCGTTTGTCTCATGATTTTCTTTTCACTTCCAAGAATCACAACACAAACTTCCCTCTGATTTCTGGTAAATATTGCGAACTAAAGTTCTCTCAATAGTGTAAACATCAAACAATATTTACATAAAACCAAATTATAACTGATTTACAGTCGAAAAGTCGCAAATTCGAATCTTATTTATAGTAATTATTTGAAATACAATAATCATTACCTGTGAGGAACAAATGACGAACAAAGATGTACTCACCCAATGAAACCATTTTGGATATGAACTATTCCCCGAAGCAATTTTCATTATTTTTGCATTTAACTTTAATTAACTGGACGTAAAATAAAAATTCACGGATTAAACACTACAATTAAAAATTTAGAATGTAAATTAATTAAATTATCCGACACATCCGACACTTTGCCATGACAAGAAGATCAGCGCGACTAGCGATCGAAGCGTCCTCCCTTCATAGTGAGTGATTCTGGAGGTAATTGTCGAATCATTATCGGCAGTCGGTAATTGTTACACGATTGTCGGTAATGTAGAGAGAAAAAGTCGACAATTGAAATGGTGGATGCAAAGAAATATTAAAATACATTGAAATACATAAACAAACAGAATTACAAATATTTTTTACTACTTTTACAATCGCAGAAGTTGATAAAAGAGTGCCGGGGTCTCTGCAATATTAATAAACATGAAATGAGGGGAAAAAACAATAGATAATTCTCGAAATCAAATGATTGGGAAAATGGAAGAGGCGACAGCATCGAAATTAAAATTAGAAAAATACGTCAGAATTCTTTGTCGGACTATAGGGAAACGCGTAATATTTGTAAAAGCATTCACACAGATTATTTTCACTCCTCTCAAACTATCAATATCGGTGATGAAATTTCACGTTCAAATTTCTTTGCATCCACCACTTCAATTGTCGACTTTTCACAACAATGTACGTTTTTTATTCATATAATTCGCGAGACAAAATTCTGAGAATGAGAAATAAAAGAAAAAAGGGCTGGTGAATATATATCTTCCACGAAGTTTTTAATTGTTCATTTTTTGCTAAACAATCTCTGCAGACAAACAAGAAGTGAACAACACGCACACAGAGTGGATTTTCAGTTCATTGTGAATTGTCTCAACGTCAATTAGTGTCGTTTACACGCAAGCCATAATTAGACCTTCAATATATGCCACTAATTCCCCTTTAATTGCCAATAGCACACCAAGTGTCTACAGTGATTAAACAGATGAGTCTTCGAACAAGATTTTTCCACGTATTTCTTTTGTGCGCTTTTATCTCGGATCTAAAATGTCGAGGTCCAGAAACGGAATTTTTAGAACATTGAACTATGTGTGTGACTTTGAATATAGTTTTCCTTTTTTTTACGAATTCAATGTATTGTCAAAATTGGCGAAATTAATTGTCCAAATTATGTATCAACAGATTCTATATGTTAATAGTTGATATATATTTTAAGTGTCTAGTGTTTAGATTGGATTTAATGAAAGAATTTTATTCTTTATTACAGGAGCAGAGGAGTTTGAAAGCCGGCGATCTTTCGCATCAGGAGAGCAACAATATGGCAGCATCCACGATGAAATTGCAGAGCGATTCTTTCAGTTCGGAAAAGGTAGAATTTCTGCTTTTGCAATTTTGCCATACAACCTGAAAAACCTGGAAATGTCAGGGAATTTTATAAACCTTGAAAAAGGAAGGAAATTTTTATCGAAGATAAAATTATTATTTTCTAAAATTATTGTGTTTATTCTTGAAATCTAATTTTACTATTAAAAATTTCAATTTTAAAAGAGATGCGTTTAAAATTTTCATAAGTAGTTCGATTTCAAAAGGTTTCAATTTACAATTTTAGAAAATTTCAATTTTGAATAAATTTAATTAAAAAGAACTTAGATTTTTGCAAAAAATTTTAATAATTCAAATTCTTCTGAAAAGTTAAATTTTGTAATATATATATTTAATTGATTATTAAAAATAATTAATTTACAGAAAGAATTTTAGTTAAAACCACTAAAAGAAATAAAAATCTTGAAGTAGTTACATAAATGATTGCAGAAATTCGATTATTTTCAATAATTTTAATAAAATTCTTTGCAAAAATTCAGTTATTTTCAAAAATTTTCCTCAATTCAATGATTTTTAATATTTGTTACTTTAATAAAATTTCCCAAAAGAATTCAATTATTAAAAAAAAATTTCAATACAATTCTACGCAAAAATTTGATTATTTTCACAAATTATTATTCAATTTTCAGAAATAATAAAATACTTTTTTGTAATTCAATTATTTTCATGAATAATAAAAATCATTTCAGATTTTTAATTATTTTTAATAGAATAATAGAATTTCAAAAATTTGTCAAAATTCAATTATTTTCATTGTCTACTATTTCAATAAAATTTCACAAAAGAATTGAATTATTTAAAAAGAAATTTTAATAAAATTCGTCTCAAGAATTCAATTATTTTCATAAGTAATATAATTCATCGCAGAAATTCAAAAAATATTCAAAAATTTACAAAAATTCTCGTCATAATTCAAATTATCTTTATAAATATTAAAATTTTTTCCGAAATTCAATTATTTTCAAAAATTTTAATTTTCTACAATTCTGATAAAAATTCTTCGTAACAAATTAATATTATTTTTGTTAATTGTAAAATTCTTAATAATAATTCAATTATTTTTGTAAATAATATAAATCTTCTCAGAAATTAAATTATTTTCAATCCAATTTTAATTAAATTTTCTAGGAAAAAATTTAATTATATTCAAGATAATTTTAATAAATTCTTTATAAATTTCAATTATTTTCAAAATTTTCAATTAAAATTACTTTAAAAAATTACATTACTTTTACGAAATTCATCATTTTCAAGAATATTGAAATAAATTCTTCAAAATATTTCAATTATTTTAAAGAATTTTAATAAAAATCTTTCCAAGAATGAAACTATTTTCAATACAATTTTAATTACATTTTTTAATTAAAACTTTATAAAAAATTGAATCACTGCAAAAAAGTTTATTATTTTTGCAAATAATTGAATAATTGCAAAATAATTCCGTTTTTTTATTTATTTAAATTTATTTATTTAACCTGGAAAAGTCAAAGAATTATGAAATGAGCAAAAGCGTGGCAATCCTGAATTTTTATTTTCACTGATTCTAGTGATTTTTCGAGTGGAAAATTAATTGAAAATGATTTCCTTTTTACAGAAAGCAATGGCTGCTCAGCAACAACGTCAGACAGTAACATCCTCTGGAGTATTTAATCACGAAAAAGTTGTCGCCGCCACATCGCAATCGAGTATATCGTACAATTCGAAAAACGTCACATCCAAATCGTCAATGATCAGTGCGGCGAGTGCAGTGAATCAATTAATGAACGGCATGCGATATAATGACGACGAACTTTTATCATTACCACTCGACGATCTCGATCTACTTTGCACCAATTCCAATCCCCAGGATGTCGATTTGGCAATAAAGAAATATTCCGGATTCCTCGAGACATTTGTCCAACGATTGAAAACCGACGAAGTGAGTGCCAGTGGTAAGGCGCCGCTGCTACTGAATCGTGTCAATGAAATAATCCGCAAGGCCTGGGCGGTGCCGACTCACGGTCACGAGTTGGGCTACTCTCTGTGTAATGCACTTCGCAACAAGGGTGGTTTGGATATTCTGATGACGAACTGCATTGCTAGTGACGAGGATCTACAATTTTCTTCCGCTCAATTGCTCGAGCAGTGTCTCACGACCGAGAATCGTGCTCACGTGGTGCAAAATGGTCTGGAGAAGGTGGTGAATGTTGCGTGTGTTTGCACGAAGAATGCGAATTCGGTGGATCATTCGCGAGTTGGAACTGGAATTTTGGAGCATCTTTTTAAGCACAGCGAGGGAACGTGCAGTGATGTGGTGAGGCTCGGCGGTCTCGACGCTGTGCTCTTCGAATGTCGAAAGAATGACGTGGAAACACTGAGACATTGTGCCGGCGCCTTGGCGAATTTGTCACTTTATGGCGGTGCGGAAAATCAAGAGGCGATGATAAAAAGAAAAGTCCCAATGTGGTTGTTTCCCCTAGCGTTTCACAATGACGACAATATTAAATATTACGCGTGTCTTGCCATTGCGGTCCTAGTGGCGAACAATGAAATCGAAGCAGCGGTTTTGTCCTCCGGCACACTTGATCTCGTCGAGCCGTTCGTCACTTCGCACAATCCGTACGAATTCGCAAAATCGAATCTCGCCCACGCTCACGGTCAGAGTAAAAATTGGCTTCAACGACTCGTGCCTGTTCTCAGCTCGAAACGCGAGGAGGCGAGGAATCTAGCGGCTTTTCATTTTTGCATGGAGGCTGGCATCAAGAAGCAGCAGGCGAAAACGGAAATATTCCGCGCGATCGGCGCAATTGAACCGCTGAAGAAAGTCGCCAGCTCGCCGAATGCGATCGCCTCGAAATACGCGGCACAAGCTCTCCGGCTAATTGGCGAGGAAGTTCCACATAAATTAAGTCAACAAGTTCCATTGTGGTCGACGAAGGATGTGATGGAGTGGGTGAAGCAAATTGGTTTCGAAGAATTGGCGTCGAATTTCGTCGACAGTCGAGTTGACGGCGATCTTTTGCTGCAATTGACAGAGGACAATTTAAAGGAAGACATTGGTTTGACGAACGGCATCAGGCGGCGACGATTCACGCGTGAATTGCAAAATTTGAAAAAAATGGCCGACTACAGTAGTCGGGACACGGGGAATCTCAGCAGTTTCCTCCAGTCGATTGGACAGGAGTTTTCAATCTACACGTACAGTATGCTGAACGCGGGCGTTGACAAGGATTCGATAAAGAACCTCAATGAGGATCAACTTATCACTGAGTGTGGGATTTCGAATAGTATTCATAGGTTACGGATATTGGACTCGATCAAGAATATGCAGCACAATCAATTTAATTCTTATGAGAGTGAATCGCCGGATAAATCGTTGGATGTCTTTGTCAGTTATCGAAGATCGAATGGATCGCAATTGGCAAGTCTTCTTAAAGTTCATCTGCAACTGAGGGGATTTTCCGTCTTCATTGATGTCGAGAGACTCGAGGCTGGGAAATTCGATAATAATCTACTTCAAAGTATTCGACAGGCGAAACATTTTCTCCTCGTTCTAACGCCAAAGGCTCTTGAACGGTGTATTCAGGATACCGAGTGCAAGGACTGGGTTCACAGGGTAAGAATTTTTTTAACTATACTCCTATTGTCGTAAAATGGAAATTGGCCTAAAAAATTCTTTAAATTAATATATTCCTATCACCTTGTAAAATATGTGGATTTTATTTTTAATTTTTATTTTCTTCGCTAGGAAATTGTGGCCGCTCTGCAATCACAATGCAACATCATTCCGATAATAGATAATTTCGCGTGGCCAGAACCAGAGGAATTGCCCGAAGACATGAGAGCAGTTTGCCATTTTAACGGTGTTCGTTGGATTCACGATTATCAGGATGCGTGCGTAGACAAATTAGAGAGGTACGAATTCAATAATCACTTCTAAAAAAAAGCCAAAAAAAACTAATTGAATTCATTTCAAGAATTTTATCAACACTATTTTCAATATAATTGAATTCTTTCGAGAAAATGTAATTATAATTCTATTGAAAATAATTTAATGCTTGACAAGTTTTTATTAAAAATTCTTTAAAATAATTAAATTGCTTTTAAGAATTTATTTCAATATTCTTAAAAATTGTGGAGTTTTTATAAAAATAATTTTGAAAGTAATTCAATTTTATGAAAAATTCAATTATTTTCAATATAATAAAATTCTTCGCAAAAAGTAAATTTATAAATAATACAAATCTTCGTAAAAAATTTAATTATTTTTATAAATAGTAAAATTCTTAGCAGGAATTCAATTATTTTCAAAACAATTTTAATCCAATTTTTAGTAAGAATTCAATAATTATTTTCACGAATAAAAAAAATTTTCGTAAGAATTTAATTACATCAATAAATAGGTTTTTTCCCATGAATTCAATTATTTTAAATACAATTTTAATAAATTTTAATAAAATTTTTAAAACATCACTTATTTTTTTAAATTTTGCTATTATTCAATTATTTGCAGAAATAATAAATTTTTTCGCAGAGATTCAATTATTTAAAAAAGTTTTATGTATAATAAAATTCTATTCAAGAATTCAATTATTTTCAGAAATAATTAAATTGGCGATGCGCTGAAAATCATTGAATTCTTGTAAAGTATTTATAAAAAAATTAGAATATAATTGAATTTATTTAAAGTATTTTATCAACATTTTTTCAAATAATTAAATTTTTCGAGAAAATGTAATTAAATTTGTATTGAAAAGAATTTAATTCTTGAAAAGATTTTTATTATAATTCTTTAAAATAATTGAATTGTTTTTAAGAATTTATTTTAATATTCTTAAAAATAATGAAGTTTCTTTTAATAATTTTTAGTGAAAATTTTAAAAATAATTGAATTTTAAGAAGAATTTCTTTTAAGTTTTTAAAATAATCGTGTTTATTATTAATTGTAAATAATTCAATTTTTTTTGTAGAATGACATTAAATTACGTAAAAATGATGTAATTTTTTAAAGTAATTTTATTTGAAAATTTTGATAATAATTGAAATTTACAAAGAATTTTTTTTCAAACTTTTGAGAATAATAGAATTGTTTAGAAAAATTTTATTGCAATTTTTAAAAATAATTGTACCTGTTATAGAAATTTTATTAAAATTATCTTGAATATAATTGGATTTTTTTCTAAGAAATTTTATTAAAATTGAATCGAAAATAATTTGTATTCCTCAGAAGAATGTTATTATTTCCAAAAATAATTGAATTCTTGACAAGAATTTTACAATTAATAAAAATAATTGAATTGTTACGAAGAATTTTATTATTTATGAAACAAATTAAATTCTTGTGAAGGATTTTACAATTCATAAAAATAATTGAATTGTTTCGAAGAATTTTATATGAATTTTTGAAAATAATTGAATTTTTTGAAGGAATTTTATTAAAAATTTTGAAAATAATAATTTTTTTAAAAGAATTTCACCAAAATTGTTGAAAATAATTGAATTTATATTAAAATTCTTGAAAATAATCGAATTTAATTAATATTTTTAAAAATAATTGTATTCTTTCGAGAAATTTTATCGTTTGCTAGTGAATACATTATAATAATCGTAAGTTTCCTTTCCGTTAGGAAATTATCTGCATTCATTTGTTTGTTTTGAAAATTAAATTTTGTGGGTTAAGTATTGGCATTTTTTATATTTTTTAATGTCAAACTTTTTAATGTGGAAAATACTTTACTTATTAAATTGTCTCGACTCTTTGGTAAAAAATCGAAAATTATCGAAAATTATCAAAAATTCAAAAATCCGAATTTCTTAAAATTCAACATTTTTTCCTCTCTTTTATGGGATTTAGCTTCATTATTTTTGTGCTTTTGGAAAATACTTTACTTATTCAATAGTCTCGACTCTTTGGTAAAAAATCAAAAATTATCGAAAATTCGAAAAAATTCAAAAATCCGGTTTTCTTAAAATTCAACATTTTTTCCTCTCTTTTATGGGATTTAGCTTTATTATTTTTGTGCTTTTGGAAAATACTTTACTTATTAAATTGTCTCGACTCTTTGGTAAAAAATCTAAAATTATCAAAAATTCGAAAAAATTCAAAAATCCGATTTTCTTAAAATTCAACATTTTTTCTTCTCTTTTATGGGATTTAGCTTTATTATTTTTGTGCTTTTGGAAAATACTTTACTTATTAAATTGTCTCGACTCTTTGGTAAAAAATCAAAAATTATCGAAAATTATCAAAAATTCAAAAATCCGAATTTCTTAAAATTCAACATTTTTTCCTCTCTTTTATAGGATTTAGCTTCATTATTTTTGTGCTTTTGGAAAATACTTTACTTATTCAATAGTCTCGACTCTTTGGTAAAAAATCTAAAATTATCAAAAATTCGAAAAAATTCAAAAATCCGGTTTTCTTAAAATTCAACATTTTTTCTTCTCTTTTATGGGATTTAGCTTTATTATTTTTGTGCTTTTGGAAAATACTTTACTTATTCAATAGTCTCGACTCTTTGGTAAAAAATCTAAAATTATCAAAAATTCGAAAAAATTCAAAAATCCGGTTTTCTTAAAATTCAACATTTTTTCCTCTCTTTTATGGGATTTAGCTTTATTATTTTTGTGCTTTTGGAAAATACTTTACTTATTAAATTGTCTCGACTCTTTGGTAAAAAATCTAAAATTATCAAAAATTCGAAAAAATTCAAAAATCCGATTTTCTTAAAATTCAACATTTTTTCCTCTCTTTTATGGGATTTCGCTTCATTATTTTTGTGCTTTTGGAAAATACTTTACTTATTCAATAGTCTCGACTCTTTGGTAAAAAATCTAAAATTATCAAAAATTCGAAAAAATTCAAAAATCCGATTTTCTTAAAATTCAACATTTTTTCTTCTCTTTTATGGGATTTAAGCTTCATTATTTTTGTGCTTTTGGAAAATACTTTACTTATTAAATTGTCTCGACTCTTTGGTAAAAAATCTAAAATTATCAAAAATTCGAAAAAATTCAAAAATCCGGTTTTCTTAAAATTCAACATTTTTTCCTCTCTTTTATGGGATTTAGCTTCATTATTTTTGTGCTTTTGGAAAATACTTTACTTATTCAATAGTCTCGACTCTTTGGTAAAAAATCTAAAATTATCAAAAATTCGAAAAAATTCAAAAATCCGGTTTTCTTAAAATTCAACATTTTTTCCTCTCTTTTATGGGATTTAGCTTTATTATTTTTGTGCTTTTGGAAAATACTTTACTTATTAAATTGTCTCGACTCTTTGGTAAAAAATCTAAAATTATCAAAAATTCGAAAAAATTCAAAAATCCGGTTTTCTTAAAATTCAACATTTTTTCCTCTCTTTTATGGGATTTAGCTTCATTATTTTTGTGCTTTTGGAAAATACTTTACTTATTCAATAGTCTCGACTCTTTGGTAAAAAATCTAAAATTATCAAAAATTCGAAAAAATTCAAAAATCCGGTTTTCTTAAAATTCAACATTTTTTCCTCTCTTTTATGGGATTTAGCTTTATTATTTTTGTGCTTTTGGAAAATACTTTACTTATTAAATTGTCTCGACTCTTTGGTAAAAAAACTAAAATTATCAAAAATTCGAAAAAATTCAAAAATCCGAATTTCTTAAAATTCAACATTTTTTCCTCTCTTTTATAGGATTTAGCTTCATTATTTTTGTGCTTTTGGAAAATACTTTACTTATTCAATAGTCTCGACTCTTTGGTAAAAAATCTAAAATTATCAAAAATTCGAAAAAATTCAAAAATCCGGTTTTCTTAAAATTCAACATTTTTTCCTCTCTTTTATGGGATTTAGCTTTATTATTTTTGTGCTTTTGGAAAATACTTTACTTATTAAATTGTCTCGACTCTTTGGTAAAAAATCTAAAATTATCAAAAATTCGAAAAAATTCAAAAATCCGGTTTTCTTAAAATTCAACATTTTTTCTTCTCTTTTATGGGATTTAGCTTTATTATTTTTGTGCTTTTGGAAAATACTTTACTTATTAAATTGTCTCGACTCTTTGGTAAAAAATCTAAAATTATCAAAAATTCGAAAAAATTCAAAAATCCGAATTTCTTAAAATTCAACATTTTTTCCTCTCTTTTATGGGATTTAGCTTCATTATTTTTGTGCTTTTGGAAAATACTTTACTTATTCAATAGTCTCGACTCTTTGGTAAAAAATCTAAAATTATCAAAAATTCGAAAAAATTCAAAAATCCGGTTTTCTTAAAATTCAACATTTTTTCTTCTCTTTTATGGGATTAAGCTTCATTATTTTTGTGCTTTTGGAAAATACTTTACTTATTAAATTGTCTCGACTCTTTGGTAAAAAATCTAAAATTATCAAAAATTCGAAAAAATTCAAAAATCCGGTTTTCTTAAAATTCAACATTTTTTCCTCTCTTTTATGGGATTTAGCTTTATTATTTTTGTGCTTTTGGAAAATACTTTACTTATTAAATTGTCTCGACTCTTTGGTAAAAAATCTAAAATTATCAAAAATTCGAAAAAATTCAAAAATCCGGTTTTCTTAAAATTCAACATTTTTTCCTCTCTTTTATGGGATTTAGCTTCATTATTTTTGTGCTTTTGGAAAATACTTTACTTATTCAATAGTCTCGACTCTTTGGTAAAAAATCTAAAATTATCAAAAATTCGAAAAAATTCAAAAATCCGGTTTTCTTAAAATTCAACATTTTTTCCTCTCTTTTATGGGATTTAGCTTTATTATTTTTGTGCTTTTGGAAAATACTTTACTTATTAAATTGTCTCGACTCTTTGGTAAAAAAACTAAAATTATCAAAAATTCGAAAAAATTCAAAAATCCGAATTTCTTAAAATTCAACATTTTTTCCTCTCTTTTATAGGATTTAGCTTCATTATTTTTGTGCTTTTGGAAAATACTTTACTTATTCAATAGTCTCGACTCTTTGGTAAAAAATCTAAAATTATCAAAAATTCGAAAAAATTCAAAAATCCGGTTTCTTAAAATTCAACATTTTTTCCTCTCTTTTATGGGATTTAGCTTTATTATTTTTGTGCTTTTGGAAAATACTTTACTTATTAAATTGTCTCGACTCTTTGGTAAAAAATCTAAAATTATCAAAAATTCGAAAAAATTCAAAAATCCGATTTTCTTAAAATTCAACATTTTTTCTTCTCTTTTATGGGATTTAGCTTTATTATTTTTGTGCTTTTGGAAAATACTTTACTTATTAAATTGTCTCGACTCTTTGGTAAAAAATCTAAAATTATCAAAAATTCGAAAAAATTCAAAAATCCGAATTTCTTAAAATTCAACATTTTTTCCTCTCTTTTATGGGATTTAGCTTCATTATTTTTGTGCTTTTGGAAAATACTTTACTTATTCAATAGTCTCGACTCTTTGGTAAAAAATCTAAAATTATCAAAAATTCGAAAAAATTCAAAAATCCGGTTTTCTTAAAATTCAACATTTTTTCTTCTCTTTTATGGGATTAAGCTTCATTATTTTTGTGCTTTTGGAAAATACTTTACTTATTAAATTGTCTCGACTCTTTGGTAAAAAATCTAAAATTATCAAAAATTCGAAAAAATTCAAAAATCCGAATTTCTTAAAATTCAACATTTTTTCCTCTCTTTTATGGGATTTAGCTTCATTATTTTTGTGCTTTTGGAAAATACTTTACTTATTCAATAGTCTCGACTCTTTGGTAAAAAATCTAAAATTATCAAAAATTCGAAAAAATTCAAAAATCCGATTTTCTTAAAATTCAACATTTTTTCTTCTCTTTTATGGGATTAAGCTTCATTATTTTTGTGCTTTTGGAAAATACTTTACTTATTAAATTGTCTCGACTCTTTGGTAAAAAAACTAAAATTATCAAAAATTCGAAAAAATTCAAAAATCCGAATTTCTTAAAATTCAACATTTTTTCCTCTCTTTTATAGGATTTAGCTTCATTATTTTTGTGCTTTTGGAAAATACTTTACTTATTCAATAGTCTCGACTCTTTGGTAAAAAATCTAAAATTATCAAAAATTCGAAAAAATTCAAAAATCCGGTTTTCTTAAAATTCAACATTTTTTCCTCTCTTTTATGGGATTTAGCTTTATTATTTTTGTGCTTTTGGAAAATACTTTACTTATTAAATTGTCTCGACTCTTTGGTAAAAAATCTAAAATTATCAAAAATTCGAAAAAATTCAAAAATCCGATTTTCTTAAAATTCAACATTTTTTCTTCTCTTTTATGGGATTTAAGCTTCATTATTTTTGTGCTTTTGGAAAATACTTTACTTATTAAATTGTCTCGACTCTTTGGTAAAAAATCTAAAATTATCAAAAATTCGAAAAAATTCAAAAATCCGGTTTTCTTAAAATTCAACATTTTTTCCTCTCTTTTATGGGATTTAGCTTCATTATTTTTGTGCTTTTGGAAAATACTTTACTTATTCAATAGTCTCGACTCTTTGGTAAAAAATCTAAAATTATCAAAATTCGAAAAAATTCAAAAATCCGGTTTTCTTAAAATTCAACATTTTTTCCTCTCTTTTATGGGATTTAGCTTTATTATTTTTGTGCTTTTGGAAAATACTTTACTTATTAAATTGTCTCGACTCTTTGGTAAAAAATCTAAAATTATCAAAAATTCGAAAAAATTCAAAAATCCGAATTTCTTAAAATTCAACATTTTTTCCTCTCTTTTATGGGATTTAGCTTCATTATTTTTGTGCTTTTGGAAAGTACTTTACTTATTCAATAGTCTCGACTCTTTGGTAAAAAATCTAAAATTATCAAAAATTCGAAAAAATTCAAAAATCCGATTTTCTTAAAATTCAACATTTTTTCTTCTCTTTTATGGGATTAAGCTTCATTATTTTTGTGCTTTTGGAAAATACTTTACTTATTAAATTGTCTCGACTCTTTGGTAAAAAATCAAAAATTATCGAAAATTATCAAAAATTCAAAAATCCGAATTTCTTAAAATTCAACATTTTTTCCTCTTTTTTATGGGATTTAGCTTTATTATTTTTGTGCTTTTGGAAAATACTTTACTTATTAAATTGTCTCGACTCTTTGGTAAAAAATCTAAAATTATCAAAAATTCGAAAAAATTCAAAAATCCGATTTTCTTAAAATTCAACATTTTTTTCTCTCTTTTATGGGATTTAGCTTTATTATTTTTGTGCTTTTGGAAAATACTTTACTTATTAAATTGTCTCGACTCTTTGGTAAAAAATCTAAAATTATCAAAAATTCGAAAAAATTCAAAAATCCGAATTTCTTAAAATTCAACATTTTTTCCTCTCTTTTATGGGATTTAGCTTCATTATTTTTGTGCTTTTGGAAAATACTTTACTTATTCAATAGTCTCGACTCTTTGGTAAAAAATCTAAAATTATCAAAAATTCGAAAAAATTCAAAAATCCGATTTTCTTAAAATTCAACATTTTTTCTTCTCTTTTATGGGATTAAGCTTCATTATTTTTGTGCTTTTGGAAAATACTTTACTTATTAAATTGTCTCGACTCTTTGGTAAAAAATCTAAAATTATCAAAAATTCGAAAAAATTCAAAAATCCGAATTTCTTAAAATTCAACATTTTTTCCTCTCTTTTATAGGATTTAGCTTCATTATTTTTGTGCTTTTGGAAAATACTTTACTTATTCAATAGTCTCGACTCTTTGGTAAAAAATCTAAAATTATCAAAAATTCGAAAAAATTCAAAAATCCGGTTTTCTTAAAATTCAACATTTTTTCCTCTCTTTTATGGGATTTAGCTATATTATTTTTGTGCTTTTGGAAAATACTTTACTTATTAAATTGTCTCGACTCTTTGGTAAAAAATCTAAAATTATCAAAAATTCGAAAAAATTCAAAAATCCGATTTTCTTAAAATTCAACATTTTTTCTTCTCCTTTATGGGATTTAGCTTTATTATTTTTGTGCTTTTGGAAAATACTTTACTTATTAAATTGTCTCGACTCTTTGGTAAAAAATCTAAAATTATCAAAAATTCGAAAAAATTCAAAAATCCGATTTTCTTAAAATTCAACATTTTTTCCTCTCTTTTATGGGATTTAGCTTCATTATTTTTGTGCTTTTGGAAAATACTTTACTTATTCAATAGTCTCGACTCTTTGGTAAAAAATCTAAAATTATCAAAAATTCGAAAAAATTCAAAAATCCGATTTTCTTAAAATTCAACATTTTTTCTTCTCTTTTATGGGATTAAGCTTCATTATTTTTGTGCTTTTGGAAAATACTTTACTTATTAAATTGTCTCGACTCTTTGGTAAAAAATCTAAAATTATCAAAAATTCGAAAAAATTCAAAAATCCGATTTTCTTAAAATTCAACATTTTTTCTTCTCCTTTATGGGATTTAGCTTTATTATTTTTGTGCTTTTGGAAAATAATTTACTTATTAAATTGTCTCGACTCTTTGGTAAAAAATCAAAAATTATCGAAAATTATCAAAAATTCAAAAATCCGAATTTCTTAAAATTCAACATTTTTTCTTCTCTTTTATGGGATTTAGCTTCATTATTTTTGTGCTTTTGGAAAATAATTTACTTATTAAATTGTCTCGACTCTTTGGTAAAAAATCAAAAATTATCGAAAATTATCAAAAATTCAAAAATCCGAATTTCTTAAAATTCAACATTTTTTCTTCTCTTTTATGGGATTTAGCTTCATTATTTTTGTGCTTTTGGAAAATACTTTACTTATTCAATAGTCTCGACTCTTTGGTAAAAAATCTAAAATTATCAAAAATTCGAAAAAATTCAAAAATCCGAATTTCTTAAAATTCAACATTTTTTCTTCTCTTTTATGCCATTTAGCTTTATTATTATTTGAATTTTTATTCAAGAGAAAAAATGGAAAACTGAAAAAAGTAGAAACTTTTAAAAATTCCAGGCTTTTTCCATGATTTCCCTGATTTCCAGAAGCCTTTTAAAAATTCCATACCATTTCCATGATTTCCAGATTCTGTAGGAATTCTGCTTTTGTCTGACTTTCTTCTATAAATTTATCGAATTCAGTGATTTCTGGGGTGAATTTGGTTAAGTTGTAAAATGATTAATTTCTATTTGAATTCGTTTTTTTTGAATGTAGAAAATCTGATGTTAATTTAATTCTTTTTTCGTTATGCACGGCAAAAAATATTTAGCTGGATGAACTACAGATTTCACTTTAGTAGCGAAATTTTTCAGTGCTTCAATTAATACTTTCGTTATTCTAGAGAAACTTATCGCTATTTCAAGTAAAACTTTTTTCAGTGTGTAATAATTATTATTTCTTTAAAAAGTATTTTATTTAAAATGGCTTTATAAAATAAGCAATGCAAAAGATGACTCAGATACTAATTGTAATTGTTCTAGCCATAGTTTAAGTCTAGTAATGTAAATTCTATTTAAATTGAGACCATTGAGTGAAATTATTTGAATTTTAGTTAGTTAAATCTCTTTGTTAGGTTATAATAATTATTTCTTTAAAATTTTTTAAATTGTTTAAAATAAGCAGCCCCATACAACATTCCCGCGCGCTTGCGCGCGGATAGTTTGGCTAGTAATAATAATAATTAAAATTTCAGATTTATGCGAGGTGAAATTCCAGTACGATCAGATTGTTCAGGAGGTCTTCCCAGAAGCATTGGTTCCAAGGATTTGCCAACACCCGGAACACCAGGCAGTACAAATATGAGACAACCACCGAGTTATCAAAGAATGCACAGCAATGAAAGTAAAGGAAGTGACAAAGATTCGGTTAGCGGGAAGGATTCAATCAGCGGCAAAGATTCGATCTGTGGGAAAGATTGACTAGATGGCCCGCCCACAGCTATACCAGTTAGGTACGTGCAAAATTTAATAATTTAATGAAAACGATATAATTTTTTTTTTTAGAATTTAGAAATAATTTTTTATTAACATTATTTCTTTTCCGCAGCCGGGATTAAGAAAAATGCAATTTGCAAATGAGAATTAGGTTAGTTCAAAGAAATTGAAATCGATACTTTGGTGTTGTTTTCTCTGTTTTATTTCTTTTTTGTATAGCACGTTTGTTAATTGTATTTTAATTTCAACAATTCCTGAAAAATACTCATTTATGCAAAAAATTTAATTCTATCTGCATGATATTAAATTTCGTACTATGTAAAAAGAAAAAGAAGTGTATTTCGATTCCATGTAGAAAATATTGATTTCTCTGTAAACTTGATTTAGAAATAATATTAATGTTATATTTATTATTGATTGAGTAAAATATTTATTTAAGAAGAAAAGTAAAAATTAGTTACCGAAAAATGTTTGATTTCAGGCTTCGAAAGTCGTCCAGTCCGTCCGGTCGATTATTGAGTCTTCCTCCGTCCGCTCGAGTGAAATTCGTTCATACACATCCGGGAGGAAATCCAATGCCTCGTCGTCCACCACGTCATCCCTCGTCTCCGTCGGCTCGCTCTCGTTCCCTCGAAATTTTAGATCCAATAGAGAAGAAAGCTGTTTTAACTGTGATGACAAATCCTCTTCCACTTCCAAGACCAAGATCAAGAAGTTTAGACGGTTTAATCGACGAAGATGGCATTATTGCAGATCTCAAAAATGACAATTCAACAATTCTCGAAAATTCCATAGTCAAAAGTCAATCTCACATTAAAAATCGTTCTCAAAGTCTAAATGAATTTTTAGAAAAGGCAAACAACCAATCGAGTAATTTAATCGATTCGAATGAAAATCCTTTTCCCTTTCCCAGAAATAGAAGAAATTCCAGTGTCACGAAAAAATTTCCAGTCAATAATGATCACACAATATCGACAATTGAAGACGACAATAATTTATCCAATTCGACGAAAATTGATGACGAAGGTGAAATTAAAAACGAATTTCTCAACATCGAAAATCTTGATCAATTTACAGAATGCTTGACAAAAATTCCCTTGGAGTCGGAAAAAGTGGAACAAACGAAAATGTTTCATGAAGTCAACAAAATTTCCAAATTAACAGAAATTGAAGAATCGAAAAATCTTCAAGTCGAAGGAAAAAAAGCAGAACAATCAAAATTGATTTCCGAAGAGACGAAAATACTTCCAAAAGAATTAGAAATTGGAAACATAGAAAAATTAGAAAATCAATTAATTGATGAGGAATCGAAAAAAATCAATATTCCCGAAAGAGTAAAAGAAGAAAAAGAAGAAGTGGAAAAATTGTCAATGTTGGGAAATGAAAAATCAACTTTATCAAAAGCCAAAAGCTGTGGCGCGGGATTAGATTCCGATGAAAATAATTATACGCCCGAGTACAAACCTGTGATTAAGAGCCAAGGTTCTCTATTATCTCTGTCAACTGGATCAGATCCAAAACGAAAGAGAAATTTTATGGACAAGTGCGTAAATAAGGTGCGGTCTTTTATTAAGAAAAATGACTGAAAAAAAAATTTATATATATATATACCAATAATTTTCAAGGAACCGTAAAACCTTGAAAATTCAATCGTGATAAAGAACTCGTTATTTAATTTTTTCTCTCTCTTTAATTATACAATTAGACAACGTTCACAATCGAAACGAGTATTTTTGTTTTAAAAATACGACGAATTTAAATCGAAATTATAAATTAAAATAAAAGAAATTATTTTCATTTTCTATGATCATTGTGCCTGATGTAATACAGTGTCTTAAAATTATAAGCGAAAAATTAAATTTTTTTCCGATCGATATAATTTATCGAAAAAAAATTGGAATAAATTTCGATTAATTATTTAACTTTTTTTTAGATATTTTGTTTTTTATGACTCCATTTGTATTATAGATTCACTATAGTTAGAAATTAAATTTTTAATTTTGTTATCGATTGTGTTATTCGGCATAATTTGTGCCTTAAGTATTTTTATCATTTAATTGAAAACTTGCGACAGTTTTCCAATTATAACTAACCCGTCAATTAGTCACGTTCGTAACATGTATTTTATTATTATTTAATAACTATATTTTATTTTGTTATCGTCAAAGTTTATGTCAAATAATAACTATTTATCCAATAATACTTTTAAAAACAAAAACCAATCAATGCTTCAGTCATTTTTAAGATTCTTTTTAAAAATCCTAATTGTGTATATTTTACCAAAGTTGCAGTAATAATTTTAGAAGAAGAAAAATTATAATGAAATGATTAAATAATTTACTGAAATAAATGATTTTATTTAGAAAAAAAATGTATTGACATAGTTATTTTTAAATGATTTGCGTTTGTCTTTTAGCCCCGTGAATATTTTAAAAATTATTCTTAGCACTAGCAACAATTCGAACGCTAAAGCGCGCGGCTAATTTCTTACTTGCTTTTTAAAATAAAATTAGCAATATTAAAAATAATAGAATTTAAAAATTTTTAATTCATATTTTCTTTGAAAACACTAAAAACATTCAATTTTGGAGAAATTACAAATATTTGCAGAAACTCAATTATTTTCAAAAGAAATAAAATTTAATAAAAAATTCACGTCAAAATTTCAATTATTTTCAAATTAATTAATAAAATTCTTCTCCGAAATTCAATTATTTTTAAAAACATTCAAATTTTGGAAAAATTACAAATAATTGCGAAAATTCAATTATTTTCAAAAGAAATAAAATTCAATTACGTTCAACATTTTAAAAAAATTCTCGTCAAAATTTCAATTATTTTCAAAAGTAATAAAATTCTTCTCCGAAATTCAATTATTTTCAAAAGAAATAAAATTCAATTATATTCAAAATTAAAAAAAAATCCTAGTCATAATTTCAATTATTTTCAAAAGTAATAAAATTCTTCTCCCAAATTCAATTATTTTTAAAAACATTCAAATTTTGGAGAAATTACAAATAATTGCAGAAATTCAATTATGTTCAAAATTTAAACAAAATTTTCGTCAAAATTTCAATTATTTTCAAAAGTAATAAAATTCTTCTCCAAAATTCAATTATTTTAAAAAATTTTAATAAAATTCTTGTCAAAATTTCAAATATTTTCAAAAAATTTTTCGCATTTCAATGATTTTAAGTATCTACTATATTTAAATAAAATTTTCAAAAAAGAATTCAATTATTTTTGAAAAAAAATTGTTATACAATTTTACGCAAATATTTATTTATTTTCATAAATAATAAAAATTTCACAGGAATTCAATTATTTACAAAAAATGTTTATAAATTCCTTCGCAATAATTCAATTACTACAATAAATGAAATTTTTTTTTAAGGAATTCAATTATTTCCATAAAAAAATATAATTAAAAATTCTTGAAAATAATAATAATTGAATTGAAATGAAAATAATTTTGAAGAATTTACAGTAACAATATTATTATAAAATAAAATAATTATTTTAATAAAGTTGTTTAATTTCAAAAAGGTTTGAATTTAAAATTGTTGAATATCTTAATTCCTGTGGAAAAATAATAATAATTAAATATTTATTTAAAAAAGAAGTTATTGATGTTTTCAAATAATTTTGCAATTAAAGAAATTCATAAATAAATGTAACAGAGCTTTTTTTTGAGTAAAATTTTTTCCATTATTTTCTAAAAATTTAAAAACTTTCATTTTTGATTAAAATTTGTTATTGACAAACAGAATTTATAATTATTTCTTTCCTTTATTTTAAAAAAAATTGAATTTTAGTAAAGCAATAATTGTAAATAAGAAATAGAAATGTTGCAAATTATTTCCTTATGAAAATTGAGAATTTTCTAGAAAAATATTAAGAAACGAGAGAATGTAATGTTTCTTTTTTAAAAGAAAAGAAAATAAGTATATTTTCTATTTCTTAATCATAATTTTTTAACAATTAATTATTTAATATTTAAACAATATAATTTTTTTTAAATTTTCTAATTTCAAATATTATTTTATTCTAAATCATGAAAAAATACTTATTTTTGATTTGTCAAACAATATTTTTTAAAGAAAAAAAAGAAACAAAAGCATAAACAGAAACTAACTTCAAAGTGTGGACAGACAGAATGAAAGAATGAAAAATACGAAGATTATTTTATAGTTAATTATTAATTATTGGTAGAGTGATATATTTATTTATATAATCGAAAATACTGAAGTTTAGATTTTTTTTTTGGAGAAATTTAGTTCCTAAATTAATTATTATTTCTGGTTTTTATAAATTATAAATAGTTAATGTGACAAACGGAAATTATCTATTAATAACGTCGTTGTGTCCTCGAAGACGTCTTAACATAACCATATCTCTTTGCATTAACGTTGAACGATTAGCATGGTACGTTAAAAGGAAGGCTTCTTCGTAATATTGAACAATATACATCTCAACAGCTTCTTGAAGAGCTTCAATTGCTCGCACTTGAAATCTAAGAGTATTTTAATTGATCAAAATTAATTTTAAATATTTTACTTTCAAATTCGTCCAATTTTCCCCAAATGCATAAAAATAGATTTTTAATTTAAATTTATAATTTAGAAAATTTTAATTCTATAAAAATTAATAAATATTATTAATTATATTCAAAAAATTATAATATATTTCATAATTTATAAATTAATTTTTTCTGTTTTATTTATTAGAATTTTTAATTTCCCTTTTTTTAAACCTTCGAATATCAAGTCGAGGAAAAATGTCTTCAACGATATCCCGCACAATACGAATAAATGGAGCCCTTGGAATTATCAACTTTGCACTTCTTCTCAAAGCTCTAATTTCCCTTTCAACTCGATTTCTTCGAGGTTTTATTCTCACCTGTTGCAACTCCTGTGATTTTAGAAAAATTCCCTTTAAACAATAATTTAAATTGAAACGAAAGAAAATAGAAATTAATTTACTTCATCAGAACTATCATCCGTTGTTCTTGATAACGAACTAAAATTACCGCATCGATTATCACTGGATCTAAAATATAAAAACAATATTTGTATCTAAGAAACAATTTTGTAAATAAATAAAACAATATTCAAACTACGAACCTTGGTTGGGCCTTGTGTCTTACCATAATTGAAATTAAGACTACATAATTTTCATTTTCATTTTTAAATTTACGAGTAATTATTATCACAGTGAAATACTTTTAAGAAAAAATTAAGTATACGGAGTACGAATTAATATAAATGTTATTTAAGACAATTTCATTCTTTTTTTCTTGACACTTATTCCCATTTGTTTCATCTGAAGTTGTATACAACAAATATTTTTTAACAATCAATTTTTTTAACTCCGTTTTTCATGAAAATTTTTAATTATTCAGTTTTAAATAAAAGCGATTAAATGTATAATTTTTTATTATAATTCCTCAAAGTATACATTTTGTAATATTAATTAATTTTTAGCAAAATATTTTTAAACAAGTTTTACAAATACTTATTTACAAATATAAATAAAAAATTTAATTTAGAAAACAAATATTCAAATCTCAATTTTTATCAAAATTAACTTTTTGAAAGTCTAATTATAAATTTTTATAATATTAATTTTGTATGATTGAAAATCGAAATATTATTAGAAAGAATTAGAAATATTTGGAGAGAAATTTTTTCTCTATTTCGTTAAGACGAGAAACAATTTAATGTCGCTTGGACTATAAGGAACAATGATATTATAAATGGAATAATTAGTAAATTAGATTGCACTATAAATATTTGGCTGGTAGTTAGTTTTTTTAAATTAATATTATTAAAAATATTTACAAAAGGAAAGTAAATTTTTTACGCACTGTTTGATAAAAATGTAGTTGACATTTTAATGGCACAAAAAATGTTTTTTTTTTCTTTTCATTTTCTTCAAAAGTCAATGATGATTTTAGTTACGTTGGTTTCCACGCAACAATTTGCATTTTATTGTTAAGTTCTTGTAAAATAAGAGAACAAGTGAGTTGTTTCTCTAATGATAATCCACTAACGCCTTCCATTTCGTCATCATCTTCACCTGCTCCACTACTTCCGCAGCCTTTTCCCTTTCCCTTGCCCTTTCGCTTCCGTTTTTTATTCAATTGTCTACAGTCAATGTCCGTATTTGATTCAACTGCTCTTCTGAGCTGGAGAAATTCAACTCAATTAGAACATTTTTTAAAACGAAATACATTTTCTCTAACTATTATTATTACTAATAATAAAAATAATAATAATAATAATAATAATAATAATATAATAACAACTATTATTAACAATTTATTAATAATATTAATAACAGACTTCGCACTCGAAAATTAATTTTAAAAAAGTAGCAAAAAGTAGCTTTGAAACTAAAAAAAGTAGTACAAAAGTAGCTATCAAAAAATTAAACTTGACGACCAAAAAAACTCGTTTTAGACACTTCACAAAACTGACAAAAATTTCATTCTCTATTTTATTTTCCTGACTTTTTCCTAATTTTCATCAAAAATATTTACTTCTTTCTTATCCTGCTAATAACTTGAATTCCTGCAACGAATTTTATTATTCATGAAAGAATTTAAATATTTATAAAAATAATTAAATTCTTACGAAGAATTTTATAAAATTTTTAAAATAATTCATTTCTTTCGACTAATTTTATGCAAATTCTAATTTAAATAATTCAATTCTTGAGAAATTTGTATTATTCATGAAAATAATTGAATTCTTACGAAGATTTTTGCAATAAATTTTTAAATAATTGAATTCTGTTTGGAAATTTTATAAAAATAGTAAATATTGAAAACTACTGAATTGCGAAAAGTTTTTTAAAATAATTAAATTTTGCAAAAAATTCTATTAAAATTTTTGAAAATAGTTGAACGTCTGTCTGGCATTTTATTAAATTTTTTTGAAAATAATAGAATTCCTAAAAAGCATTTTATTATTTATGAAAATAATTGAATTTTGCAAAGAATTTTATTAAAATGCCTCAAAATAATTGAATTTTCGGGAATCATTTTCTTATTTATCTTTAATAATTAAATTCTTTCGAAGAATTATTTATGTAAATAATTGTAATTGAATTCCTGTGAAAAATTCTAATATTTTTCTATATAATTGAATTCTTCCAGAGAATTTAAAAAAAACATTTTTTTAATAATTGATTTTTTCGAGGAAATTAATTTAAATTTTTGAGAATAATTACATTCTTTAAGCAATTCCTGTAAAATTATATTTAAAAAAATTGAAATCCTGCGATAAATTTGATTATTTATGAAAATAATTAAATAGTTTCATAGAATTTTATTAATACATAGTTTCAAAAAGAATTGAATTCCTGAGAAGAATTTTATTATTTGTGAAAATAATTGAATTATTGTAAAAAATTTTATTAAAAAGTTTTAAAAAAATTGAATTTTTGTAATTTTAAATATTTAAAATTTAAAATATTGAAAATAATTAAATTTTCAGGAATAATTTTGTTATTAATGGACATAATTAAATTCTTTGGAAAAATTATTTATGTAAATAATTGAATTCCTGTGAAAAATTCTAATATTTTTGTAAATAATTGAATTTTTCAAAAGAATTTAAAAAAAAACATTTTTCTAAATAATTGATTAATTAAAATTCTGCGATGAATTTTATTATTTTAATGACAATAATTGAATAGTTGCAAAGAATTTTATTAATTATGAAAATAATTGAATTTCTGAAATGAATTTTATTATTTATGAAAATAATTGAATTTTGAATGAATTTTATCAATTTTTTTTTTAAATAATTGAATTCTTTTGCGAAATTTTATAAAAGTACTAGATATTTAAAATAATTGAATTTTGAATATTTTTTTGAAAATAATTGAATTTCGAATATCTTTTGAAAATAATTGAATCTTTTTAAAGAATTTGCTTTATTAATAATACTAATGACTAATTAGTTATTAATTTTTATGTTTGGAAGAATTACTTTTCTAAGCTACATTCTTAAAAAAATTGATTAAAAAATTACCTTTGCACTCTTTCTTGTCTGCTTATCATATTCCAAAGCATCATAATAATTTGGTTTTTCACGTTTTATTCGATTAGTTCTTCTTGTTTTCATTGTTCCACTATCTGGACTTGGTGGACCTTTCACAGAATTACGACGAGCATTGAAAAATGAGTGCCCACATGGACATGCTTTGCATGCAACTGGAACCTTTAAAAAATTAATTCACTTATTTATATTCTTATACCATTTGATACTTTAACATATAAAGTCGAATGAATTAATTAAATTAACAATTTTAAACATTAATTGCATATTATAATAAATTACAACGTGAATGTAAATTTTTGTTTAGATATTATTTTAAGGAAATTAGAGAATAATTAATTTTTATTTGTACATACGATTTTTATAGAGGATAAAAATTGTTTTATATAAGTTATGAAACGTCAGATTACTTACTTGTTGTTCACATTTGGGACAGCCTTTACTAATTGTTTTTGTTTTCGCCATTTTCATGAATTATTCTGTCGTATAAGTTTGTAACTTAAAATTCTAATGGAATTTTATTTAAATTGATGAAAGAATATTTTTTATATGAAAAATTTATATAAAAATTAGCGTCTGTTTTGTCGGCAATCACAACAGAAAACATAACCTCTAAAACAAACGGAGACGAAATGTCATTTAGAAAAAATTAATTATTCAAATTTCAGAATAAGACTTTTATTAACAATTATTTGAGCAAATTTTTATTATCACTTTATAAAAGAGAAGGTATTTTTTCTTAATGTTTATAATACAGTTCTAAAAATATATATTTTTCTTTGTCTTGTCTGAACAACAAACACAACAAAGTGAACAAAGGAATATGTCGTCTGCTAAACGTATTAATCAAATTAAAGTTTGAAATATATTTTAAGCAACAATAAACATAAGTATTATTTATTTTTTTATCTATTTTAAGAAAATTTGAACTTTAATTTAGAGTTATTAATGGGAGAAAAATTAATTTAGAGTAGAAACTGCTTTTAAAATTGCAAAATTTAAATAATGCATTAGTACCAAGTTAGTAAAAATAGCATTCATTTTTATAGTTAAAATTTAGTTTAAAAAATATTAAAAATCTATTTATATGTAATATTTTGATAATTGAAAATTTGATTGATTTAATTACTATTTAATTTATCTCTGAATTCTATTAACTGTCATTTAAAAATTTTTTTTACAAGAAAGTAAAAAGCCGGAAGTTCTGTGCACAAACGAAATGTAAACAAACATGGCTGACGAAGACGAACTTCCGTGAACTTCCGGAAAGATCTGTCTAATGCCGGAAAGTAATAACGAAATTGTCAAAATGATTGTATTTTTATCAACATTTGTGCTTTTTTATAAAGATGGAAACAATGAAGAAGAAGAAAATTGTTCTGTAAAGATTGTGTATACGTTAAAACCGCCGTAAAAGCAATTTTAGTTTTGCAAGAAACGCAAGAAAGAAAACATAAATAGAAACATAACCTCAAAATAATGTTTACTCCGTTTACTCTTATTTGCTCAAAGATCTCAAAAATTATCACGTAAGTTTTTTTTTACTTTTTATAAAACTAATTTTTACAACCTTAAGTATAAAATTTTTCAATTTTATTTATTTTCTCTATATTTTTACTCTTTTTATTATGGCATAAAAATCAATTATAGAAGTTGTTGAAAGTTGTATGTTGTATTTAATTTTTTCAGTTTCAAAATGATTTCAATAAAAATATAATTGAATTCGTTTTTAATTTACATATTTTATATGTTTTATTAGAATTTGAATTAAATATGAAAATATTTATATTTGATGTGAATATACGATCAAAATTCTAAAAGTGTATTTAAAAATATATTTTAAATTCTTTAAATTCCTATATTATAGAAATTAATTGAATTACAAAATGAAACAAGATATAAATTTAGATCAAAGGATCCAGAAAATTCTAGTTTGATTCATATACACACATTATTGTATTTACTTCTATGGTATATAGTAAAAATATTTTGAAGAAGAAGAATGAAAATAATCATCGTCTATTGACGGTTAATGTGTTAATAAATTTTAAGAAATATAATTTACTCTCACAGGATGTCCTCAATTTAGAACATTATGACCACTTGTTTGGGGTAATTTTACATGGTTTATAATTTATATTTAATTTCTTCCTTTTTTTATCAATAAAGATCGTCATCATAAATTTCATAAAATAAAAATCTAATAATTTTCATAATTGTTAATTTTTTTTTTTTAAATATACAATTTTAATATTTTTTTCGATATCAGTAGAGAAAACTTATTTATTTGTTTATATTTTATTTAATCTTTAGTTAATCTGATAATTAAATTAAACTGAATAATAATAATGGTAATTTTTTTATTTTTTTTTATTTCAAGTCTTTTTTATTATTATTAGAATTTAAAATTTCTTAATTTATTCATTATTCGCTTTGAAATTATCGATTGAATTCGAAAATAAATGTTTTTAGAAACAATTTGATTGTCTTCACATTAAACAATTGAACATTAAGTTTTGCTTTTTAAATACAATGGACAATTTTTTGCATTCATTGACATTGCATTTTTATTTCTTCTTTCTTGGAGAATATTTGAGAAGTTGTTTTATCGCAATAAATTAAGAAACATTTTAATCTTATCAGATACTTGAATCTCTTTTCCTCATTAAAGATTCACTATATAATTAATTTAATTTTAATTTTCTGTATCAACAATTTTTTCTACTTGGTTTAAAATTTTCTTAGAAAAATATTCTTCGTTCTAATTTTTCATTTCGTTTTTTTTCAGATTTTAACTACGTCTAGTTCTAGTTTGAAAATCTTTTTTCTAGAAAGTTCTTTTTGAATTTGAAGATTTTTAGTCAGAATTAAAAAAAGAAAGAAAACGATTTAATTGAAAAGATCGTTAAACTGAAATTGACAAATGTTTACTCTTCGAAACCAAATTATTAAAGGGAAATGAAAGGAAAAAAATTTTTTTTGTAAGGAAAATTAAGAAAATTGAGAACTTTTACGATTTTTTCAGGCCTCGGTTATTATGATTTTTTGAAAAATTAACTTTTAAAGAATTTTAATTGAAAATTTTGGAAATAATTGAATTCTCAAAAATTTTAATGAATAATCTTTAAGTGTAAATTCAATAAAAATGAAAATTAATGAAAATTAGATTCTAAAAATAATATTAAAATAGTTTTGAAAAAAAGTAATTCTCTGAATTATTTTTTTCTAATTTTTAGAATTATTTTTAACATTTTTTGAAAAAATCATATTTAAAATTTTGAATTAAAATTCTTCAAACAATTTTTTTTAAAATTACACAAAAATTCTTTAATTATTTTCGAAAAATTATATTACAAAATTGCAATATTATTATTTTTTACTGAATTTAAATTACTTTTTAAAAGATTTTGCGAAATTTCAATTTTTTGGACATTTTTGAATTGTATATGTGTAATTGTATAATACTATATACAATACTATATTTTTTGAGAACTATATTTCTTTTGAAAAAATTCGAAATTGTGGCAGCAAGAATTTTTAGTATTAAATTAAATTTGATAGAAAAATATTGATAGCTATTTTTTATATTTAAAAAAAATAGGCGCGCGTGGGTGAAAATAATTGGATTGTGATTTTTCTTCTTTTGATGATTTCGTCTGATTTGTATATATTTGTGCGGCTATAGACGCAACTGGGTGTATCAACGCGACTTGGAAATAGAAGGCAATAGGCGAGGCTAGCGCCTCTTTTACTAGTTCCACGGTCACGATTCACGATGTGACCACGATACTCTTTCTCCTTACTCCTCAGTAGCTTGTTCAACTTCGCTTCACGTTCGCGAACGTGAGAGAGAGACTATTTTCTCGTCATCCAAACACCCACACTTTCTGGATATATTCTTCCGAGTCCAACAACTCACACTTATTTTCAACAATTCTTTTTTCTCTCATACTCTCTCTCCCTCGGATTTTCCCACCCTCCTTCATTCACTGACTCACTTTCTCCCTCCTCTTTTTTCCCTCATTGTCAATTTATTCTGACATAAACTTTTATTACTCAAAAAATCAAATTTTCCGATTAATACAATTTATTTAAAATACTTTTTTTTCTTTTTTTTTCTGAAAAAGAAAAAAATGTAATTCTTTAATGGAGGAGGGGGAATTATGCCAAATTGGATTTCGTGGGAGTTATTTTTGAAGATTTGTCAAGTTTTGTTGATTATTTTGTTCTACTTGTTATTGATATAATTTAATTTGTAAAAATTTGAAGAGTGAAATTGAAGGGGGAGAAAAAAAACGTGCAACTGTAACTAAAGTCGCATGAGAAGTGCTACAGTTCTATAATGTATAATATACTCGACAGTAATTGTATGTGGATCCGTGTTTCTTGAGTCAGTCGTCTCGTAACACGCGTCAGCCTCAATCAGATATTCTTGTCTTTTGCTTCATCGACTTCTGGTCTCACCTCACTGCACACTTGTGTGAAATCAAAACACGACTACTTATTATTCGAAAGTGATCCTCATATTATACGGATTTGATACTTTTCTCTGGTTGGTATTAAAAAAAAATTTTTTTCTATTTGTCGATGTACTCATTAACCTTCATATTTTTTATTTATTTATTGTGTCATTTTGAGCAATACTTCTCGAATTCTTTTCCTTGTGTAGTTACGAAAATTTCTATACATAAATTTTTTTTACTCATTTTTAATCTTTTAAGAAGAATTTTTGCCGAGTTTTTAAATTCTGAGCAGAATTTAAGGAAATTTTCTTAAATTCCCCTCAACAATTAACAATTTCCCCTCATTTTTATAATTCTTGTCAAACATTTAGTTAAATTTTTTTTGGAGCATTGCTAAAATATTGCCAACCTTCGGAAAAAATTTTACATCGAAATTTTTAAATTTTCCAAATAGTTCCGGTATTACCGAATTTTTAACGTTATTGCTGAAATTAAATTTTTATTCAATATTGACAAGATGATTCAATGAAAATAAAGAACTTGGGGGATAACTTTCGAGTTCTTATCAAACATTAAACGTAGATAAGAAAAAGGATATTTTTTTACTGAAAATTGTGTGGTAATTAAAAATTTTGTCGAGAAAATTAGAAAAATTATTAAAAAATGATTTGAAAAAAACATTTTTGAGAATTTACAGACAAAAAAAAGGTTTTTTAAATATGAAAAATAGTGATCAGTTTGTCTGACTGAAATTGTGTTTTACTACTGACCGATTACAACATGAGGATTGCAACCGTTTGTCTGTCAGCAACTGTTTTTTTTTCTTTAATCAAAAAACGGAATTTTGAGAAAAAGTTTTATTTTTTCTTTTGTTTCTCAAATTTTTGCAACTTCAAACCTTTTTATTTACTGAAAAAATAAAATTTTCTTGTCTAAAATTGACTTAATAATGCAATGTTAATGTAAGTAATTTTTATTATTGTGATTACATTTTTTTTCGATTTTCCATTTCATTAAAATTGAAAATTCAAATTAACTAATAAATCAAAATTAATTTTTTCAATTTGATAAATGATTTTTTAAATAAAAATTAAATTTTTTTTCATTTGGTAAATAATAATTCTTTAAATCAGAATTAAACTCTTCTGCTTTTTTTCTATTTTCCATTTCATTAAAATTAAAAATTAAAATTAATTTATTTAATTTGATAAATAATAATATTTTTACCTAATCAAAATTAAATTTTTTGATTTGATAAATAACAATTCTTTAAATTAAAATTAAACTTTTCTAATTTTTTTCTATCACTTCCTTATAGAGGAAGTATTTTCCATTTCATTAAAATTAAAAATTCAAATTAGTAAATTAATAAATCGAAATTAATTTTTTTAATTCGATAAATAATAAATTTTTAAATTAAAAATAATTTTTTTTATTTGACAAATGATTTTTTAAATTAAAATTAAACTCTTCTAATTATAAAAAGTATAAATAGAAAAAGAATTTGCAAATATAAAATTTCGTTTCTAAAAAAAGGGAAAAAATGCAAATTTTCCTCCTTCGAAACATTGCAAAATATGCAATATCATAAATCTATTAAATTTCAAGTCTGAAATTGTAATATAACCTGGAAAACCTTATCAGTTGGGATTATCAATATAAGTGAAATGTTAAATCGACCTTGGCATATGTAGACGACAAACGGTACATTTATCTAGGCCCTTTTATGAAACTTCCTAATGTTATGTTTTCCCTTAATAACATTTACATTTAATAAAATTAGAGAGAGGGAAAATATATTCATCAATCATTTATGAAATTATTACCAGCAACGTTTAATTAAATATTAATTTAATTGCCATCTTTTTTTAATTTAGTTTTTTTTGTCTATTTCTCTATTATGTAAAAAATTATTGGCAATTTAAAATTTTGTTGAATATTTATTATTATTATTATTATTATTATTATTATTATTTTTTTTTTAAATTATTTTTATTATTATCATTCTTCATTATTTATTTACTATTTTTTATCTATTAAAATTTAATAAATTGGAAAAAATTGACTAATTATCTGAAATAGGAATATTTTTGATAATTAGTATTTTTTTTGTAGAATAGTAAACAAAGTATCGAATAATAACAAGAAGTGATAACAATAGAAAGAAAAGCTTGTTTTCAAATTAATTTTTCATGAAGAAATTTATGTAAATAATTTATTATTGATTTCGCAATTGTAGTTTTATTTATTAATGCATTTTTCATGAAAATACTTTTTTTTAAAATAAATTGGAGAAAGGAAATGTAAAATAGAGTGTATGAAGAAAATTCAATTGTCCTTTAGTGATGAACAGGTGTTCTCTTATAACGATCGTAATAATGGAATCATAAAGCAAGTTTCAGTTTATACTTATCGCGTCAGTTAGCGACTACGCCTCAAATGCAGTCATCGATTTTAATTCGTCACTTCTTATACAGACCATGACGTTCTCACAATAATTATTAATACATAGATTTATTATTTTTCTTTTACTCTTCACAATTTTTCGATAATTTCATTTTTTTTCGTGGAATAGAATCTCGTGTAAATAAACATTAAATTCGTAATGATCAATAAAAGAAAAAGAAAATCAATAAAATATGGTAATAAAAATAAATAATCGAAATAATTGTTCGATTAGCAAAAAGAATTGAGAGAAATTTTTTTTTAACAGAATTTACAATAATTTTTGTCACAGTTTCTTAACATTTTTTTCACATTTTTCTAATTTAGCTTTATCAAAAAAAATTATTTACTTTCCTAATATACGAGAATAAACTTTAATTACGTTTCGAAAATAAATATTTTATTTCTCTTATTTAATTGACTATTTCAAACAAAATAATGTCAATTATTTGTGAAGAATGGAATTTATTTTCGTTATAAATGATGAAAATTAATGAGACTGACAATTTATCGTCAAATTGTTTCTTTCACGTAAAAAAGGAAATAATAATTTATGAGGTACTATTTGTCCTCGATTGAATTTGTCCCCTTGAAAAAGGACAATTTGATTTCTAATATTTAAGACGTCGATAATGTTTTTTTTAAATAATTTTTTAATTTGTACGGAAACAATTGTTTAAATAAAAAAGATAGTTAAAAGTAAGCAAAGAAGGAAACTATGTAATTATAAGGCAGTAAAGATTGGAAAATTAGTATAATGTATATATAAATCAGGGCTCGAACTAAATTCAATTATTTTTAAAAATTCTTATCAAAATTACAATTATCTTTAGAAATAATTAAATTCTTCTCCGAAATTCAATTATTTTCAAAAATTTTAATAAAATTCTACCCAAAAATTTAATAATTTCTAATACAATTTTAATAACATTTCATGAAAGAATTAAGTTTATAAAAGAAGTTTTTAATAACATTTTTCGAAATAATTCAATTATTTTTATAAGTAGTAAAATTCATCGTAAGAATAATTAAGAAAAAATTCAATTAATTTTTAAAAAAATAAATTAATTGATTAATTAAATTGTTATGAAGAATTTTATAGAAATATTTAAAAATAATTAAATTCTTTTGAGTAATTTAATTAAAGTATATTTATTCAAAATAATTAAATTCATCACAAGAATTTTATTATTTTTTTTAAATAATTAAATTGTTTCAATTTTTTTGACGAATATATTTAAAAATTGCATTGAAAGTAATTTAATTTTTATATAGAATTTTTAAAAATAATTTGAGAATAATTGAATTATTTTTAGAGAATTTTAAATTCTTGTTGAAATTGAATTTTATGGAAACTTTTGAAAATAATTAAATTCTTTCGTGTAATTTTATTTAAATTTTATTAAAAATAATTTAATTCCTTCAAAGAATTTTAGTATTTATAAAAATAGTTGAATTGTTTCGAAGAATTTATTAAAATTTTAGGAAATAATTGAAATTTTTGAAAATATTTAAAAATATTTGAATTCATCCGAGGAATTCGATTAAATTTGTTTTGAAAATAATTGAATTCCTGCAAAGAATTTTACATTTATATAAATAATTGGATTTTTTCGAAAGATTTATTAAAATTTTAGAAAAAAATTGAATTGAATATTTTTAAATACTTTCACTGGTTCGAGCCCAGATAAATTAAAAAATATAAATATATGCAATGTTTTCTAATTTTTAATAAAATTGCTAATCAATATTCTTTTCTTTTGCAGTAATTCCGAATGGAACCACCGAGGGTATATTTCAAACAATGCTGAAAAAATTCAACCTTAAAGGAGTTATTTAAATTTTGAAAAAATTTCCACGATGCCTTGAAATCTCCGTCCTTTTTTGCTAAAATAAAAAAAAAAAGAATAAAAATTATTGTCATCAATATTGTGCGTAAACATTACGCAGAATGAAATCTTCTCTTCGCCGAAAGAAATCACTTATGAAGGGTCAAAATATTCGGCAAAAGACGAGACCCCTACATTTTTGGAATAATTCAACATCAAGTAGTATTCTCAAGAGGAAAATTAGATTTGACATCTAGTAAAATTTTTGCTAGAAAAATAAAGTACACGCGCAATTGTGCGTGTATTCTTCGACAATTCGTATGGCGATAATTTTAAATGCAATCGACACTTGGATTCAATGTCGTAAAATAATTTATTGCTCACACTGACTGAAAGAATAAATTCGTCATCACAAATTGAAGCTCAAAATTATCCATTAATGAATCGAGTTCGCTTTGGATAATTTTTCTTTTGCCTTAATTTATCGGTTTTGTAAAAAATTATTTTTATGAAACAATTATTATAAAATAATTTCTAATAAAAAAAAATTTTTATAAAATTATTTCTATAAAATAATTTTTATAAAATAATTTTTTTAAAGAAAAGTAAATTGCGATTTAGAGATTTTATAATGGAAGCTTCTGCTGTTCCTCATTTGGGACAAGCGGCGTCTGCCGCGTGTTCTATGGCAACAACTTTTCTCGCACCAGTGAAAACTGAGAGGCAAATTTATGAAAATTCAATGCTTGAAGATGATCCGAATGCTAATTCGGTTGTTCCCAGTTTAGTTGAGGACGAGGATGATATGAAAACGCCGAGATGGGGACCTAGTCATAGAGGAGCTCAGGAGCTGGCAAATTTATACAGTACAGGTAAAATAACCTTTTATTAAAAATCAACTGAAAAAAATTAATTTAGAGTTAGAAAAAAATTAGGATCTTTTTATTGATACGAAATTCCGTTTTAAAGAAATAACAAAATTCTATTTTCAAAAAGGAAAAAAAGCAACATTTCGATCCTTGACTATTATTATTAATTTAAATTTTTCTATTTCAAAAATTTTCCTTCGTTTTCTTTGACTTTTCTTTGATATTAAATGTAGATAAAAATTGTATTTTCTCAACTTGAGAGAGAAAATGCAAAGATCATTGATTACAATCAGAGATAGTTAACCCCTATCTTCAAAGAGATCTTTTATTTTAGTGCTACACTCTTCTTCATTGGTCTAATTAATTATTAACGAATCGTACAACAACAACTCATCATTTACCGCATTTGCTAACTACGTTTTGAACTCACAAAATTTTTTCCTGTTTATAATTTATTTTTTTCTTATTTATTCAAGAAAAGAAGAAACTTTTTTATCCTTTTTTCCTTTCTTTCACAAATCGATATTAATATAATAGAGAATTATTAATTTATATAAAGGATTATTTTGTAATTTATTTTTTAAATTTATTTTTGCAATTTATTTTTTAGCTAAAAAAAACGAGAATTTGTGAAAAATTATGTGCAACATAAAAATGTGGGCGTTAGTGGGTTAAGTAAACTTAACTACGTTCAGTTCTTTTTCTGTAAAGAATTTTGTTCGAGGTCAAGCAAATTAATGATAGACTCATCAATAAATGTAAAAAAAAATATTTCTAAAGTAATTTTAATTTTGTTTTCTTCTTTATTATCACGAATTTTTTCTTTTTGTTAGTATATTTTCGTTATTTATTTGTGATGAAAGTTTCTGAATTTTTCGTACGACCAAATAATGAAAATAAATTATTTCTGGTCCCCTATAAGTTAATTTATTGATTAATCGATATTTGTGAAAACTTATTATTATGTGTCTGGTATATTCGAGTCAATAAGTTATTAGATAAACATGAACTTTTTCTTTGTCTACTTTGTTAAATTACTCAAGAGACCAAGTATTATAAGTTTGCGTGCAAAATAATAATCATGTATAGTTTTATAAAGCTTTCTGTGAACTCACACTCTAAAATAAAAAAATATATATATATATATATATTATGGAAATTTCCATCGTAAAAATGGAGGAAAAAGATTTTGTTCTATTTTAAAGAGGTTTCTTTCACATCTTTACAATTGGAATTCCTTTTTCTTTTTTAAATTTCAGAATCAAGTTTAAAACATAAAGTTTTGTTGGTATAATTTAAAAGTAGAAAAAATGTAATTTGTTAATTAAGTAATTTTAATTTTAATTTCGAATTTTAGGTAAAAGAACACAAGAATGCGTCTGTCTTGGAGTTTGTATAACATTAATGGCTGTCAATTCATTTTTTATTCTCGTTCGAATAAGATTGGAAAATTTGAGTTCAATTGCGATTGCAGCATTATGTGGAGTTGTTACCGCCGATTTTGCCTCTGGTTTCGTTCACTGGGCAGCTGACACCTGGGGATCTGTGGAATTACCAATTTTAGGAAAAGTATGTGAGAAATATTTTTTTTCTTATAAAAATTGGTTTAGAAAAAATTCAATTCTTGTCATGAGTATTGTTATTCATGAAAATAATTGAATTATGCAAAGAATTTTATTAAAATGCCTCAAAATAATTAAATTTTCGAGAATAATTTTGTTATTTATCTTTAATAATTGAATTCTTTCGAAAAATTATTTATATAAATAATTGAATTCTTGGTAAGAATTTTATTAAAATATAAAAGAATAATTGAATTATTTCAAAAAAATTTAATTAAAATTGTATTAAAAAGAATTTATTTCTTTCGAACAATTTCATTAAAATATTTGAAAATAATTGAATTCCTGTGAAAATTTTTAATACTTTTGTAAATAATTGAATTCTTCCAAAAAATTAAAAAAAAACATCATTTTTTATAAATAATTGATTTTTTCGAGGAATTAAAATTAGATTTTTGAAAATAATTACATTTTTTGATCAATTTCTGTAAAATTGTATTAAAAATAATTGAAACCCTGCGATGAATTTTATTATTTATGAAAATAATTGTAATAGTTGCAAAGAATTTTATTAAATTTTTTTCAAAATTATTGAATTCCTGAGAAAAATTTTATTATTTATGAAAATAATTGAATTATTGCGAAAAATTTTATTAAAATGTTTAAAAAGAATTGAATTTCTGTGAAAAATTTTGTTATTTTTCGAAAAAAATTGAATTCTTTATAAGAATTTTGTAAACACTGTTTTAAATAATTAATTTTTTTGAAATATAATAAATATTAAATAATTGAATTCTTGTGGAAAACTTTATTTGTAAAAATAATTGAATTTTGGATTAATTTTATCAATTTTTTTATTTAAAATACAATTGAATTCTTTTGCGAAATTTTATGAAAATACTGGATATTGAAAATAATTGAATTTCGAATATTTTTTGAAAATTGTATCGTTTTAAAGAATTTGATTATAATTATTGAGAATAGTTTTTTTTTATTTCTAGTATGTATTAGCGAATTTTATACGATAAACTAAACTTACCTGAAATCAATATTTATTGACTATAAAGAAATAATAATAATTTATACGAATTTTGTTTTATTCATTGTTTGCAGAATTTTATAAGACCTTTTCGGGAACATCATATTGATCCAACAAGTATAACCAGACACGATTTTATAGAAACAAATGGTGACAATTTTATGGTCACGATACCATTTCTCTGCAAATTAACATGGGACTTTCTCACCCTCTCAGAATCGGAAATTCAAATGCGATTTGTCTGGACGTGTTATTGGTTTCAACTTGCAATTTTTGTTGCAATGACGAATCAGGTAAAAATTTTATCAATTATTACGAAAAAAATTAAATATTAATCTAAAAAGATGTTAATATGAAAACTAAATTAATTAAAATTTTATCTATTTATTAAGAAATTCTAATAATTAACATAATTTGAAATATTTAATTTAAAATTGAAAAGAGAGTTTCATAAATTAAGCGATTCGGATTCTTTTCGTGAATCGATTTTTAAAAAAATGGTCTTTTAAGAAAAAAAAGAATGAAATAAATTTGACTAGATACACAAATGGTCACATACGTATTTTGGACTTCCGAGCTGGGTCGTGTGGCTCCAGGAACATCGAATAATTTTACCAAGAAGACATCATCGTGTTCATCATGTCGCACCACACGAGACATATTTTTGTATCACAACAGGATGGTTAAATTGGCCTCTAGAAAAACTCCAATTTTGGTGTACACTTGAAATAATAATTGAAAAAACAACAGGTTGTAAGCCAAGAGCTGACGATATGAAATGGGCGCAAAAACGCTCTTGAGATTAAAAACAAACAAAAAATAGATAAAATAAGAAAGAATAATATATATAAACTTAGTCATATTTTTTATCTCAACTTTTACATGTTTAGAAAAGGAATACATTATTATGTATATATATTTAAAGCACCGCAATGAAAAAGACAAACTGACTATGAAAATTAACTAATTTCTCAAATATTTTTCAAAAAAGAAAGTCCTATCGATTAGATCTTTATTTTTTTAATCGTATTATACGTCCATGGAAATAATTAAATTTATAAAAATAATTTAATTTACAAAAAAATGAATGTCTATGGAAAGTTAACAAATATTTCTAAAATTTTTGTTCATAATTTTAACTAAAGATGCAAAAATTCTTTTTTTTTTAAAAGTCAGTTTTTTTCTCAATGAGAAAATAAGTGATAGAATTTTTTTTTGCAAATAATTGCGCGTGAATGAAAGGGAATGAATGTTGTGAGCTTTTGAATTTTACAAGTTTATAAATATTTACCCTCGCAGAATTATATAAACGATATAAAAAGCATAAGACTCGAGAATTTGTGGAGCGATTTCCCTTTTTTACAGGTCCATTTTTACGCAAAAAAAAATAAAAGAAAATATATAATAAAATGTACATTAAATGAAAAGAGAATTGAAAGGAGAAATTGTCAATACAACAGCTTTTTAATCCTGTGATCTACTTGGCCTTTAAGAAACAAAAGATTAAAAAAATATATTAAAGATCGACTATTTAGAATTAATTTAAATTATAAAAATAAATGATTATTAAAGGTATTTAATTTAAGATTTATCTGTGAGCACATTTATAGAAAAGTTTTTTCTATACGCAAAATAGGCTGTCAATCAAATTTACAAATTATATGCACAAACACTCAACTACGATTTTTTTTTAAGAAATAAAAAAAAGACATTTCCCATCTTTTATTGATTTTTGTTTATTTACTCATAATATAAAATGTAAAGCACACGAACACTTACGTACACAATCATATTGAAGCTTTTAGAAATATTTACAAATTTACCAAACAAATTTTTTTTAGCAGACTGCTATTATTAATTATTCAATGATAATAATAATAATAATTAAAAGAAAAACTATTTTGCCTCAAGAAAGAAAATAAAATTCCCTGAACTAAATTTAACATTTATAAAATTAGAGGAGAAAATTGTGATTTTTTAAAAATTAAAATTACACATTTCTTGTTGAAAATGAAGATTAGAAAATATTTTTCTAAACGAACAAATTGTAAAGCGAGTGAATTTTATTTTTCTGATTTGAAGGAAACAAATTTATATGTATATACACAACTGCCTCGAGTTTAACGATATGTATGTACCTAAAAATTGATATTTTATGTCAATATTTATAAATATTGTAAAGACATTTTTTGCAATCTAAAAGTTTTACTCTTTTTCAAAAGTATTTTTTCAAGAAAAGATTTTATTTTTTTTCTTGTCTATATTAACTAAATACTTAATTTCCTATCTATATTTACAGATAAATTAGATTGCAAAAAATGGCTCGGAATAAAATTATTAAATTTATATACAAAAAAAGGTGTTTATCAAAAAAAAATATTTTTTTAACTTCTAATTTTAGTTTATGTGTTTGTTGTGAGTATTTTTCTTATATCTAGTCAGTTATTTTTAACATAATTTGAAAGAATATAATATTTTCTAAATTTATATTCTCTAAATAATAGTTATATAAATTTTTCGTATCCGAAATATTTAATTGAATTAAATAATTAATTGAATCTTGCAAAATGTAATAAAATTTTTGAGATGGCAATTTTTTTTCCAAAAATTTTGATATAATAAAGAAAAACATGTTTCTTTTGATACAAAATATTATTCACTGTCAAGAGATTATTTTTACTTCTATGTAGAGCAAATTTTTGTGAAATTGTTCAACGAATTTGATAAATTAAGATTTAATGCAATAACTTGTGGCAGAAAATTACAAAAAAAATGCGATTTAATCTAAACAGTAGGTGCTAATAATCACGTACAACTTTGCAGGTTCAGGGACCAAAGAGAGACTAATATTATTTAAAGTCGTTTCAAAAATCAAAATAAATTAATTTTATAGTTTGAAAGAAAATTTAAAAAAAACAAAAGTTGAAATTTTTCTTTATTTGATGAACATTACTTTATATTGTGACTTTAATAATATTATTCTTATTGTTGTTGCTACTATTGTTATTGTTATTACAAAAGAATGTCACAAAAATTGAAATAGAAGAAAAAATCTTTTTTAAACTGAAAAAAAATGTAAATTGCCTCTATTTTGCTTCTTAGCTTATCGGCAGGGAAAATACTTTCAAGTAATTATTAAAATAATGATAAATATTTATTAATTTTAATTAATATTAAAGTGACTCTGATCTGAAATTCTGTATTATTAAATTTTGTTATAATTTCTATAATTGTTTCGTTGATTTAAAAATGTTGGTAAAAAAGATTCTATTCTTGATAACATTAAACTCGGCCAAACAAAAAATTAACTAATTTTAATATATTTATTTAAAAACAAATGTTATTGTTTATTAATGTGAAAAAATATTGGGAAAAATGTGATTAACAGAATTTCACTTCTAAGTTCGAGTCATTGAAATATTTATTTATAAGAATAAAAAAAATGTAAATTATTTAATACAAGCTTCGAATGCCTTTGATGAACGATTCAAATAATACAAATTATATTTCCGAAATGCATGATTTATATTTGTATAAAATTTAATAATGGCTCAACCTTATTGCCTTATAAATGTAATGCAAAATTTTTATTTATTTATCTAGATTTTTATTCAATTCACACTATTGTTCTTACGAAAAAGAAAAGAAAAGAAAAGTTCAGGTATTTATATAAACTAAGAAAAGTTTATATTTTTCAATAAAAAAAAACAATATGTATAAAGAAATTGTTTCGAATTATTAAAAATTAAAAAATGCGACTTTAAATTTAAGTTTCAAAGAAACAATTTTTGAAGAAAATACAAAAGTAGTTAAAATTCGACGTTGTGAAATAATCATTCGTTTAATTCGACTCTTTGTATTATTAAAAAAATGATCTAGAAATGTTATATTATAAAAAAAATTGAGTTAATTTAATTTTATTAATGTATAGAATAGTTGCATTACGTATTTCACAGTCTGTTAGCACGAAAATAAACTCTGTAAAAAAATATACGCTGTTTAAAAATTTTAAATTAAGAATAAATTTTATTACTTGAAAAGAAAATGTTTTCGTTCTTTAATTAAAAAAAAGAAATTAAATTAGTAGAAGTAATTAAATTTTTAACAGTAATTATTTGTTGGTGTTTAAAAAGAATTTCCGCACGTGTATTTATGTAGTAAAATTAAAAATGATTTTTAATCGAAAAAATTATTAATCGTACAATATAAATTTATTTGATAAAAATAGCTAAAGAAAATTCTCTCGATTTTGTCACTGACAATTATTATTTATTTTTGATTCATTCTTGGCAATTATCATTCTCGTTCTCTTCTTGACAATTATTTGTTTCCTCTTGCTCCTGACAATTTTCGTCAACATCTCTCGAATTATTATTATCCCTATTTATTCTTTCAGATTGCAAAAGTTTCTCAACAAAACGTGGCAATATTTTTTCAATAGGATCAGTTTTTGTCACACTATTAAAATTCAAAATTCGAACAAATCCATTTTGATAACCAGCCGCTAACCAAAGATAACTCCACGCATTTGGACTCCATGAAATCTGGATTAAAAATGTATTTAAAATAAAATTTATAAGAAAATCATTTTATAGATAGAAATTATAAATTTATTAGAGAATTTATTTATTTACGAAAATAAACTTACGCGATTAATCGAGGCAAATGGATATTGTTCAATTGCAACGTTTTCCATTTGATCTGAAGGCATAACTTTGTACGTCAATTTTCTCGCTTTACATGTTCTGAAAGACTGTAAAAAAATAAATTTAATTTTTAAATGTAACATTAATTGAATATAGTACATTTTCTCCTAAAGTCAATAATTCGAGAAGAGAAAATGTAAAAAAGAACTCACTTTAAAATTATCAGAGAAGGAAATTCCAAAACGCTCAGAACACTCATTGTAACTTGATGGTTTATAATGATATTCTTTCTTGTCTTTTTTATTTTGATCCTCCACTACTGGATTTTCAGTGGATTGAAAATCCGTTACTTCAACATATGAACACAACTGTAAATACATAATTTTATAATTTCAATTTTAATTAATATATTTAATTATTTTTTTATTAAAGTAAAATTTTTCTCTTAGTATTTTAATTATGTGACTAAATAATAATTTTATTCAATTTTATATAAAAATAGATTTAAAAATTTTTTCTCACCCATCGTTTTTTGTTTAGATAATTTTCAATATCCTTGTATAAAATTTGATTGGGAAATATTGCGACAATTTCGCCCGCTAAACTTCCTTGAGCGATTGCATTCGCAAGATCACTGACACCAATTCCCTAATTAAATAACAAATACAATGAAAATAAAGAAATAGACAAGTTTTTTCTTTTATAAAAAACAAAATTCTTACGTATGTTGGAGAATTGGTGGCAAGAACTGGAAAATATTTATATGAATGCTCCCTCAGTGGAATAAGTTGCGAATTCGTGTGACTTAAACTGAAAAAATTTTTTGTACTTAATTAATAATTTTAAATAATTGTCTTTCTTCAAAATTATAAAAATAATGAAGTGTTAATTATAAAAAATAGTTTGTTGTTACTTAACGAAAAAGTAATAGTTTAGAAAAATAAAATGGAGAATTTTTACCTCAAAGCATCGTCATAGCCAAGGATAGAGCACGGCCAATTGTTTAGCCAGGAACCATCGACTGTGAATCCTTTTGTTGTCATACAATCCAAACAATTTATTTGTTCTAAATCCCAAACTTTATAATATCTATCGATTCCAGCAGATGCTAAAAATCTCTTTCCTCCATAGGGAATCATCGATATCACTACAATAAGAAATATTCATTTTTAATTCAGTTTAAAGAAAATATTCTTAAATTTTCTCCATTTTTCTAATTTTTAATTTTTCTTTTCGAAAAAAATTTATAAAATCTTACTTGAGACAGCGTGATGATGAGCGTAGAAATGGCGAAACGAATTGAGAATTGTTATATTTCCTTGTTTCTTTTTTAAAAATGGAGATTGTGTCGTAAGATTCCAGAGGGCAATGTAACCATTCGAAAATCCAGCAGCTAATACGCTTGGAAATTAAAAGATTTGTTAAAAATTTTTTTTACTAATTAACTTTTTTAATTAAATTAAAAATTCTCTAAATTAAATTCCTTGATGATTAAATATAATCATTATGACACTTTTAAAATAAAAAGTTCGTTTATTAAAATTGTTTAGTATAGTAAAATAGAAATCTTACTTGTGTCCCTTCTCCTTCGTCCAACTCAATTTAGTGCATTGCCACGTTGGCTTTTCTTCTTCATTTAATGAAATATTTACAACTAATAATTGTACAGGATTCACTTTATAAATTGGTAATCTAAAATCAAATTCAAAAATCATTTCTATAATTTTGTTAGTTAATAAAAATTAATTAATAAACAAAAGCAAATGTATTCTTAGCTTCAAAGAAACTTAGATAACTTACTCAATTTTTTTACTCTTCATTCCTTCTAATTGTTCGGGGAATGGTAGCGAATAAATATATACAAATCCATCGGAACAAGCAGCGGCCAATAGCCCCAATCTTTTCATTTTTTCAAGAGCGTCCTCAGAATCAGGATTTTGATAACATCCAGAGGGGCAACATTCCATGCACCAAATTGTCCCACCATTGTGAGCTATTGCGTAGCACAATTCCGGATTCGAGAATTCATTATTGCTACAATTTTTTAAAATAAAAAACCAACATTAATTACTTGATTAATTATAAAAAAAATTCAGTGAAAAATGAAAGAAAAGAATAAAATTGAAAATAATCTTCAATTATAATAAATACAACTTACTTTTGTTGCAAATTTCCCAAATTCCAAATTTGTATAACATTTTTCCCCCCGTACGCTTGGCCCATTAAATATTCACTTTCCATCTTTGGATGCGTGCTGATTGCTAAATACTGATTTGATTGTTGAGAGTAGAATTTAAAGGGTATTGGCAACCAGGCCATTGCCCAAACTGGACCGCCGACAAAAAACATTGGGACATCTAAAAAAAAATATTTCCTTTTTTTAATAACAGACTTTGCACTCGATAATTAATTTTAAGAAAGTAGAAAAATTCATATTTTCATCAAAGAATTTAAATATTTATAAAAATAATTTAATTCTTGCGAAGAATTTTATAAAAAATTTTAAATAACTGAATTCTTTTAACTAATTTTATGCAAATTCTAATTTAAATAATTGATTTTATTAATTTTTTTTTTTGAAAATAATTAAATTCCTAAAAAGCATTATATTAGTTATGAAAATATTTGAATTCTTGCAAATAATTTCGTTATTTATAAAGATAATTGAATTCTTACCAAGAATTTTTATTAATTTTTTGAAAATAATAATTGAATTTTTTTGAAGAAATTTGGTATTTATGAAAATAATTGAATTCTTATGAAGAATTTGATCAAAAAATTATTAAAATAATTGAATTTCTTCGAAGAATATTAAAATTCTTGAGAATAATTAAATTCATTTTATGGAATGTAATTAAAAATTGTATTAAAAATAATTCAATTATTTTTGGGGCGGTATCAATTGCCCAAAATTCAACTGTATACAGGAAAACTGCCCACGTTCAAGTGCAACCGAGAAAACTGTATAAAAGCAAAAAATTATAAAAATTTTCAAAAATAATTGAATTCTTGAGAAGAATTTTGTTATTTATGAAAATAATTGAATTTTTCATAAGAATTTTATAAACATTATTTTAAATAATTTTATTTTTTTTAACTTTAATGAATAATATGAAAATATTATTTTAAATAATTGAATTCTTGTGGAAATTTTTATTTGTGAAAATAATGGAATTTTTCTATTAATTAATTTAAAATAGTATTAAAAATAATTGAAATTCTTCTATGAGTTTTATTATTTATGAAAATAATAGAATTCTTGTTTAGAATTTTATCAAAAAATTTTTTAAAAAATTAAATTTCCATTAAAAATGTTATTATTAGATAGTGAAAGTAATTTAATTCTTGCGAAGAATTGAATGAATGAAAAATAATTGATTTTTAGAAAACTAGAAATATACAAATAAAATATTTATCTTAATATGTTAATTTGATATTTTTTGTATTAAAATAGTTTTTTAATAATAATGAAACTGACCGTCTTCAACTTTTCCCTCGAATCTCTGCCAATAATTCCACTCATTCCCTGTGTCAATTACACTTTTAACTGCCATCGAACGTTTCAACTCTGGTAAAAAATCATCTGCTTCTTCATTACTCAAAAGTTTGAATTCATTTGGCAGTAAATCTTCAAATAAATTCAATTGATAATTATTCATTTCACTGAAAAAAAGAAAATAGTCTTTTTGATTAAGACAAGAAATAAATAAAAAAATAAAAATTGTCGGCATAATTTTTTCTTCTCTTACTTACAATTCAAGAGTCCATCGATAAGCGGCAGTATAGGGAACATTACTTTTCGGATTTTGCACTAATTCCCTATCTAAAAAGACAGCTCGAAAAGCACCTGTAAATTAAAAATTGTAAAATAATAGTATAATAACTGATTTCAAATTAAAAATAAATAAAAACTCACGTAATTTTTCTTCGGGCTTGTCGGGAAGAAATCGAAGATTAGAAGATTTTACCTTGGCATTTTCATTTTCATCTTCACTCGACTCTGTAGTGTCCTCATTTTTTAAGTCATGATCCGGATCCAAGTCAATATTATCAAACACTGAATGTTTATCTATTATGTGATCCTTTATTTCCTTCTGAATTTTCGAGTGCATATTGCATACTTTACAAACATAATTCTGTTTGGGAAATAATAAAAAAATATTTTTTATTTTATGGCTTGAAGAAAATTCATTTTCGTTTACTTGATTAATAGAAAACATACTTCTTGCGGTTGGAAGTTACATTTTGTGTAATGATCGCATATTATTTCCAAAGTTACTCCATAATAATTACATTGTTGTCGACATCTTGCTATTCCCGTTTCTTCCAATTCTTTCTGAAAAGCATTTCTCAAGGTGCGTCCAATTTTTCTCTTTAATAGAGGCCTCTTAATGAAATTATACTAAAAATAGAATTAAATTTTATTAGTTATTTTTTGTAATAATATTATATTAATTTAGAGAGAAATGTAAAAAATCTTACGATTGTAGTAGGTGTAATTTTTTCGCTGTGCGGAATAATCTCGCTTGTAAATTCAGAAATTTTTGTCACCGCTCTGTAAAAAAAAATTAGTTTTCTCGTTTTTTATTTTCACCACCTTGCAATTATTTTTCATCAATAAAGATTTTAATATAATTTTATTATCATGATCTTAAACTTAATAATTGGAAAAGATGAAAAAAGCTCATAATTAAACTCAAAAAATGGGTAAATTAAAATTTTGAATAACTAAAATGTTTCTTACTTTTGTGCGGCTTTTCGTTTAGACCTTCCTTGACTTGTGGTACATTCCAAATTTTCCTCCAGTTCGTTTTGATAATCGTAACTCAAATTTAATTTTTCTTTTTGGCAATTTTTTTCATGAGTATACATCGAAGTTGGTTTTATTTTTGAATTACATCTGGGACATTGAATCATCAACTGTAATCTTTCCTACAAAAAACATATTTACATTATTATTAATTTGTAATTACTAATTAATAATAATATTTATCAATATCAACTCTTTGCAATAATGTAAAAAGATTACTAAGTATTTTTAAAAAACTTACAGAATCTGATTTACCACAAAATCGAATGTGTGACAAAAATCCAACTGCACTTCGCTTTTGAATTCCACATTGTTCACATGTCAGTTGCCCCTTTCGTTTCTTTATTGCCAGTGATAATAATTTCTTTAGCAATTTTTCGTCAGAATCATCCTTGAGAAAAAAAGAAATTTGCAGAAATTAAATAAAAAAACTTGAATAATATCTATATTAATAATCGTTGTATTCTGGTAACCTGTTCGCAGTTTTTAACTGCTATTTGCTTTTTTGTTTCCTAACTTTTTAAATAATTTTTCTTTTTAAATGTTTAAAATTTAAAAATTAATGTACTGAAAATCATTAAATTCTTGTACAGTATTTGTAACAAAATTTTAATATAATTTAATTTCAAGAATTTTATCAACATTTTTTTCAAATAATTGAATTCTTTCGAGAAAATGTAATTAAAATTTTATTGAAAATAATTTAATTCATGGCAAGATTTTTATTAAAATTCTTTAAAATAATTAAATTGTTTTGAAGAATTTATTTCAATATTCTTGAAAATAAATTTTTTTTTATTAATTTTTAATGAAAATTTTGAAAATAATTGAATTTTAAGAAGAATTTCTTTTAAGTTTTTAAAATAATCATGTTTTTTATTAATTGTAATTAACGAGTTTCCTTTTAAATTCTATTAAAATTATTCAAAGAAAATTTAATTCTTTTAAACAATTTTATTAGATTTTTTGTAAATAATTACATTTTTTAAAAGAATTTCACTACATTTCGTAAAAATAATGTATTTTTTTTAAATATTTTCAATTGAAAATTTTGAAAATACTTGAAATGTACAAAGAATTTTATTAAAAACTTTTGAGAACAATTGAATTCTTTAGAAAAATGTTCTTACAATTTTTAAAAATAATTGAACCTGTTAGAGAAATTTTATTTAAAAAAACTTGAATATAATTGAATTTTTTCCTAGAAAATTTAATTAAAATTGTATTGAAAATAAGTTATTTTCTCAGAAGAATTTGATTATTTACAAAAATAATTGAATTCTTGCCAAGAATTTTACAAATTTATCAAAATAATTGAATTGTTACGAAGAATTTTTCATCAGAATTGTTAAAAATGATCCGAAACATTTTATTGTTTATAAAAATAATTGAATTCGTTTGAAGAATTTTATTATTTATAAAAATATTTTAATTCTTGCGAAAAATTTTCTTATTTACGAAAATAATTGAATTCTTGCGGAGGATTTTACAATTTCATAAAAATAATTGAATTATTTCGAACAAATTTTATCTGAATTCTTGAAAATAATTGGATTTTCTGAAGAAATTTTATTAAAAATTTTGAAATTAATGATTCATTTAGAAGAGTTTCATCAAAATTGTCGAAAATAATTGAATTTTTATTAAAATTCTTGAAAATAATCCTATTTAAATAATATTTTGAAAAATAATTGTATTCTTTCGAGAAATTTTATTAAAATTCTATTGAAAATGATTGAATGCTTGTGAAGAATTTTATTATCTATGAGAATAATGAAATTCTTGCAACAAAATTTATTAAAATTTTTGAATAATAATAAACAAGAATATTTAATATTATGTACTTAATAAGTGAATTCTTTAAATTTTAAATCTGTAATCATTCAAAAATTTATGCTTATACTTGAAAATAAAAAATTTTTTAATTTACAAAATAATAATAAATGGAATACCGCGTAAAAAAATTTGCTATTTTTTAATATAAAATTTAAAATCTTACCACTGGTTTGTTACCGTCAATCCATCCGGTATCATTGTGCTTCATCAAATTATGTCGATTCCAATCTCTTTTCACGAGCTCTTCTTGACATTTACCGCATTTGATATTTCGCATCTAATATCAAACATTTAAAAAAAATTGTATTATTTCAATTAATTGTTGGATTTTTGAATAGTTGTAAATAGTTCTAAATAGGAAAATAAGAAACTAACATTTTTAGCGGGTTCTGCAGATACAGGAACAATTTCCTCTTCTGTCGATTGATCAAGAACACCTTCCTCGAAAGTTACAGTAACTTCGGCATTTTCATCTTCACGACTACGTCTTCCTCTTGTCGGTCGTGTTCCTCTATTTCTCACTCTACCTCTTCCTCTTCCTCTATTCTTCACACTCCCATACGGTCTTCCCTTTCTTTCTGAATAATCATCATCATCATCCTCCAAATCACTCCCTTCGTTCCACTCTCGAATCTGACGTGTCGTTCTTCTCGTTCTACCAAGAAGTCCCGCGTACAATTGTTCACTATTATTTTCCACAACCTCGCCTTTTGTTTTTTCATCGTGAATATTTGATATTTCCATGGGTGTCAATATTGATAATGGCTTTTTCTTTGGTCTACCACGTTTTTTTGGTTCTGAATTTTCCAAATCGGGTACAATTGTTTCAGTATCATTTAGAATTGAACTCGAATTTATTGAATCTGAAATTGTATTCTCTTGAATAGAACAACTTGAAATATTATTCTCCTCATCATTTTCATAATTAGATCGTAAATTTGCAGTTTCTTCTATTGACGCCGGCTCCTGTTTTACAAAGCAAGAATAAATTTGTGATTGCTTCTCATGTTTCGAATTTTCTGGAGGCGGAACTCTAATATTTGTTGTCGTACTATCATTTTGATTGGTATTCGATTCACTTTCCATAGTTTCGTAATATTCGACAACGTACTCCTCTGTTTCTTCCATTTTTCCTACTTCTGTTGATTACCTACAAAATTAAATTTATTAGACGAAAAAACTCGCTAAAAATGAAAATTTTTCATTAATTGTATTTTTAAATTAATATTAATAAAGTTATGTCCAATGTCATAATTTCTTAATTTGAAAGAGAAAGAAAAATTAAATTTTAAATTCGTTTTCAGGGTTTTCAGGGTGAAGATTTTAATTTTGAACATTTAAAACGATTGAAAGTTGTATTTGAATGATTTGAATAAAAATTATAATTTTCTATCAATAAGAATAACATATTTATTACATTGTAGGTTATGTTACTTAAATAATTTATTTATTATTTTGACAAAAAATTATAATTATAACCTCAAATCGTTCAAAATGTAGAAAATTAAATTCCTTACGCTTCTACCACAAGGAATTTAAAATTTAATGTGTCCTTCTCTTTTAAAATACGTAATTATGACATTGGACTAACTTTTGTTCCGATTGTTTGTCAGATTTTTTCTTAAAACGCGAGTTTTTTCGACAAAGCCGGTTACTTTATTAATTTTACAGTTACTAATATTTTTCACTAAATTATTATTTTGTAAATTTGTATGAAAAATTCTATTCTTACCTTATTCTTATTGTATTCCAATTTCTTTTATATATTCACTTTTTAATTAAAATATACAAGAAAAAAAAACTGTAAATCTTGTTTTTATAAATAACTCAGAATGTAGTGTTAAGTAAAGTTAATAAACAAACTTTATTTACGCTTCTAATAATAATTAACTGTATGCTTCTTGTCTTTCGTGTTTGTTCATTTTATATACATACACATTTATTTATTTATTTATTATTTATATTTTTATAGTGTTTTTAGGTTAGGTTAGGTTAGAAAGTCGTTAGTTTTCCGTTTGGCCACCAAATTTTAAAGCGCTGATAATGGCAGGGTTGGGTATGTTAAATTATTCGCATATTGAAAAATTACGATTTGTACGTGAAATACCGTCTTTTTTTACACTTGTTTACAAGGTTTACAGTGACATGCGTACAATACGCAGAGAAAACGATTGGCAGAACTGACAGTATATTTCAGTTTATTTTTTGTTGGTACAACTGTGATCGGAAGTTGTCTTTCTTTTCGTCTCTTTTCCGAACGTCGTGACACACGGTGAGTTTTGTTTAGTTAAAAATATCCTTTATTATCACTGACATCTTTAAAAAATAACATCTTAATCATGAAGAATATAATAAACATTTTATTTCTTTATCATGCAACTGATAAAGTTTATAAGATTTTAAGGTATTTTTTCTTTTTTTCGCACGTTAATTTTTGCCGAACATAACCTATAAGATCGCGTCTTTCGTATGTCAATTTTTCTATTCTTTCCCGTTAATTATTAAATCTTATTGAATAATTTTCAATTGTTCTTTTGTATCTTGTTTGCAATTGAAAACAAATCCCTCTCTAAAAAACGTGGTTTTTGAATTGTTGATATCAATAATAGAAGTGTTGAAAAATCTTGAATATCATATGGAACTTGTTAAACAAAATGGGCTTATAATTTGGAAAAGATGATAAAATTTCTACTTTTCAGGTCACAAAAATGGGAGCTTATAAATATATGCAAGAGTTGTATCGCAAGAAGCAAAGCGATGTGCTTCGCTTCTTACTCCGTATTCGGTGTTGGCAATATCGCCAATTGACAAAACTTCACCGAGCTCCCAGACCATCGAGGCCGGACAAAGCTAGACGTCTTGGATATAAGGCTAAACAAGGTATGTTTCTGACTGAAAAATATTTTCCAATAATTGATATTTATCTAAAAAAAAACATTTTTGTTTTCACAAATTATTTTTGTTATTAACAAAGTGATGATTTGCATGCACCACTCTCAATATTTATATGTTGATATAAAATGCGAACTGAATTAAAAAAAAAGGAATTGTTAATTGTCAGAATTTTCTTTGAAAGTGGAATTAATTTTCGGGGGGTTTTTTCCAGGTTTTGTAATCTTCAGAATCCGCGTTCGTCGTGGAGGAAGAAAGAGGCCAGTGCCAAAAGGTGCCACATACGGTAAACCCAAGAGCCATGGAGTTAATCAATTGAAGCCGACCAGAAAATTACAATCCGTGGCAGAGGTGAGTTTTTTTCTTCCTATCATTAAAATTGTATTTCGATTTATTTCAAGAATTTATTTTTTACTAAAAAAAACTAGGAATTTCAAATTTCAAATTAGAAATAAAAGTTTTAAAAAATTCGTAAATGAAGGAAAAATTTATACAATTTATAGAAAAAACATTAATTTAAACTTAAATAATAGTGAAGTTTGAAATAAAAAAAGGATCTTGAAATAAGTAGAAATTTCTTTTAAGCTTTAGATTCTAAATGATGATATCAATATTTGCCTAAATGAGTGCAAAGTGATTAATTAACTTCCTTGGATGTCTGAAAAAATCATTTTCTATATGAATTAGTTTATAAAAGTAGTTTTTGCGAAATTAAGAGAAATTTCTTTTCTTACAGGAACGTGTCGGTCGTCGATGTGGAGGTCTCAGAGTCCTAAGCAGTTATTGGGTGGCCCAAGATTCCTCGTATAAATATTACGAAGTAATTCTTGTCGATCCAGCACACAAGGTAATTTTTTTAAATCCTCCTTCAAATATTTATTTTTGCTGTTAGTAAATAATGCCCTTTTTTCATTATCAATTTTCTTTCGAACACGGAGAGAAAATATATTATTAAATGTAAAAGTATTTTACAATTTGGGGAGAAAGTGCAACAAACCGAAATTTTGACATAGAAAATACTAAACAGTCAAAGAAATAATATAAAGTTTAGTAAAGTTATATTAAAATTTGAACTAAAATTCTTATATTTGACATAATTATACTTTTCATATAAGTTTTTTTAAAGTTTAGTACTTTTTCTATCAAAATTTCGCTTTGTCGCATTTTTTGACCAAATTGTGAAATAAAATTTAATATAATTTTCTCTCCGTAAATAAAAAGAATTTATGAAAATTTTAAATGATGAAGTGCATGCACCACTCTCAATTTTTAAGTGTGGATATCAAATGCAGACTGAATAGTAGAAATAAAAAGTTTATTTCCAAATATTAAAGAAGAAAATAATTTTTTTCGGTTTTCAAGTACTTTTGGGTAAATAAAAATTTTATTTTTCATTTTCAGGCAATTCGTAATGATCCCAAAATCAATTGGGTATGTAATGCCGTACATAAACATCGTGAATTGCGTGGAAAAACATCGTCTGGAAAGAGTTCACGTGGCCTTGGCAAAGGTCACAGATTTTCGCAAACCATTGGTGGTTCGCGTCGTGCTGCTTGGCTACGCAGAAACTCATTGTCTCTGCGCAGAAAACGTTAATAAAATTTTTTTTTATTTCAACATCTGTTACATTTTTATTGGAACATAAAGGAAACCTTCACGAAAGTAAACAGAAAATTCCCTCGATATTTTTTTTCACTTTCCATTACCTTTCTTTGCTGAGTGACAAAATACGAATTAAAAAGAAAAAAAGTTATTTATAATTAAATTAATATAATCTTGCCTTTGTTTTTAGTAGTGAAAACGAAATAGAATTTATACAAATATGACAATATGAATTAAAGTAAATATTTATATTTATAACTAAAGGAGAATTTTTATAATTTAGAATTTGATTAAATGAAAATAAGTTCGTTCTGCTTAAACTTACAAAAATGAGTTTTAACAATATTATTTTATTATGTTAACTTTATTTACGAATATCTTTAATTGTAAAATTATTCGGAAACAATTTCTTTTTCAACTATTTTAAATATTTAATTAGGTTAATTTTCAGTAGGAATTAAAATTCTTCAAAACATTTAAATTCAAACCTTTTTGAAATTAATCAACTTTAAAAGGATTGTTATAAAACATAAAGATAACGATCGTTTAATTAATTATAATAATAATTAATTAAAATTTTGACCAGAATTTAATTATTTCAATACAAAAGTAAATTATTTATTGAATAATTGAATTTTTCTTAAAATGTAATTTTTATCAAGAATTTTATTACAAATTTTTAAATAATTGGATTCTTTTGACAAATTTTAATACAAAATTTTAGAATAGTTACATTTTTCAAGTAATTCGATTAAAATTGTATTAATAATAATTGAATATCAGCAAAGAATTTTACTAATTTATAAAAATAATTGAATTTGACAAATTTAACTAATTTTAGAAGATTTTGAATTATTAAAATTTTTCAAAATTCTAAGTTCCATTAAAATTTCTAATTAAATTGATTCAATATTGAAATTTTATAAAATTTCAAATTGAAACCGTTTTAAAATTGCTTATTTTATTTAAAAAAGTGAGTGAGCTAGTTTTATATAAAAATTGATTTAAAAATTCAGGAAACAAAAAACAATAAAAGTGGTAAATCGTTTATTATTGATCGATATAAAGTAAATTCACTTATAGTCTTTTAAGTTCTCATTTTACATACTTAATATATCACAATTAAGCTAACACCAAATTTTATTTTTAAATTGGTTTTTAAAAATATTATAAACCTTGTCAAGTTGAATCTTAGATAAAAAAAAAGAAAAATAAATAACATCGATCCTTATTAAAATTGTACTGGAAGCAAATTCTTATAGTTATTAGATTGTAAAATGACTACGATAAAGATTCTTTTAAATTGTAATATTAAGACATTCTTTTTTTCTTCTTCTTTTCATTGCTTATGGATAAATTGTTAATAAATTGTTTCAATTAATTTGCCTATCGCAGTCTCAATGATTAGTAGGTAGAGATCCACCATTGTCATATTGGCTTTTATTTTTGAGAAGATAACCGGCTAAATAATTGATCGGATCTGGTGGTCGTTCTTTTGCTAGAGTTGAAAGTGCTTGTAATAATATTGGCACGACAGTTTGATCCAAATATTGACGAGTTGGAAGAGATTGGACTTCGACACGAGATTTCTTTGTTGGCGCTGTCGATGAATCTGGTTCTTTCTCAATCGCTATTGCTTTCTAGAAGCAAATTCAATTTTTTTAAGAATAATTTCTTAAAAATTAAACTTAAAGTAGTTACTTTTTAAATTAAAGTTACTTTTTAATTAATCGAAATAATTTCTTTTAATAAAGAAAAAATTTCGTTGGGTTCTTAGCTTTCATTATAGTTAAAGTAAAAACGTGTAGAAATTGCAAGAATGTTATTTACTTCAATATAATGTTTTCTTTCCTTGTAAACAAACATAAATAAAAACATTTCGACTTTTACAATTTTGTTAATGTAAAACAATTTTTTAACTTCGATTTAAAAGAGAAAAACATTTTATTAACACTAAATAAATATGAAGATATTTTTAATAAATAAAATATCAAATAATAAATTAATCTTTTTTTCTTTTTTTCAGTTTATAGAATTTTTTGTTTATTTTCTAGGTTATGTTACTCACTTGAATTGATTCGGTGACGGGACTCACAATTGTTTGGGCCACAACTGGCTCTGTTCTTTCTTCCGTTGCACTTTCTGTAAATGAAAATAATTAAAATAACCAATTATCATTTTTGCGAATCGCTTAAAACAATAATTTCAATAATTTCTCACCACTGACGGACGCCATGATATAAACAATCAAAGTGAACAATCGTCAAATCAGCAGATTGTCAATTTGCGTCATTGTTACCAATTTATCAAAATAATCAAATAAGTTTAAAAAAAAGAGGGTAAAAGTACTTTTCACCATAAGAGATAAAAGTTTTAAAATTAAATCTTCTTAAATAGAAAATTTTATATTTATATTGAAAGATTGAAATAAAGTTATAACTATTAAATATTAATATTTAAATTTATGTTTCTTATGTTGCACTTCTGATATATTGTAATTGTAGATAAATTCAGAGTTTAATGATTAATATCTATTTATTTATGTTCTTTTCCATCTTCTACTAAGTAGTATTTTTACAAATTAAAAGCTTTTTTAAATAAACTTAAAAAAATAAAACTTTTTTTTTAATCAAACTTTCAAAATACCCGCGGGAATATTAAGTTTAGTTCACATGCACCGCTTGCTTAAGTACAGGTTATGTTTCGGTAAAAATCGCAACTAAAGGTAGTGATAATCGTATAATAATGTATTTTACGTATAAATGCCGTAGGCGAGAAAAGTGTTCATTCACAGTAACGACATTTTTGCGCGATGCTTTTATCCACAAATAATTAAATTTTTAACAAAAATATAAATATATGACTGCTTATTAATAATCAAAAAAGCTGTTTGTGATCATTATTTTACAATTCTATATGAAAACGAATTGTAAAAGGAAAATAGAAAAAAGTCCCTTAGATTATATCCATACGTTCTCCATTTTAGATTTAAAAAAAAAATTGTAATAACCACAGTCAACAATTTATTTTCATTTTTCAACAGTGTTCCCATGTGTTCCTAAATAATCTGAATAATAAACTGCATGAACTGCATAAACTGTATTATTCAGTATTATTAGTTTAATTTGGAGAATATTTGTGATAAATAGTTATTAGAAACTTGAATTGTGAGAATTATTTGTATATTTTTATATATTCTGAGGGAAAAAAAGAACTACAAAAGATCTATTGCCACTATTTTCGTGATTTTCGTTAACAGATGTGTTCTATTGTTTGTAATAACATGTCGAACAAATTCGATGCGTAAGTATATTTATTATCTTTTCTATCTTATTCCTTTTTATTTTTTTCGTTCACGTTTCATTATATTCATTTTATTGGAGAAAGCTTAGTCAATATTTACGTTTGCTATTTTTTGGCCAATTACAGTAATTTAATATATATAATAACAATTGTTTTGTTTCTAATTAAGAAGGGATTTTTTTTATATTTAAACTAAAAGTTGATAGAATTTGATTAATATTTGTTTGTATTTGTTTATCTATAATTTTATTTTAGGTTAGGTTATGTTTTGCACTTAATGAGTGCTGACACGTTTTTTTCAACCATTGTTTTATTATAGACTTTAAATTAAATTGTTAAATAGATAAGAAAGTATATTTTTTTGTATTTTTCTAGTTTTGAGAAAAGTATTTTTAAACAAGAATTTCTGTCAAATTCTTTGTTTTTCCGACTTGTTTGATGTTTTGAACATAAGTAATTTATTTTTTGCAGACTAAAGACCAGTGACGACAGTGGAGACGATGAATCTCAGTTGAAAGATAGTCAAAAGTCCGATAAAGACAGTTTAGTGAGTAAAAAAATATAACAAGAAAAAAATTAATAAAATAAAAAAAATGATGAATTTTTTCGGTTTATAATATTTTGTTTTTTCTTAAATTGCAGCCACCAATAGAAATAAATCCGAATGATCATAAATTACAATATTCATATGCCTTATGGTACAGTCGGAGAAATCCTGGTAAACAAACAAATGTACAAAGTTACGACCAAAATTTAAAATTAGTCGGAAGGTTTGGAAGTGTTGAACAATTTTGGGGCCTTTACAGTCATTTAGTCAGACCTTCAGAATTATCAATACACACAGACTTTCATTTATTTAAGGAAGGAATCAAACCAATGTGGGAGGTTTGCATAATTTCTGTTTTACAAACAACTATCAGGATTGCCACGCAACCAGAAAAAGTAAATTTTTATTTTACAGGACGAGGCAAATCAAAGAGGAGGTAAATGGATAGTTAGATTACGCAAAGGTTTGGTTTCACGATGTTGGGAAAATTTAGTTTTAGCGATGTTGGGGGAACAATTCATGGTGGGCGAAGAAATTTGCGGTGCCGTTGTATCTATTAGGTATCAGGTAAATACGAAAATTTCAATTATTATTTTAATAAAGTTAAATATAAATTTAAAAAATTTAACAATTTAAATTTTTTCTTTCACAGGAAGATATAATATGTGTATGGAATAAAACAGCATCTGATGTTGCGACGACAGCCCGTATCAGAGATACATTGAGGCGTGTTTTGCATTTGCCAGGCAGTGCATCAATGGAATATAAAACGCACAATGACAGCTTAAAGAACATTCGCGTTTAATTTTTATTACACTTGCCAAAATTCAAATTAACATCCATTGAAGTGTTCCATAAAAAAAAAAAATTGAGAGAAAATAATTAACACTTCATTATCCCAAAGAAAGGGGATTTTATTTTTGGTTCTTTTTTTTTTGGTAAATTTGTGAGATTTGACTGAGAATTCTTTGAAATAATTTTTTTTTTCTTCTTCATAGAAACTTTGTTTTTTATTTTATCAAAACAAAGATTTATTGAGAATTAAGAATTCAAGTTTTATTTATTTTTTTCATATATAAAAACAGAAAATTTAATTAACTTTGAGAAAAATACAATATTTTTACATTATTTTATTAGTGTACATTTTCTCTTTGGTATATTGATTATTGAATTCGAATCGTTATTAAAGAAAAAGAAGAAAAATATTTAAAAAAAAAAATCAAGTGACCATTGATAAAACAGGAATGAGAAAATATAATTTTTATTGATTGTTAAATTTGTACAATATAAGTTTAATAATTTGTAGTATGTGAGGATTTGAAAAATAAAAAATAAAAATCATGTACTTAAATTATTTTTAGATCGCCATTGAGTTAATTTTTATCATTATTTATTATTATTATTTATTGTTAACTTTTTCCTTAATTTTATTTTAACTTTTTCCTTTAATTATTATTTATTACTTTATTTAATTATAATATAATTATCAAATTTTAAAAAAGTTTTATTTGTGGAAAGAAATGAAAAGTAAAAATTTAGGTTTGAATTTTCGCGGGGAAAATTGAAAAGTAACGTCCAATGAGATAAGAGGAAATATACTTGTGAACAACCAATAAGAATTGAATATTGCGAAAGAAGCGTCCTTCGTTTTCCAGGTTTTCCATATATTTAAAACCAATAGAACTATTGGTTGAAAAGAAAACTTGACACGATTGGCTAATTTTCGCCGGGTAACATTTCCCCCCTCTTTTCTTGGAAAAAGATGGCATCATTTTCATACGTTCATTCTTCATTGATGTACGCTCTTCGCTTTCACTTCTTTCATTTCACTAATGTGAATGAAACGAAGAGTGACAAAGAGTGTTTTGTTCAATGTAAAAATTAAATTCATAAAGAAAGGAGAACAAAAAATTGTGAATCGTTTATTTTGTAGTCAGTGGTATGTAAAAATCCATATGGACTTTGATAATTGTCTTTTTTTATCAAAAAAATGTGACGTCTATAATAATTTTGCATCATTATGTCAATGACTGTTGGTTTCACTTTTATTTAGGTATAATTTACATATTACCTTGTTTATAACTTTTTTTGTTATCGCAGGAGAAAATATATTTTCTGTTTTTTTTTTTTTTTAATTAAATTGCCATTAGTAGATTTATGCACATTATTCATACTTTATTTAAAATGCTTTAAATATGAGAACGAGAAGCCGCGATTATTTGCTAAGGTTGCTGAAAAAAATTCTCATCAATTGATGTAATCATTTATTGTTTCACAGTTCTCTTGTTTATATGTTTTTATTATTGTTTTTCTTTTCAAATTCTTATTTAAAAATTATCGAACATTTTTTTAATTCTTTTACTTAGTGAAAATATCTTTCTACAATTATAAATATATAGCAATGTTAAATGTTTACCAAAAGATGCAGGTGATAATTTTTAGGTTAGGAAACGTGCTTTATGCTTTTATCAAGATAAAATTAATATAAAAAATAATTTTGAAATTGAGAAGAAATTATTGAAAATGTAATAAATTCATCTTCCTTTACAGAAACTATTTTATATTTGTAGTTATTTTGATAAATAAGTTTGTACCATTCCCTTTGTTTTATCGATCAGAAAAATTCTATTAAAATATATGACTAGATTAACAATACATCAACTGACATGCTATTTTATTGATTATTGATTAAGTACCTTTTTTATGAAATAGATACTTTCCAGTGAACTTTGTCACTGATAATATTTTGAATAAAATGATAATCATATCTATGATGAAATAAATGACCTAGAAATTTTAGTAATTCTGTTTTTATAATAATTAAATTACATATTTAAATTTTATTATAAAAATATTTCCAACTCGTTTAAATAAATAAATTAACATATTTAAATCAATGTTTAATAAAATCACATCTGTTTACATTAAAATAAACAAATAATGTTATCATTTAAATAGGCTTTAACAATGTGCGCACAGGTGCAAGTATAAGTTACGGGATGTTAAGTATATATATTTAAAAAAATTCAAAACATTACGTCAATTAACGATAATTTTAGTTTAAATTATATTTTTAGAAAATTCTAACCAATAGTAAAAGAAATAGAAAAATATCTTTGATTTAATAATTTTTTTCTTTTGTTACACAGATGATTCTAAAAGTAATTGCAATTTAAAAATTGTCGGTAAATGTAAATGTGAAAAAACAAAAACAATTTTTAAAGAAGAAAAAATTGCCAAACTACAAATAAATTTAAAGAAAAACGAGTGAATTTCTTTTAAGAAAAAGAAATTATGGAAATCGATAAAGAACTAGACACGTCCTTAGCAAAGGAAAATTCCGATTCCGTTGAAAAAAAGTCCGATGATTCAAAAACTGAACCAAAAGATGAAAAAATAGATGATGACGGCAATAATAAAGAAAATAAAAATAAATCCAAGGATAATATTGAAAAATCACAAAATGATGAGAAAACAAATGAAAATGTAATTAAAGATCAAGATTCAAAAATTACAAATAATATCGAAACTTGTGAATCAAAAATTCAAGAAACTGATCAAGTTTCGAAATCAAAAAACGAAGAAAGTGAAAAAATGGAAATCGACGAACAACCTGATAAATCGAAAGAAGCCGAGGATAAAGAAAAATCGTTAATTACTTCGAAATCGAACGAAAAAACAAATTTGGATATTAAAGAAGAAAAAGTCACGAAAATTGTAACCGACAATCAGGAAAAGAAAAATATCCCAGAAAAAGAAGAAAACAAAGCACAAGCAACCGTTAAAAAAATTAATAAAACTCAAGAGAAATCCCCTGCAGAAAAAAAAGTCGAAACTGCAAAAACTTCTCCGGCAATAAATGAAAATGAAAAGAAATTGGAAACTAAATCCAATTCAGAAGACACAACAACTGAAACAATTGAAAAATCAAAAGAAATTGAAAATAAAACTACCTCAGCAGAACCTGTGAAATCCGTAACTCCAAAACCAAAACCAAAATTAACAGAAAAACAGTCGGTAAATAAACCCAATGTTGGAAATACAAAAATAACAACACCCAAAGCAGTCGAAAATAAGCAATTGGAGAATAAAAGAAAATCAACTTTAGAAACAAATGAAACAACTGCCGAAAAATCAATAACAGAAAATGTTTCCAAAAAACGTAAAATCCAAGAAACTACTCCCCAAACGAATAATAAACAACAAGCTGTGAAAAAAGCAGCAAACACCAAAAAATCGAGTGATTTACCGGAAATTAAATCAAACTCGGAAAAAGTAACAAAGGAAGAAAATTCTGAAGTTGTGAAAAAGAAGAAAACTGATCCTCCAAAGGCGAAAAAAAATATCGATTTTACTGATGAGGATATTATGAATAATTTGGATGATATCGAGGATATTATTTGTAATTCATCGTCGTTTAACGTTAACGAAGATACGAAAATTACTAAGAAAATTTGTGATCAAAAGGACGAGTCACATCTAATGAAGAGTAAAAATGATTGGTATGAACCTAAGGTTAGTAATTTTTTTTCTCCTTTTTAACGAGAGAGAAATCATTCATATTAACAGTGGAAACAAATACCTAACAAACAAATATAAAAATAGTAATTTAAAATATAAACTTTTGCAAAATCTGAATTTTTTCTAGATAGTCAATAAAAATAATTTTTTTTTAATAAATTTATTTTTAATGAATTTATTTTTAATTAGTAATAGATTTATTTTTAATTAATAATTAATTTTTCTTTTAGCTTCAAGAAAAGCATGAGCTCGTTAGAGAACGTCTGGCAAAATTGGCACGAGTTTTGGAATATTCTTATCCCTCGTACAAAAAATGGTTGAATGCTGTTCAAACCAATATTGGAACACCAGTTTGTAGACTGAAACCACCGAGACGTTGTTCATTGAAACACCCGCACACAAATAGATGGAAATTTACATGTGAGTAATTTACAAATACTAAGGAAAAAAAATTTTCAATTCTATTTCGAAAATTTTCATTTAAATTACAAAGTTTTTTCGAATTTACTTTATTTCCTTTACATTAATTTATTGATATTATCATTACTAAATCATATTAATCGTAGTTTGAAAAATTTGTAACAAATATTTCATAATTCTTTTAATTTTTCTATTTTTCGTTGAAACTTTGGGTTCAATCGAATTTTAAATTTCTGTACTTTGTTTAAATAATTAAAAAAAATTTTAATTTTCCCAACTAATTATATTTACATTTTCAAATATATATATTTTTATACAGGAAAAGTGGTTTGTTTACATAAAATTATTTTACTGAAACGCCAATTATTGAGTAAAAAGAATCTTTTATGTAAAGAATTATAAATTTTGTCGAATTCACTAAATGAAAGAATTAGTTTTTAAAAAATGGTTCTTTCTGTATTTCTGTATTTTCAAAATAATGAAAATTAATGAAAATAAGTTTCTAAAAATTATATTAAAATATTTTTGAAAAAAAGTAATTCTCAGAATTTTTTCATTCTAATGTTTAAAATTAAATTATTTTCTATTACATATTTCCAAAAATTCAAATACATACAAAAAATAAAAACATTAGAAGTTTTTAGAATTATTTTTAACATTTTGGAGAAGATAATCATATTTGAAATTTTTAATTAAAATTCTTCAACAAATTAATTAGTTGTTTTTTAAATTATACAAAACTTTTTTTTATAAATTCAATTACTTTTGAAAATATTACATTACAATATTTATAAAAAACTAATTCTTAGAATTGTTTTTTTTAATTTACTTAGACTTTACATATTAAAATTTCGAAGAAATTATTTATAATAAATTAAAGTTCTTCAAAAATTTGATTATTTTTTTTTGTATTTAAATAATTGAATTCGCGAAGAAACTTCGGAAAATTATTTAAAAAATTAGTATCGATAATTGATTGAGAGATGAAGTTTAGTTAAAAATTGTAGAAAATAATTGAATTTTGGAAGAATTATAGTTGTAACTTTTAAAAATTATTAAATTTCAGAAGTTGTAATTTTTTAAATTTTATTTCCCGGGAAAAAAGAATTAAGAAGTATTTAAATATTTACTTAGCAAAATTATTCAATTTTCGATTAACTGAATTTATAAATCAGTGAAGATATAGGGGAATACAAAATAAAATATTCCTTTTGTCATTATTAAACTTAAAATTCTTAATTACCCTCAATAATTGATGTTTCAGTGTATTTTCATTTATTTACGAACATTTTGATGCTAAGAAATTAATAGAGGTAAGTTCAGATTTTTCAGATCCTCTGGTTTTTAACAAAACAAACGATATTTTATTATTATAAAATAAAATTTGTAAAATATTACAGTGATTTTCATATATAAAGTTCAAAATAGACTTTTTTCGTTTTGAATATTTTCGCCTTTTAAATCGCACATTATTGAGAATATTAAAAATAATATTGAAAATAATAAGAAAAATAATTTGATTGAAATACTGGACTTGCAAAAAAGAAGAATTCCTCTGATTGTGTATAAGGGTTAGATTATTATTTATTATTAATAATTAATAATTAATAATTATTCGGAAAATAAAAAGTTGTATAAGGTGTTCGACGAGTAGGTTTGTTTGCATGACATTTCGGCAGTTGCGCTTTTTCGATTCGTTAAAAAAAACAATTAAATGCGTGAATAATGATTGAAGGTTGCGATGTGAAAAAGTGCTTGAAATTTTGGGCAAAAAGTATATTTTACTTTTAGGACATTTTTTTCTATGTGCACGAAATTGATGATGGTTTGCGCATGTAATATCTATTATTCTTTGGAAAAAAAAGAAAGCAAATTTCGTTTAATAATTTCATCAAAATAATAATTGTTTAAATAGCAATTATTTTTGAATTCTCGAATTACTGCAATTTCTACAGTGAAAACAAATCATCGAATCGTCAATACTTGGTTAATGGTTTTAAAGAGAAATTTTTTTTTGTTTTTAAATATAGAAATAAAAAAAAATATGAAATCTATATACTTCTATTTTTCTTTTCTTTGTCTTTCCTTTCGTATTTCTTCCCGTATCGTTTTTACTCGACATTTGCAATATTTTGAAGCACAGTATTTCAATCTTTTGAATTTTCATTTTTGAAAAATACGGATTCGATTCTTTTTTCTTTTAATTTACGAGAAAATTGCTGCCCTTCTTCAAGAGAAAAAAAAACGAAATATATAACGATTAACGACGTTTTATTAGTATGTTCTAGGTAGAAACAATTTATTTCCTTTTTTGTGAAATAAATTTTTGAAAAAAAATATTCTCATTGCGACGTATTGTGGTTTTGTGCTGCACGTCGTGTCAGAGTTTTTCTAATATAAAAAAAACAGAAAAAATATTTACACACACACAAAATTTAAATAAAAAAAAAGCTCAAAATGGCAAATTCTCTTTTTTGGGATTTTAGGCAACAAAATACGAGAACAGCTGCCAACAGAGGACGAGAATATGCGGCGAGGACGAATAATCTGGACTTTGGACTTGTCAGGTGCCCAGGAAACAGATTTCAATAATCCCAACGAATATCCACCTTTTGTAATGCGTGCTGTCAAGGTACACATACAAATTGTTTTTGATACAAAATAAAAAATGAACAAAAATAAAAGGTTCATGGTAGAAAGAATTGTGGCACAATTTCTGTAGCCATTGGAATGACGAGGGATGGGTGGAAAAGAAGAAGACAAATTTTTCCTGAGATTATTTACGAAAACAGACTCACAACCTGCAAAAGGTGTTAGTCTTCAGAAATGAAAATCTTTAAAAGCCAATTTCCAGTCTTAATTATTCATCGATTATTGCAATTTACAAAATATTTTTACAAATAAATAAAAAGTGAGGCAGAAGAGAAGAATTATTGCAAGGAATTTCATTTACAATCAACAATTTTTTCCGGAGAAACTCAAAACGAAATTTATAATCGAAGAATGGATTTTTTATTCGATTTTATTTTCTCTACTGAAGAAATTCTACTCAATTTAAAATAGATTCAAAACAAAATACATCTTTTAATTTAAAATAGAGAAGATTCGTTTGCAGTGAAGAAGATTCGACGAAAAATAACAGAAGAATTCAAGAGAAAAATGTGAGATCATCAAAAAATATTTCTACAAAAAATCGATTTTTGAATTTCCCTCTTAAAGCAAAGGAAGAAGAAATTTCAAATTTCTTTAAAAGCGAAGAAATTTAATATTATTTTCTCCATTAAATTTGGACAAATAAAAGCACTGATTATCTAAAAAGTAAAATTATTTGTGTGCAAGAATTTTATTCGTAACCAAATGAGAAAAATGTTCTTTCAATTTGGAAAAAAAATTGCGTCAAAATTTGTGAAAATGAAGATAGAAGAAAATTCGTCATCAAAAAATACAGGAGAAGAAGAAAATGAATCATATTTTTAAAACTTGTTTAAAGAGAGAGAAAAAATTCTCTCGATTGATAATCAATCACTGAAAATCAAATAGAAAAATTATTCTTAACTTTAGAAAATATTTCTAAATCAAGAAGATCAATTTTACTTTTGGAAATATTTTCACATCTTAGAGAATTCAACAAACTCTAAAAAAAAATTACGTGAATCGAGTACAATAAATTATTGAATACATCGATGGAAAAAATAAATAATACAAGAAAGAATTGGGCAACTAAGAATTTAACATGAAAATTACATAAATGGAACAAATTAAGAATTTAACAATATAACAATTTAACAATTGTTAAAATATTAATAAATATTAATATATTATTTTAAAAAATGAACTAAGGATTATTTTACAAAAATCAAAATGAAGATTGAGGAAGCAAAAACAAGGATCATCAAGAGTTGATTTAAAAGAAAGGAGCAGCGATGAAGAAGTTAAAAATAATTCCACTACCAATCAACTTACTCCAAATATTAAAAAAATTTCAAAAACTTGCACACAAGAGAAGAACTGAAGCAGAAAAAATCGAACTTTTGTATTCTTTGCACTAAAAGGTACAAGAGATAATTTTCATATTGAAAATTAATATTTTTAAAACAAGAAGAATTCGTGAACAAAACACCATGGAAGTAATTTTTTTCCACGCTGAAATATAAAAGGAAACGAGAAAATAAAAAAAAATCCAAAGAAAGAAGAAAGAAGAAAAATCAATTTTGCTGCAATTCCATCTGTCCCTTGTTAATCTTTTTAATAAAAAGATGCCAATGGCAGGCCAATAATTAGTCCACAGCAAATTATATAAATTATTTCGTGAGAAGTTCATAAATTCAGAACTTTGGAGCAGATACAATTGCCAGAGCTCTTTTTCAACTTGGAAGACATTCCATACGAGCGATTTGACGAGTGAATATTAAATCTATTAAAAACCTAGTGATCAATTTAATTGTGCCTCTCTCTTTTTTTTTATATAAATTAAATCGAAATTTTTGTGATTCACCAGGCGAATTGTATTTCTTACAACTCAATTATTCATTTTTGCCAATTAAAGTTTGAAAGTTTTATAAAGTTAAATGACCATGTTAAAGTTTTTATTTTTCAATTTTCTAAAACAAAATAATTTATAAAAAATAATTTTTGTAAATAATTTAAAGAATTATCAGTTAAATTAATATTGACAATATTTTTTTTTATCAAAAGTGTATTATTGTCTTAAATGTTTATTAATATTTTTTAGGTATTTGAAAATTTTCTCTCAACAACAACAAATGAATGTGATGAAGGTGTGACATTTTATAGAGAAGAAGTGCCGAAGAGTGTGAAAAATATTGCTGAAATTGCTGCCGTCGATGATAAACCAGCTCCAAAATTAAAATTAGATTGGCTTTGGCTTTTGGTTCGTTGTAATCGTAAAAATGAACTCATGTTCTTTGTGACTGCAAAAAATCTCAACGCTGAAATGATGAATCGATTGAAAGCCCTCTTTGAAACTGGAGCTGGAAAGGATTGCAATGTCAAGTCACTTTATTGTAAAAGTATTATGAGGTAATTAATTTTTTTTTTATTTTTGACTCTTTTACGGAAAAAATTAAATTGAAAAATTAAAAAATCTTTTTTTCTTTATTTAGAGCTGATAATGAAAATCATTCAAATACAACATTTGTGATGGGAGTTGAGGCTCTCGAGGAAGTTGTTAATGGAGTGAAACTGCAACTTGGACCGAAGACAAATTTCTGGTCCAACGCAGCCGGAGCTGAAAATCTCGGCAATGCGATTTCTGATCATCTCTCACCAACACCAAAAACAACAGTCGTTGAAATCGGTTGCGGAATTGGATTAATGGGCCTTATGATGAGCAGTGTAATTAAATGATAATTTACTATTGTATTTCAATTTTACAGGGTTTGAACTAAGTCCGTAAATTCCATAAAGATCCGTAAATTTGCTTGAAAGTCAGTAAAAATCAGTTTTTTTGAAAAAAGGACCGTAAAGTCCGTAATTTGATTGAAAAAGGACGAAAAGTTCGTAAATTGTACGATAAAATTTGGAGAATTTTAGAGAAATTACTAATTATTGCAGAAATTCGATTATTTTCAAAAGTAATGAAATTCTTCGCAGAAATTCAATTACGTTCAAAAATTTAAATCTCGTCGAAATTTCAATTATCTTTATAAACATTAATTAAATTTTAAGGGATTGAAAATTGAATAACATTTTTTTTTTTGCAGAAATGCCAAAAAATTATTGGATTAGACGAACAGGCTGAAATCGAGGAAGCGGAATTAATTTGTCAATTAAATAACATCAAGAACGCGACCTTTGTGATTGGACAACCAAAAGAGGTAATGGCCACGATTGCAAACGTTCTATCGAACTCTAAAGCATCCGCTATTGTCAACAATAATTCTTCCATAGGACGAGGTAATTTTGCAAATTTTGAATTTTAATTTTCCTTTTAACTATTGTCACGAAAAGAAGAAAAAAAAACAATTATTTAATTTTCAGGAGTCGAGATTATGACGAGTATTCGAAGAATTTCATGTTTACGACGTTTAGTGCTAGTGACAACTCTGACAAAGCAATCAGTTCGTTCAATTTTAGAACTCACCAGACCAGCGCAAGGTCCGATTGGAAATCCTTTTATTCCAATTAGAGCGTGCGTCGTCGATACATTGCCAGCTGGTCCACATTTTGAAACAGTCATTCTCATGGAGCGTAGAGTTATGGAAAAAATTATCCCCTCACTTGATCTAAGACCAAAAACTCATCCAGCAAATGCTGGAAAAGCATTGAATAAAGCAGCCAAGGATAATACAGAAAAAGTTTATCCTCAGAAATTCGAACCTGTTAAACAAGCAGTAACATTGAGGAGAAATTTTGCCAAAAATAACTCACAAGATATGATATTCGATGTGAAGAATAAAATTAATCCGAAGCGAAGTCATTCGCCGGAGATTATTAAAGAAATCCCGTCAAAACAGACAAAAAAACCGATAACATTCCACGTGAAAGAAACACAAAAGAAAAAACCCTGGGAGGAAGCGGCGAATAGAGCAAAATTGACGACAGTACGACGAGCATTCGATGATCCACCGACTAAAAAACCCTGGGACGATAAATCTTCAGAGTCGGGTGATTCGTTATCGAAACGTAAACCCTGGGAAGAAACGCCCACGAAGAAAAAACAACCCTGGGAGGAAACGAAGGAGAAATGGGAGAAAGCAGCACTGAAGAAGCAAAAGGAGGAGAATTTGCGAGTGAATCCTCTAAGTGAGAAAAAATCCCGCGAACCACAGGATCTTCGAGAAAGACTCTCGGCCAGTCGAGCCGAAACTTCACGCGGTGAAGTATTCGCACAAAAAGTTAAGGAAGGCGTTCGCCTCATTAGCAAAGCGAAGGAGAAAATTAACACACCCTCTGTGCCGTTGGACGAGGACACGGCGAAACAACTCGAGAACATGCTCGACATGGTTCTTGAGCAAACGACAAAAATTCATAATCAAGTCTCCGTTTGGGATCGTATCGCCCCTGCGCCAAACAACGATATTTCCGAGGACTCGACCTTTGAGAGTCGGGAGAAGAAAATTAAATTTGATCCAGTGGTGGCGAAAAAGTACAACAATGTCCAACCATTGGAACCTGATAATGTCCTTCCGGCTGAGTATGCATCGACAAGCGCATCGGGAGCTAGTAAATTTAACAAAAAGAAGTATCGCGGTCAATATCGACAGCATTTACTGGAGAAAATGAGTAAAATGAAAGCCGAATTGGCCGCGCAGAAGAGGCAGACATTGAATGACGAGTTTCGATCGGCTTCACCGTCGAGAATATCGATGTCGCCATCAAGATCCGTTTCGCCAAGGAGGCGCGATATCTACCGTCATTCGCCGGGAAAACACCCGGGACGACGCTCACCGATGAAACTATCGCCTGGCAAACGATCACCGCCGAGAATGTCGCCGAGCAGACACTCGCGGTACTACGATCCTCATCATCGTTCACCATCGCCAAAGCGACCCTACTCCCCGATGCAACGAAGCATGTCGCCAGTGAGACGCGAAGTACGCCGAGTGCGGCACTCGCCACCACCCCGACGAGTCTCGCCCTACTCTCGCGGATCCCCTCGATGCATGTCACCACCCCAACGAGGAATCTCTCCACCCCGACGCGAAATGTCCCCAGTGCATCATCATCTCTCCCCCCCTCGTCATTCACCCCCCAGACGAATGAAATCGCCTCCCAGGGCTTCGCCACCACGTTACGATTGGGATATCCCCAGTCGCGGTGCAATCGAAGGCAATACTTGGATCCGTCCCGAGGAGCGTTACGAAGACGAGAGAAAACGCATCCCATGGAACTCGCCAACGCATTCTCGCGAAAAGGAAATTGAACGTTACAAAATGAGTCCACCGGAGAACTGGAAGAAACCGAGTTCGTCAACAACCGACAACTGGTATCCGAAGGAAACAAAGGGTCCAAACTTCTCCCCAACCGAGAAGCGGTCCTGGAGTCCACCAGCGTCTGACAATTGGAAACAACGCCCCAAAGAATCGAAACCCTCCTGGATGGAGAGCACCCGTTGGAAGGGGAAAAATGACAAAGACGAATGGCATGATTTACCAGAGGACGCGAGGGATCCCTGGGGCGACGAAGGTCCCGAGGAAGGCTGTAAAGAAATTCTCTCTAAATTCAATCCACCAAATTGGGACATGGAGCGAAGGCAGAGTCAAAATTGGATGCAAAATCAAGGAATGGGACCACAAATGATGAGTCACAGTGTTAACGTCCCACAGCCAGTGCCACATCCAATGGAATCGCATTCGATGACCAATAAATCGCAATGGTCTCAACAGTCCGGACCTCAGGAATCGAGAATGCAATGGACGCCGTTGAGTGATATTATGAAGAGAATGCAGGGGATGCAGAATATGCAAGGAATGGGAAATATGCAGGGAATGGGGAGTATGCAAGGAATGGGGAATATGCAAGGAATGGGGAATATGCAGGGAATGCAGCAGAATATGCAAGGAATGCAGAGTATGCAGGGAATGCAGCAGAATATGCAAGGAATGCAGCAGAATATGCAAGGAATGCAGAATATGCAAGGAATGCAAGGTGGCTCTTGGCCTAGACCCGATCAATCAGTTATGAATCCTTATCATCATGGACCGAATATGGGATATCCTCCGAGGCCTGGATATCCAAATATGTACCCGGACAGACCCTGAAGAATCGGTATACATAAATTTGTTACTTTTTTAAGTTTTAACACACCAGGGTTGCCACACGTCACTGTATTTTGATAGCAAATCAAGAGTTCTAGGGTTCTCTCATAAAAAAATTATTAGTTCCGTAAAATCCTGAAAACTACAAAACTTTGAAAATTTAAAAAACATTTTTTTGCAAAAATTAAATTTTTTATGACTTTTGAGCATAGCTCTGTTATCAGTATTAAAAGTTCTATACATATTCGCAACAAACTCTTATTCTAAACTTAAAATAAAAAAAAACTACAGAACTTTGAACAATTAAGAAATTTAGAATTCATATTAGAAAAATCTAAGTTTTGGTATCTTTTTTGTCTGACTCGTAAAAAATTTTAGAAAATTTCAATTTTGAATAAATTGAATTAGAAATTTTAAAGAAATTAGATTTTTGAAAAATTTTGATAATTCAAATTCTTCTAAAATTAGTTAAATTTTTTAATATTATATTAAAATAATTGATTTATAAAAGAATTTTAGTTAAAAACACTAAAAAAAATTGAATTTTGAAAAAGTTACAAATAATTTGCAGAAAGTCAATTACGTTCCAAAATCGAAAAAAAACTTGTTTAAATTTCAAATATTTTCAAAACTTTTCAAAAATTCTGGTCAAAATTTAAATTAGTTATAAATAATAAAAAATTCCCCAAAATTCAATTCTTTTCCAAAATTTTAATAAAATTTTTGTCAAAATTTCAATTACCTTAATAAATAATACAATTTTTATCCAAAATTCAATTATTTTCAAAAATTTTTTATAAAAATCTTTGTAAAAATTTCAATTATTTTCAAAAACTTTAAAAAATTCTCTTCCAAAAATAAAAAACTTTTCTCCGAAATTCAATTTTTTTCAAAAATTTTAATAAAATTCTTGTCAAAATTTTAATTATCTTTATAAATAATAAAATTCATTTCAGAATTTCAATTACTTTTAGTGAAATTTTAATCGAATTCATCCAAAAATGTAATAATTTATCAAAATTAGTAAAAAAATTCAATTATTTTCAAAAGTAAGAAAATACTTCGCTGAAATTCAATTATGTTCAAAAAGTTTTCAAATTTGTCGTCCAAATTTCAATTATTTTTAAAAATAAGAAAATTCTTCTCCGACATTCAATTTTTTTCAAAAATTTTTCTTCATTCAATGATTTTAAATATCTACTGTTTTAATAAATTTTTGCAAATGAATTTAATTATTTAAAAAAAAAAATTTTTAAATTCTCATCAAACATGTAATTACATAATTAATTTTTGTTAAAAACACTAAAAAAATTGAATTTTGGAGAAGTTACAAATGATTGCAGAAATTCAATTATTTTCAAAAATATTAAAAACTCTTCAAAGAATTTCAATTATTTTTAATACAAATTTTAATATAATTTCTCGAGAAATGTAATTATTATTCTTAAAAATTTTATTAAAATTCGTCGAAAGAATTTAATTTTAAGAAACATTCAATTATTCAATACATTATTTATTTTTGTATTTAAATAATTGAATTCTCGTAGAATTATCTAATAAAAATTGTCTTAAAAATTAATTTCAATTAAAATTACAGACAATAATTGAATATTAAAAGCATTATAGCGTGAATTTTTAGAAATTATTGAATTTTGAAAAGGGTTCAAATTAAAATCTATGAAAATTCGATTTGTTCGTTCTAACAATTCTGTAGAATTATTTTTTTTCGAAAAATTTTAATTCTTATTTTTTTTGTTGAAATTATTTGATAGTCTTATTTTCTAAAATATATTTAATTGGAGAATTTACGTATAATATTGAAATTTCGTAAAATTGAATAAATAATGGATTTCAATATTTTCAAATGGATTTGAAAATTGAGAACGAACTTTTTCGAAAATTATTAAAAATAATTGATTTAAAGAAGATTTTTAGTTGAAACTTTCAGAAAATAATAATTGAATTGAAATAATGAAAATAATTTTGAAGAAGTTGTAGTAGAAATATTCTTAAAATATAAAATGATTTTATCACTTTGTAATTTTTAATTTAATTATTATAAAACATGAAGAAATCGATTACTCTGATTTCTTCATGTTTTGTAATAATATTCTTACAAGTTGTTGATATTTTCAAAAAAGGTTTGAATTTGAATGTTTCCAAATTTTCTAGAACTAATTCTATACTTTCTCCATTTTATTCATATTATTTTCAATGAAATTATTCATTTGAATTTCTCACTAATTTGAAAATAATTGTTTTCTTTTTGCAGATTAAAAATTTTGCTGTCGTGTCTTTTTTACAGTCATCTTAATTTAGAAAATAAAAATAATAAGCGAATCCTACGTTGCAAAGAAAAAAAGAACAATGCAAAAGATACAAAATATTTAAGGTAACAATGCTTGTGAAATGAGAAATGGTAAAAGATTAACGTTAGATTCAAAAATTGTGTACACAAAAACTTTATTTACATAAAATATTTATATTAATAATAGCACTTTCCATGAAAGGATAGCTTTCTTTTGTGATTACATTGACAATTTTCTAATGTAATTAATTTTACTTTTTTCTTTTTTAAAAAAAATCAAAAAGGAAAACAAATTTTTTCTAAAAAAAAAAAGTTCGGAAAAAATCTTTATTGTCATGATTATAGAAAAAAATTTTTTTAAAGAACTAAATTTTTTTGTGATTCAATTTAAATGCATAAAATACTTATTGATAAGCAGTCAGAGTTCTATTTTGTTCGAATAGTTTATTTTTCATATAGTAAAATCAAAAATATGTAGTCGTGAATGCAGTTTGAGTTCATAATTTTTTTCCTATTCTTTATTATTATGTTATGTACATTAATATGTAATTTCCGTTATCTGTTCTATCTTCAAATAAACATAAATGAAAATAAACTTTTTGTGTTTGTTATTTCCCTTCTTTCTCGAAAAATAAAAAAAAAATGTCGAAATTGAAAATGGCATAAATAATAAATAATAGCATTTAACATTAAAAACATTTATTTGGCTCTTTTATAAAATTTTACGTCTCCTTGGGAACTTCTTGAATCGGTGGTTTACTAATTATTTCCGGCAATACTCTGATTTCAGTCTGTAAAAGAAGAAATGTATAAAAAAATATTTCTTTTTAATATTATAGTTAAAATTTAAATTAATTTAAATTATAGAATGAAACAAATTGATATCAGAACCTTTGTCACTTTCATTGCAATTCCTTCTGGTAAATTCCTCTGTATATATTCAAGGAGAGTATCGGCCGTTGATCCTGTGAGCTTTTCAAAGTCAATTAATCTAAAATACGTTCTGAATTCATATTGAACTCGATGCTTTTTATGAACGTGTTTCGATTTTAATACCGTGTATCTGTCGTGTACTGCTTTGTAAAGTTGTTCACTGAAGAATAAATTAAATTCGTTAAATTATAAACGTATTATTATAAAATGATACGCGGTATTCCATTTCTTATTTTGTAAACTGAAAAATGTTATATTTTCAATAATTCAGTTAAAATCCTTTAAAACAATTCAATTATTTTTATGAATTGTAAAATCCTCCGAAAGAAATTAATTATTTTCATAAATAGGAAAATTCTTCGCAAGAATTAAAATAGGAAACAAAAAAGTAAGCAGCAATTAACTTCAAACTGTGAATAGATTTCCGGAATACAACGATTATTAATATAAATTATGAAGTTAAATTAAATTTCGTTTCAAATTTCTCTTAATAAAATTTCTATTTTTTTCTTAATTACTTTCTTGTTATAGAAACTCCCAAATGATTTGCGGTCATGTTCGCAAATTCTCCATAACTTTTTAAAACAGCTTTATCGTGTCCTCGAAGTTCTAATTCAATTTTTTTGTACAATTTATCTGGAACGGCCTTTAAAATCAAAAAAGAAAATTTTCTTTTATTATATTAGATATTACTAAATATGTAATTATAATATTAATAGAAAAATTAATCACATATTACTTAATTTAATTCTTAATAAAAATGAAGAATATCGACCTTATTTGTCAAGTGGTGTAATTTTTTGTAAATATTTATTAAACGAATAACGAATTAAAAGCTAATTTCAAAAAAATTTGCTTACCTGCTCTGTGTAAAGTGCATTCGAAGACATAAATCTACTTGTCACTATTCTACTCAAACCTACTTCACGAATTGAACCGAAAATAACATTATTTAAGCCAATTGTTACCTGAAAAAAGTATTTATTATTGTTAAAATTAAAATTGTTTACAAAATAATAGACATGCAAAAAAGAGGTTCCTAACCTTAAAATTCAATTTTTTTACATTACCTTTGGAAGAAACATTTTCAAGGATTATTATTTGACACAATAAACATACAATGTTTTTATTTTTATCCTTGCACTTTAAATTAGTTGAAAATATTGTTAAATCTTCAAATTCAAGGCAAAATTTAATAATCATAAATACATTGTGAAAATTCCGACACAAGTAGCAGACGACATCTCGACGGCGAGAAGGCGCTTGAATTAATGTTCAAAACAATAAAAAATATTAATAATCTTCTGTATTTAAAAGAAATTAAATTATAACTATTATTTACCCATCGAATAGTAATAAATAAATTATTTTCTCTATTCGATTTTTACAGCACTTTTAATTTGATTATAAATTTCGCGCGTAAAGAAGTCTCCAGAAAAATACCCAATACTGTGAACAGAGCTTTATTTTTGATGTTTTGGATTTCGGCTTTTGGAATTTTTTGGACTTTCGAGAAGTTGGACCTTGGGCTTTCGACGTTTTGAACTTTCGAAACTTCGGACTTCAGAAGTTTTTAATTTTCAATGCTTTATTATACAAGAGAGAGATTTCGCAAATTTTTATTTTAATTCTCTGTCTCTTTTACTCTCGTACGTTACCATGACAATGGAAAGCAGGGTAATAAACGTAAGCAAGTTTTTAAAGAAAAATACTATACTCGACTCTAGAGAATTTTACTTTTGACTTCTTAATATTGGCACTACTGTAAAATAGTTTCTTTCTTTTTTTGGTTCGCGTTTTCGATAGACGACAGTCGAGGTGAGTAAAAAGTTTTCTTTATTATTTCTACTTTAAAAATCACAATTCTTAATTAAAACGAGTGTTAATCGTTAATTAGATTTTATGATGAATTAAATAATTACTTTTAATTGTGCAAAAGTTATCCGCAATGATCAAATTAAAGCCACGTGTCTGCATGCGTTCGAACATAACCTAAAAATTATGTTTATTTGTCATATTTAATATATTTGATAGTTATTTTATTATTGAATATGTAGAATGCATATATAATACTTTCTTGATTAATAACAAAGCTTTATTTACAACTATAAAAATCGATGTCGGGAAAAGTTAGAAGAAGGGAAATTTGATTCTTGTGAAGTGGCATCGTCAATCATATGTCAATTTATTTTTGACAAAAAATAGTTTAAATAGTGGTAGGGATTTAAAAATTAACTATAATTAACTATAATAATTTGAATGTTCTCTTTCATTCTTTCAGTCATTCAGTTTTTCTGTTCCTTACACTCTAAAATTGTCTTTTGTTTATACTTTTGTTTTTTGTTAACTTTAGATAAATTGTATAGGGTAAACCAGACATTAGTCGGCCACCGGCTCAAAAATCTTTAAAAATAATATTTTTCTCGATTACAAATGTATAGGGTCATTAACAATAATACTACAAACATTTAGCAAAAAAGAATTTTTTTTATCATATGGATTTGTAGTTATTCAAAATTGAACCCCTTGATGCAAGAACCAGACATAGCTTATTGAAATTAAATGGGCTGCGTCTGGTTCTTGCATCAAGGGGTTCAATTTAGAGGTGGCCGACTACTGTCAAAATTATTTTCATCATTTTAATCCAATTATTATTTTCTAGAGTTTTAAATTATTTTTTATTCAAATAATTGAATTTTTTAAAAAAAATTTATTATTTATGAAAATAATTGAATTCCTGTGAAATTTTTATTATTTTATGAAAAAAATTAAATGTTTGCATACAATTTTATTAAAATTTTGTTTCAATAATTGAATTCGTTTTGGGAAAAAATAGTAGACTATTGAAAATAGTTGAAATGAGAAAAATTTTTAAAAATAATTGAAATTAGGACAAGAATTTTTTTTTTTTTTGACATTTAGAATAGAAAATATTGTCAGTAAAATTAATAAAAAAACTTTTCTCTTTACAGAAGCGTAAAAAATGACAAACTCAAAGGGTTATCGTCGAGGAACGAGAGACTTGTTCTCCCGTAAATTCAAAAAACATGGCACAATTCCACTTTCAACATACATGAAAGTTTACAAAATTGGCGATATGGTTGATATTAAACAAAATTCAGCAATTCAAAAGGGATTGCCATACAAAGTTTATTATGGAAAAACTGGTCGTGTTTTTAATGTCACACCACATGCGCTTGGAGTTGTTGTCAACAAACGAGTGAGAGGAAGAATTATTCCAAAGAGAATTACCGTTCGTGTCGAGCACGTGAATCATTCGAAATGTCGGGAGGATTTCTTGAAGAGAGTAAAGGAAAATGAACTCCTCAGGAAGCAGGCGAAGGAGAAGAAAATTACCGTTCAATTGAAACGTCAACCGGTACAACCAAGTGGCGCGCACATTGTCTCCGGCAAGCAGGCACCAATCTTACTTGCACCAATTCCTTACGAATTTGTTGCCTAAACCAAAATTACAGAATAAATTCTTTCTAATTAAAATCTAACGAAAAAAATATGTCTCTGAAGTTGGCGTCGACGCTCAGTATCGAAAACTACTTTTTGCAATTTCAATTTAAATTCACCTCGTTAAAAATAAACGTTTTTAATCTAAAACTATTTTTTCTAAATAGTTTTCTTTTCATTTTTCGACGCTGAGCGACTTTTTCGACACTAACTTCAGGGACCTAACAAAATTTTCTTTCTTATTTTTACAACTACAAAAATCTCAAGTTTTTTTTATTAAACTATATTTTAACTTAGTTTTTCAAATTTAATAATAAACCATAAGAATTTAAAAAGTTATATAATTAGTTTACAATTTTTTTTGTATTCTCATCGTAATTGAGAATTATCGAAAGTTCGAAGAAATGATTTTTATTTAAACTTTAATTTTTTAAAAACTAAAAACAATATTTGATTTCTCACTGTAAAAAATACAGGCCTCTGATATTATGACTATTTCGACTATATTTTCGAATACTGCGACTTTTTCGACTTTTCTTCCAAAATTTGCAACAAAATACCACATTTTTAGTATAAAATGCAACTTATTTCGATTTTTGTAGTGTGAAAAGCATAACTATAGACAAATCTTTGAAAAGTTATTTTTGAATAATGTTTCTAATTAAATTTTTGAAATATACATAATTAAAAAGATTTTGTAAAATTTAATTCAAAGTAAATCATTTTTTTCACGTTTTTTATTACAATTTTTGAAAAAAAAAATAACTTTAAAAAAAAAATACCCAACATTTTAGAATTATTTTTAATATTTTGAGGAAAAAAATCATGTTCAGAATTTTTAATAAAAATCTTCAAAAAATTAATTAGATTTTTTTTAAATTATACAAAAATTCTTTTTAGAAATTATTTTCGAAAAATTACATTACAATATTTATAAAAAAAACTAATTCTTCTAATTGTTTCATCATAATTTTTTCAGATTCAATTGTCGTCGAACAAAGTAAATTAAAATTTTTTAAAATTTACTTTTTTAGACTTATTAAAATTTCGGAGAAATCATTTTTTAATTAAAATTCTTCAACTATTTGATTTTTTTAAAAACTCAATTATTTTGTAAATATTTTATCAAATTTCAATTATTTTTCAAGATTTTACAAATTTCAAATATTTTTCAAAATATTTTACCAAATTTCAATTATTTTTCCGAGATTTTACCAAATTTCAATTATTTTTAAAAAAATTTATCACATTTTAATTATTTTTCAAAGATTTTACCAAATTTCAATTATTTTAAAAAAAATTTATCACATTTTAATTATTTTTAAAAAAATGTATCACATTTTAATTATTTTTCAAAGATTTTATCAAATTTCATTTATTTTTAAAAAGATTTTACCAAATTTCATTTATTTTTAAAAAGATTTTATCAAATTTCAATTATTTTTCAAAGATTTTTCCAAATTTCAATCAATTATTTTTCAAAGATTTTACCAAATTTCAATTATTTTTTAAAAGTTTTTACCAATTTTCAATTATTTTTTAAAAATTTTTATCAAATTCTAATCTAATTATTTTTCATCGTAATTTCAACATTTTTTAATTGTATCTAATTGTAAAAATATTATCTTACAAAAATTATTTAGAAATATTTAAAAAAAAATTAGTTTTAAGAATTTCTTTATTAAAATTTTTAAAAATATTCTGTCCTAATATCTTTAAAAAAAATGGACAGTTTCAATTATTATAAAAAATTGAATTTTTGTATTGAAATAATTGAATTCTCGGAGATCTTTCGGAAAATTATTCAAAATTAATCTAGATTATTGATTTAGAAATGAAGTTTAGTTCAAAATTTGTAGAAAATAATTGAATTTTGTAAAGTTTATAATTGTAACCTTTAGAAATGAATAAATTTCAGAAGTTGAAATTTTTAAAATTTTATTTCCCATGAAAAAAGAAATAAGAAGTAGGATTTATTTAGCAAAATTATTCGAGTTTTGATTAGCTGAATTTAAAAATCAGGGAAATCAAAATAAAATTTTTTCTGACAACATTGAATTAAATAAACGACTTTTTTTCTATTTTTAATCGACTCGATTCGTTAAAGTCGATCCAAGGCCTAAAATATGAAAAGTATTCGTACTTTTCAGGAAATAAAGGAAAAAATGATTTAAAAGGAAAAATCAGTAAATTGTTAAGGAAATAAACTTTATTAATGTTCTTTTTGTAAATATTTTGTTGCTTTTTTTATACAAGTTTCAGTGCAACGATCGAACAACAACGAACGATGCTGGTGTTTTAATTTTTCTCCCTGGAATATGACGTTCCAATTCAGGCAGCGGATCTTTAAGGGAAAAAATTGGTTGATGATTCTTTTGAAAGGACCTGATACGAATCGTTTTTAATGGAGTGTCTTTATGTTGATTCAATTGGGAGAGGACATTTTGATGATGATGATGTTGATGATCTTCAATTCTTCGGCCGTAGAGTCTTTTATCGGTAGGTGATTTAATTTTTCCTCTCTCATCATTTCTCGTGTGATTTATTGCACTTTCAGCTTTAATAGGACTATGATATTTGGAATTACGCTTTGGCAGAGAAAATGGAAATTCCATTGCCGATGAATTTCGTAAAATATCGTCTCCTGTTAATGCATGATTTCTATTTTTTCGCACTAAATTAACGTTTGCGGTTGCCGTACAACTGTGCAGAACATAGTCTCTCCCTAAAATTATTTTCAAAAGATTAATTCAACTGCGATATTTTTATTTATTTTTGTTTATTTAATTTATTAAACATCTCCCTAAAAGTATTTTGAAAACTTTAATTGAAAGTATTTAAAATTATTTATTTATTAATATTTTTTAATTATTAATTTTTGAAAGTATTTTTATTTATTTTTGTTTATTTAATTTATTATAGTTCTCGAATTTACTGTTTTAATTTATAATTCTTGTTTTACTTCCTATTTATATTATACACTTGTTGTAAATATTAATTTATTTATAAAGGTGACAAAAATTATTATTTTAGATCCAATAACTAGAAAAATTAAATTCTTTTGTAATGTATTTTTTTAATTGTATAGGTATTTTTTCATTTGATTCATGAAAATTAATTTTTTCCTAATTTATTTATAATTAGTTTTCAAATTAATTAAAGAATTTAATTTTCTGAAAGTCTAATTTTTTATAACTTAATTTGTTTGATTAAAAGAAAGAACTATAATTTTTTTGAAGTCAAATATTTAAAAAAATTAATTTTTTCCCTCAATTAATTAAAAGGAAAAATTTTAACTAATTGAAAAAATTATAAAAACTCACCAGAACGTTTCGAACGAAATTGACGTTTTGAAATTGTAAAATCACACAAAACTATAATAATAGTAACTAACAACAATTTTCGTATACTCGTCATAGTTAAGAATAAAAAAAATTTTTTTCAAACAAATTTTTTTCTTTTTGCAGAATTAAAAAAAAAAAAATGAGAGCGCCTCGGTTTTGAAGAGATCTGTTCGCGAACCTTGTTGAAATAATTGTGGAAACTGGAGAACGGTGAGAGAGCAATGGGACGACTGCAGACAGTGTAAAATTGATAATTGATCGAGGAAGAAAGGAACGGTGTATAGCCCCTGGCTACTCTTCTCCCAAGATTCAAGTTGCAATTCTTTAAAGGTTCATTTTTTTTCTTTTTCATCATCATCATCATTATCATCACCTTCTTCTTCATTTTCTTCTTCTTCTTCTTCTTCATCTTTGATTTTTTCCAATATAAAATTTAAATGTCTAAGAAATATTTCTATAGATGATTCTCGAATCACAAATGGAATTCAAGATATGCAAATAACAATCAGATAACAAAAGTTATTACACACTTTTATTTTTAAAATGTGTGAAAAAATTTACATTTAATCATTTTAAAACGACATCATTATTACATGTTAACGTAATTATTCTTTGATTTATGAGCCAGATTTTAGAATTGTTTTTTATTCTTTAATTCTTCTTCTTATTTTGAAAACTTACTTTTGCTACACTTTGAAATTGCGAATACACAATTCAAATAATTAAATTAAATTAATTTACTTAATTATTTTGATTATTTAATTTAAATGGAAATTTTTTTGAAATTCGACGAAAATTGCCATTTTGTAAATATAAAAGAATCAAATTTCTTTTTTTTTATTTAAAACATTTAATATCTTTTTTGTATTTAAAATAAAAAAAAGAAATTTGATTATTTTATATAAATTTACAAAATGGCAATTTTCTTCGATTTTCAAAAAAATTTCCATTTAAATTAAATAATCAAAATAATTAAGTAAATTAATTTAATTTATTAAGTTGTTTAATTTAATTTGCATTATTTAAAATAATGTGAAATAGAAAAGCACCGAATGAATTGATCGTAATTTTTGAAAAGGGAAATTAGTTCAATTTTCTGATTTTAATTTTGATTGATCTGTAACCATGCTTCCATGGTGATATGTTTATGTGCATCAGAATAAAATATAAAAACAATAGCTCATATAACAACAAATACGGGCTTCCTGAAAAACCGGTTCACCTCGAATAAAACTATAGTAAAATAAAAGAAATTCCTTCTACCTGATATTGACCTTGCAAAATGAAGAAACACCTGCTAAAAGTCGATGGATATTGGCGATACGTCACTTTCGTTCAAATTTCAAATCTATACATCTTTGTCATCTCATTCACAAATTTAATACACTTTAAATTTGAAAATTTCCCATTCATAAGAAATTACTTCTTTTCATTTAAATAGCAGGCCTCGGATATGACTTTTTTCGACTATTTGACTTTTTTCCACTTATTTTCAAAAATTGCGACTTTTTCGACTTTTCTTCCGAATATTGCTACAAAATAATACCACATTTTTTTTAGTATAAATTGCAAATTATTTCGATTTTTCTAATGTGAAAAATAATAGACAAATCTTTTGAAAAATTATTGATGAATAATTTTTCTAATTAAATTTTCGAAATATACAATTAAAATATACAAGATTTTGAATAATTGAAATTTTGTAAAATTTAATTGAAAATAATTGATTTTTTTCAAGTATTATTATTACAATTTTTAAAAATCAACTTTTGAAGAAATTCAATTGCAAAGTTTGTGTAAGGCACAAAAAATAATACAAACATAAAAATTGTTCAGAATTATTTTTAACATTTTAGTGAAAACAATCATTGTGAAATTTTTAATTAAAATTCTTTAAAAAATTACTTTTTTTAAATTATACAAAAAATTTTTTAAGAAATTCAATTATTTTCAAAAAAATAAATTGTAGAATATTTTTAAAAAAATAATTCATATAATTGTTTTATCTTCGAACAAAGTAAATTACATTTTTTTTAAATTTACTTCTTTAGATTCTTATTAAGATTTCGGAGAAATTATGCTTATATTTATAATTAAAATTCTTCAAAAATTTGATTATTACATTCTCATTTTTTAAATATTTTTCAAAAATTCAATTATTTTGAAAAGATTTTATCAAATTTCAATTATTTAAAAAAAATTTTATCAAAATTCAATTGTTTAAAAAATATTTTATCAAATTTAAATTACTTTTCAAAGATTTTACCAAAATTTAATATTGTTTTAAGAAGATTTTATCACATTTCAATTATTTTTCAAAGATTTTACCAAAATTCAATTATTTTTTAAAAGATTTTACCAAAATTCAATTATTTTGAAAATATTTTATGAAATTTCAATTATTTTAAAAAGATTTTATCAAATTTCAATTATTTTTAAAAGATTTTACCAAAATTCAATTGTTTTAAAAAGATTTTATCGAATTTCAATTATTTGCAAAGATTTTATCGAAATTCAATTGTTTGGAAATTTTTTAAGTGTATATATAATTGAAAGACATTTTATCTTCAAAAAATTATTTAAAAATATTTTTAAAGAATTAATTTTAAGAGTTTCTTTATAATTTTTTTAAAAAATATTATACCTTAATAAGTTTAAAAAAACATGGAAAATAATTAAAATAATTACAAGATAAAATTTTTGTTGCAACACTGAATTAAATAAACGACTTTTTTTTATTTTTAATCGACTAAAGCGATTTTTTTTGTGTCTTGAAGTCGATCCGAGGCCTGAAATAGGAATCCTTTTCATTTCGTTACGATATTTAAAAATAATTCTTCCCTTAGTTATTTTATTAAATATAAACAATTTTTTTTTCATAAAAGGAAAATGAATTTTCCTCCTCTTATGGTTTCGCTTCTAGAGATTTCAAGTTTTCTGAAGGAGAAAATAAGAAAATATATTTACAAAAGAAAATTGAATTTTAAGTAGAAGCAAATTTTATTTCAAATTAATTTTTTATTTTTTAGAATTTTATTTTTCGATTTTATCTATTATTTTACGTTTATAAAGAAAACAATAGATAAATTAATTTATACTCAACATATATTTTTATAGTTCCTTAATTTTTGAAAAGTGGGTAATAGAATTTAAAAAATAATCCTAATTAATCGATTTTTAAAACTGGGAAAATGCTAATTTTTCGATTACTTGTTTTTGTACGAATTTCATTGATTTATTAATTATAAAAGTGAATTTGACGAGTTACCCTTGGACGTGAGTTGACAAACCAAAAAAGAAACGACTCTTGTCAGCTTTGTTCAGCACTAAATAGTAGCAAAAAAAAAATTGCAATTTTAAAGAAAGAAAAAAATCTTGCAAATATACTAACATATTTTAGATAGACAAAAAATCGTAATATTTTTCTTTTCGAATTCTTTTGCAATATTGCAATAAATCAATTTCAAAAATGAAATTTCCTTCCACTTCTATTGGGTATTATGTAAAATTGTGTTTATATATTTGGGAAAGAAAAAAAATGCACAAAATAAAAATTTTTTATCATGAGTTGGAAGGCTTCTTTATTATCGAAGGAAACAACCTCCGGCCTCGGTTGGTCGTTTGCCTCATATCCAGCTTTCAGAAAATATTACCAACCACATTCTTGTTAAATACAGAATTATTCTTTTATTACCTTGCCCCTTTCGTGAGTTGAAGTTCCTCATTAACGATTCTTTCGATATTTTTGAGAATTTTTTTTTATTTCTGAATAAACGCAACTTATTGATTAGAAAAGAAATGTTGATCAAACAATTTTTTTCGGTGACAATTCAAATTATTTTATCAGAAAAATTTTTTTTTCTAAACGGACCAAATTCGGACGGATTTTATTTTTAATTTTGATTCTGATCCACTTTGCCGTTTCCAACTTGGTAGCCATCGATTTTTAGCTTTCCAGAAATTTAACATTGCCTGTGAAAAGAAAAATTAGAATTAGATCGCAAATGACAGGATTTATTTCTTTAAATCTTTAGGTAAAGATGTTAATTGTTACCTTTGCTCCCAAATTTCTCCACGGTTTCGAATATTGATCGCTAACTAAATCATCGAAAAAAACTTGTAGTCCACCGACTCCAACTCCAAGAGTAAGATAAAACTGTTGATAACAAATTTTATTTGGAGACAATTGAATTTTGTAAATTTAAAAATAAAAAATATTTATTTACCTCCTGCTCGAAAGGTGAGAATCGCCTTAATTTCGAAGTTGGATCCTCAAATTCCTCTTGAATATTAATGAAACCAACTTTTGTGCCGTCAATTAAAAATGTCATTCCAACGTCCGACCAAACGGTCGTGTACTTGTGAAAATCTTTTGTCCACGCACCACTGTGTCTGAATTTAGTGATATTTTTATATTGGAAATGATCGGAATCACCAAATCTGAATCCAAATTCTAAAAATTTACCTCCATATTCTTTCTCGTCATCGTACAAAATATCGTTGCCACGAGCCAGGCCCAAAATTACTTTGGCGAATGCATATTTATCGTCATTGCTTTCGTAACGTGGGAGTAGAAACATTTCTGGAATTTTATTTAATTTTATAAGATTAAAATCTTATTATTATATTATTATTATTATTATTATTATATTTTGGAACGAATAAATATAATTTCATTTTTACCAGGAAAGAGCCAATCGCCCTGTGGGAATTTTGCGTTTATTTCAACTTTTCCATATCGAAAATTAAAAGACTGCTTTGTTGATAGACGACCAGAAATTACTGGCTGCAAAATATGATATCCTGTCGCTTCACGTTGACATTCTTCAACAACGTTACTCGTGCAACTGAAAATTATTTTTTCTTCTTTTAAAAATATTGATTATTGACATAATTAATTATTGATAATAATTATTGATAATTTATTTCATTTTAAAATAATTAAAATTAAATGTAAGTAAATACTCACTCAGCTAGAATCATTTTTCCAATATAAACAGTATTATTTCCATAAGAGTCTTCCAAAATTTTTGGAGTAATTTCCAACATACCATCGTTAGTTCTTACATTTCCATCGTTGCGATAAACGCAAAATTCATAATCCTAGCAATTTTTAAAAATTGTTTATTATTTTTTCAAAATTTAAAAGTAATTATTAACATGTTTTATTATTAAATTTCATATAATGGACAATTCTTCAATTATATTCCAAAATATTCTTTAAAAAAATTCAATTATTTTCAAAAAATCTTCTTAAATTTCAAATAATGGAAATTTTTTCAATTATATTACAAATATTTTTGGAAAAAATTCAATTATTTTCCAAAAATTTTACTAAATTTCAATTAATCAATTATTTTCAATAAATTATCTTAAATATCAAATTTTTTCAATTATATTCCAAATATTCTTTGAAAAAATTCAATTATTTTCAATAAATTATCTTAAATTTCAAATTTTTGAAATTTTTTCAATTATTTTCCGAAAATGTTACTAAATTGAAAATGAAATGAAATAAATTTCAATTAATAGAAAATTTTTCAATTATATTACAAATAGTCTTTAAAAAAATTCAATTATTTTCAAAAAATTTTATTAAATTTTAAATAATGGACAATTTTTCAATTATATTGCAAAAATGTTACCAAATTTCAATCAATAAAAAAAAATTTTCAATTAAATTACAAATATTTCTTTATCAAAATTCAATTATTTTCAAAAAATCTTCTTAAATTTCAAGTAATGGACAATTTTTCAATTACTTATATTCCAAAATATTCTTTATAAAATCCAATTATTTTCAATAAATTATCTTAAATTTCAAATTTTTTCAATTTTTTCAATTATATTCCATATTTTCTTTGAAAAAATTCAATTTTTGTCCAAAAATGTTACTAAATTGAAAATGAAATGAAATTAAATAAATTTCAAATTATAGAAATTTTTTCAATAATTATATTACAAATATTTCTTTATCAAAATTCAATTATTTTCAAAAAATCTTTTTATATTTCAAATAATGGAAATTTTTTCAATTACATTCCAAATATTCTTTTTGAAAAAATTCAATTATTTTCCAAAAATTTTACTAAACTTCAATTAATAGAAAATTGTGCAATTCTATTACAAATTTTCTTTGAAAAAATGCAATTATTTTCTAAAAATTTTATTAATAATATATTATGAATAGAAGGAAATATTTTTTTCGAACAGGAAATATTAATAAATAACAAATCTTACCGGTTCCAAAGGTATTCTTATTTCACGAGTCCAAATAGAGTCATTTAAGTCCCCATGAAATCTCTCCTCAAAAATGAGTTCATTTTTACAAAGCACTCTTTCATTATTTACTGTCGTTATACTTTCAATACATTCCGATTTCCTTTTTTCTTGATTCAATGAAAATAATAATTATTTATAATTATAAATTCATATTTATTACTAATATTATTTGTTATTTGTAAAAATTTATAATTATTTAAACATTATTTTTTTTAATTCTAATAAAATCAGGGTGGCCACATGTCAATAAAATAATAATCAGTAAAACAAAATTCTTGTCAGTAAAATCAGAGAAATGAAAGGAAAAAAATTTTGTTGAATAATTGAAATTTTGTAAAATTTAATTGAAAATAATTTTTTTTTTCTAAGTATTTTGTTACTATTTTTGAAAATCAACTTTTGGAAGAATTTTAATTGTAAATATGAAAAATAATTGAATTATCAAAAATTTTAATGAAAAATCTTTATAAATGTAAATTTAAAAATGAAAATTTATGGAAGGGTTATAATTTAAAATTTTAGAAATTATTAAAATTCATAAATTTTACTTATTTTCTACAAAAATCTCATATTTTCCTGTAAAAAGAATTTTATCAGGGAAAATAATTTCAATATCAGTAAATTGTCAGGGAAATTGATAAATTGAAACTTGTTACTACCCTGTAAAATAAAAAAATTTCTTAAATTATATTCATTATTTTGAATAATTGAAAGAAGATTCAAGAAAAAAATAGAAACGTAAAAAATTTGTACAGTTGTAAAAATTATTATAAATCATTTAAGAATCCAAAATTAGAATTTAAAAAATTTAATTGTTCCAATATAATGAATTCAAGTAAATTTTTAATAAGAAATGAAAGAAAATTGACTAGGTATAATGATGATCGAGGAAACAAGTTACTTAGTTTGTTGATAAAAATTATTACATCTTTGTGACGTAAAAAGAAGAATTCCCCTCTTTTCACATTGCAAAACTTTATTTAAACAATTACCAATTAATTTCGAAACATATTTAATTTTCCCAATGATTTAATATCAAATTTGCTAAAATTTGAAAATCGAATCTAAGAATTTGCATTCAATTTTCAAGCTTCTATTTTTTTCGCCAAAGATTTCTATATAATATTCGATTAATGCAATTTATTTATTTATTTAATTAATTATTACCAGATGTGGAATTACGAAGTCCTTGTCGTTGGAAACTTTCAATTTTTTCTCTCCCAATATTTTCCTTTTCAACTGAAATATTTTCACTATTAGCGTGAGATAATTGAATAATTAATGTAATTATTGTGAGTAACGTGTTTGCAACGTGATTTCGCGTACACAACATTTCGCAATTCAATCGCACCGTTTATCAATATATAGCGTATATGAACGTGGAAAAAAAAGTATAAGAAAAAAAAATCTAGAAAATATATTCATTCATATCCTCTTCTCAACGATTGAAGAGCAATACTGATCATCTTAGAACGATAATTCCCTCGTCTGAATATTATGACAGGAGCGTAATCATGATTTAATGATAAAATTAAATTTTTTCCATTTATTTTATTTTTCTTACATTGTAAATAATTTTATGATTCTTGTAATATAATTGATTATTATTTCCTTCAATTCGTAATTGGGAAATTTTGTATACAAATTATTACAAATGTTTGGGTATTTTTATGAAATTAATTATTAACCGTATTTATTATTAATTTTTAATTATTAACTAGCAACAATTCTAACTTCTTGCTGCCTTTTCAGAATAAAATTAGCAATTTTAAAAATAATTCTAGAATTTAAAAATTTTCTAATTTAAATTTTTGTTGAAAACACTAAAAAAATCCAATTTTAGAGAAATTACAAAAATTTGCAAAAATTCAATTATTTTCAAAAAAAAAAAAAAATAAAATTCTTCTTATAAAATCCAACTGTATTAAAAATTTGAAAAAATTCTGGTAAAAATCCCAATTATCTTTATAAACAACAAAATTCTTCTCCAAAGTTCAATTATTCTCATAAAAGTTAAAAAAAATTCTTGTCCTAATTTCAATTATTTTCAAAAATAAAATGCATTTTTCTAATTTCAATGATTTTCAATATCTACTATTTTAATAAAATTTCCCAAAAAGAATTCAATTATTTTAAAAAAATTTTAATAAAATTGTATGCAAACATTTAATTATTTTTATGAATAATAAAAATTTCACAGAAATTCAATTATTTTCATAAATAATAAAATTTTTTTAAGGAATTAAATTATTATTTTCATAAAAAATAATTTAAAATTCTAGAAAATAATAATTAATTTGAAATTCTTGGAAAAAATTCAATTATTTTCCAAAAATTTTTCTAAATTTCAAATAATAGACAATTTTTCAATTATGTTTCAAAATATTCTTTAAAAAATTCAATTATTTTCAATAAATTAACTTAAATTTCAAATTATGGAAATTTTTTCTATTATATTCCAATATTTTTATGGAAAAATTCAATTATTTTCCAAAAATTTTACTAAATTTCAATTAATAGAAAATTTTTCAATTATATTCCTGTGCGGAAAATCCTATTCCAAAAATAAGATTAAAAATAGAAATTGTGCAAATATTTTTCTTCTTTTTCTATAAAACAAAATAATAATATTGTTAAAAAAATTGTGATTCATAAATAAAAATAATGCAAAATAAATAAATTTTCTATTTCTTAATCACAGTTGTTTAACAATTTTCTAATTTTGTTTAGAAGTAAAGAACAAAAATAATTTTAATTTTACAAAACATAAATATTTAACAAAATTTTAGTCTTTTAATAAAAATAAGTGAAAAAATTCTGATGATTTACAAATTTTTAGCTTAGACCGATAAAGTTTTTAATAACTTTTTAATTTTTAAAAAACAGGATGAATCATTTCCATCTCTTTTTTTCTTTAGAAAAAATATGTATTTTGAATTTTTAAAAATTATTGCTGGTAAAAATTGGAGTCAGCTGATTGGTCATTGACCACATGTTGCGCTGTAAAAGTTGTGCAGAAATAAATGTTTGACGTCTGCTACGACAATTCTTAACGCATAATCATTGTTTGATCAATAAATTTGCAAATATTATAGAAAAATTGTAATGCTAGGTACAGCAGTAAAAATTTTTAACTTCAATAAACTATTTGTCGATTTGACAGCGAGATTTGTTGGACGAAAATTGAAGAATAATACTCGTTTATTGCATTCATTCTATTTTAGAGGTTATGCCACACTGTGCTCCAATAAATATTTTAAATATTTAGATAACAATAAAGCAGTGATTTATTTCACTGTGCACAGAAAATATTCGACTGATATTGAAAATAAGAATTCTCAACAGTAAGTGTTATTTTATTATTTATTAAATTTTTAGTTTTTTGACAAATTATTGTTGATTTGTATTTTTAAAGATCTTTTCATAAAAGTGAAGACAATGTTACTTTTCGTGTTTTACAAGAGAAAATTGTTATATTATTTAAAAGAAATGTGTATAAAAAATCGAATTTTACAGTAAGTGATAATTTACATCTGTAGAATTATATTTCTTTATGAGAAAATTTTGACGCAGAGTTTTTGTTTCATTGCACAAAAATTCGAGAAATTTCTGCACATTTCTTTATTTATAGAAGTCAAAATTTACCGCTATTTATTTTTTTATAAATTAACACCCTTTTTAACTTAAGATATGAAATTTTTTTTCTATTTTCATGATCTGCTTTAATTAAATTATTGGTTTCGACTTATTTAAGTTTAATTATTTTACAGGCTTCGCACTCATCTACTTAAACCTAGTATTTACTATTTTTTTACGTTATGCTACTATTTGGGTACTTTTTTTAGATTTTAGTCACTAAAAGCTACTATATTTCTGTTTTTTTTAGAATTTTCATAAATAATAAAATTTTAAATAAAATTACACAAAAGAATTTAATTATATTCAAAACTTTCCATAAAATTCAATTTCAACAAGAATTTAAAATTCTCTAAAAATAATTCAATTATTCTCAAAATATTTTTAAAAACTCTATATGAAAATTAAATTACATACTTTCGATGCAATTTTCAAATTTATTCGTCAAAAAAATTTAAAGAATTCAATTATTTTCAAAAAAAATAATAAAATTCTTCTGATATTGAATTCAATTATTTTCAATATACTTAATTTTAATAAAATTCTTTACAGAAATCCAATTATTTTCCAAACAACTTTAATTGAATTTCTCGAAAGAATTTAATTATTTCAAATATTTCAAAAAAATTCTTCAAAACAATTCAATTATTTTCTAAAATTTTAATAAATTCTTCGAAATATTTCAATTATTTTCACAAATAAAGTTCTCCACAAGAATTCAATTATTTTCATAAATAAGAAAATTGATCGCAGAATTTTAATTATTGTTAATACAATTTTAATCAAATTCCTCGAAAAATGTAATTATTCTTAAAAAAATAAATTATTTAAAAAAATGTTTTATTAAAATTCTTTGGAAAAATTCAATTATTTACAAAAATATTAGAATTTTTCACTGGAATTCAATTATTTTCAAGTATTTTAATAAGATTGTTCGAAAGAAATCAATTATTTTTAATACAATTTTAATTAAATTTTTTTTTTAAATAATTCAATTATTCTTTTTAATTTTAATAAAATTCTTCCCAAGAATTCAATTATTTACATAAATAGTTCTTTTAATAAAATTCTTTGCAAAATTCAATTATTTTTCATAATTAACAATATTCATCACATGAATTCAATTATTTTTAAAAGTAATAATTTTTTTTTGGAAATTCAATTATTTTAAAAAATTCTAATAAAATCGTTCGCAAAAATTCAATTATTTTCATAAATAATAAAATGCTTTTTGGCAATTCATTTCTTTTCAAAAAAAATTATAATAATAATAATAATAATTAATTATAAATTATAAAAAAATATACCTTAATTTTTATTGTTGATTACTTTTCTTTTATGTAGAGAAATCAGCGCCACTGAATATGACAAAGTTTCCAATGAAACCCTCGAATCGTTAACAGAATTTTTTGACGAAATTGTGGATCAAGCGGAACATTTGGAAGATGCGGATGTTTCATATGGGGTAAAATTTCAATTATAAAAGTGAATTAACTAAAATAATTCATTTGAAATTATTTTTCACTATTTTAGGATGGAGTTCTAACAGTAAAATTTGGTGGTTCCTATGGTACATACGTTTTAAATAGACAAACGCCAAATAAACAAATATGGCTCTCATCACCGACGTCCGGACCAAAACGCTACGATTTCATCAATAATAAATGGATCTACAAACATGACGGCAATTCGCTGCATGAACTTTTAAATTCCGAAATTCCCTCTATCGTTAAGCAATCCATATCATTTAATAAATGTTCATACAGTGGGAAGTAAAATTCACGAATAATTCCCAACAATTCCCAAGAATTCCTAAATCAGCGACTTAATTAGGAAAAACAAAGGACAAAATCAAAGACGTCGACTAACAATATTTCCATCTTGAGAAGAAGCAATTGTTTTTCCAGCAAATAGAATATTTCTTCTAAATAGAAATTGATAGAAATTTATTTGTACGAAATGAATGTATAATATATTTTAAGATAATAAAAATGTAAAATATTAAAAATATTCGTCTATGAGATTATTTGTCGCGTGGTATAAACTTCAATTTGCGCGCATAAAAAATAGAAAGGTATTGATTTCACAAATTAACTGAGAATAATCTGTTGAAATATCGAATAATATAAATTATTACTGTGTTTCACTTTTGAATATCTCGGCGTATTCTAATTAAATCGCGATGGACTTTTATATAATTCCAATTATACACCTTTATTTCTATATTTTCCTCAAATTATACAATTTGAAATTAAAAAAATCTACAATTTTTAATTAATTACATCATATTTTCATATTCTGTTACTGTAATTATCATTTACTCTTTTCATCATCTTTGTAGTAAACATCAATCATGGAGATTATGGAAGATGGAAATTTGGTGGATCGAGTGAGAATATTACTTCAAAGGGACATGAAATATTATCAGGTATTGTAAGTTTTGTGCTTCATTATAGAAGGGATTGAAATTAACATCAATTTAATTAATTTACAGTTTAATCAAATTATAGTTTATAAACAGAGTATGGAAACAATTCTATAAAACTATATTTTGAAGAGAAACTTATACTAAAACATTTGTTGTATTCCGATAATCTGTTCGCAGTTTGAATTTAGTTGTTGATTGCTTTTTTGTTTCCTAACTTTTTAAAAAAAATTTCCTTCTTTTAATTTTAAAATTAATTTATCGAAAATCATTGAATTCTTGAAAAGAATCTTATAAAAAAAAATCATTTTATTATTTATGAAAATAATTAAATTGTTTAGAAGGATTTATTAAAATTTTAGAAAAAAATTGAATTCTTTCGTGACATTTTGATTAAAATTTTATTAAAAATAATTGAATTATTATTATTTGTCTCAGGAAATGCAAACAGTTCTTCGTGAACCTGTTTGCGTGCGAGTTAGTGGAGGAAAATTGGATTTCCCGAGACATGCTTCTTTCGCCGCTATAAAAATTGTCACCTGGTGGGAGGCTGAATTTAAAGTTGCTTTCAAGGGTCCGTCGGGTTTGAGCTCCAAAAGTGAAGAAAACGATCCAACTGCTGATGATGAAGAAGTCGTTATCAAAACTATGCAACCACCGGAATTAATATTGTTGGTCATCGATACTTCGGAACAATTAATAGGTTTTCAATTATTACTCAATTATTTCAGTATTTAATAAAATTATATTTTTATTAATACCAAAAGAATTTTCTTTGAATTTTAATATTTTTTCAGAGCATTTGCATACCCTCATACAGGAATCGTTGGATCATGCCGATTTGACGGTTTTGACAGCAACTCTAGGAGCAGCTGCCTTGGTTCGAAATTGCCTCTGGTGTTACAGTCAACGTGCAAAAGGAAAAGTCTCCGGTGATTCTAGGTCTTGATATTGTTTTTTTAAAAATACGTTTTGAAGAAATAATTTGTAAATGTATTTTTTATTTGAAAAAAAACGAGAAAATCCATTCATGAAATAATTTGTCAAGGAGGATTTAGTGGATAATTTGCGGATTTTCTTTTTCAACAGTGAAAAATTATACAAGTGTTACAAATCCTTTCAAGAAATGGCAGAAGCCGTGGCTGAAAGATTACTCGATTTGCATTGTCGTCTGATATCTTTGTACGTTTTGAACGAAGCGGATTCTCTAAATTGGGAATGTGAAAAATCATTCTTTGAAAAGGAACGCTCTTCCTATGTCATTCAAATGTGGTGGCTTTACATGCAAGGTTTACATTTTTAAAATTTATTTCTGTTTTTACTTTATTCAGGGTGTCTAGCGAACCGGGAAATCGGGAAAAACCGGGAAAAACCCGGGAATTTGGTTCGACCTCAAAAAACCGGGAAAAACCCGGGAATTTTCTATTTCTAGGGTATTTTTTGAATTATGTATATAAAAAATTATAATTTTTTTCAAAATCGTCAAGGGTAAATTGATAGTATGAAGCAGTAGTAAAAATAATAACTTAAATTTTATTTAAAACTAACTTTAGTATACGTTATATTATAAAAGTTAAAGGATTTGTACTATTATTATTTTTATATAACAATTTATAGGTATACAATACGTAACAAATTTTATAAGAAGAAATTAAGAATCTTCTGTGATATAGGAAAGGCAAAGATTTTACTTTTTAAAACTAAATATGGGGCATTCCATTTCAAAATGATCCTCTTTATAAACAATTGACATTGTAAGGCAATTTTTAAATCATTATTTCTCATATTTATTGAAGCCAAACTTTATTTACTATTAGTGGTTTTAAAACAAAAATTTCTCAACTTTATAATGGTAGAAATTTTTTTTTTTAAATAATAGAATTTATGAAAAAAATTAAGTTTGAAAGATAACCTTTTTGAATATCTCAAAACACGTCGCATCCGATTTTCTTGAAACTTATGTACAAATAAAGCTTAAATATTCTAGTTTAATTCTATGTAAACATTATAATGTGCAATTCATGGTTTGAGAAATTAATTAAATTTTACAAGTATTTCAAAGGGTATAATGTATGTACCGAGCGGAATTTTTTTTTCAAAAAAAGTTTTTCTTAAATTCCCCTGAATTGACAATTATATTATAAAGTTGAGAAATTTTTATAAGTGAAATTTTGATATTCTATGTCAAGTTTTTAGAAATTATTGTATAACTTTAATCATTGTAATTTAATAAAAACAATATTTAATTACGTAAATAATGTTATTGATAAACATTTAAATATGTTTTTAAATCCTTTGTGAATATCCGGGAAAATTATTCAAGAACCCGGGAAAAAACCGGGAAAAACCCGGGAATTTTAAATTGACGATTCGCTAGACACCCTGTTTATACTGATTACTATTCGTTCCTTTTCTTTAAATTTGTTACCATTTTATAAGTTTGAGGAACTTATATAAGGAATCATTGAAAACGAATTATGCATAATTACAATATAATTATAAATTAATTAAAGAATTCTTTAACTTTAATAAAAAAGTTGTTTTTCATTCAGGAACGAAAGCAGATTTATGGAACACTGTGTCGCCAAAAATGGCACAAAGAATCTTTTCCGGAATGTTAAACGAATCACTAACAATTCTCACATCTCGTTTTGTCCACGTACGTTCTATTAATTCATATTATTACAATTAATTATAAAATATTGATGAGTTTGGTAATTGATAATAATTTATTAATTATCAATCTATTTTCTATAATTAATAATCGTTGTATTCCGGTAATCTGTTACCGGAATACCAGTTTAAAGTTAGTTGCTGTTTGCTTTTATTTTCTAACTTTTGAAATAATTTTTCTTTTTAAATGTTTTCAATTTTAAAATTAATTTACTGAAAATCATTGAATTTTTGCAAAGTATTTATCAAAAAAAGTAATTTTAATTGAAAATTTTTGAAAATAATTGAAATTTACAAAGAATTTCATTTAAAATTCTTTCGAGAAATTTTAATAAAATTGTATTGAAAATAATTGAATTCCTTCGTAGAATTTTATTATTTATAAAAATAATTGAATTCTTTCGAAAAATTTTATTAGAATTGTTAAAAATAATTGAATTTTTATTAAAACTCTTGAAAATAATTGAATTTAAATAATATTTTTAAAAATAATTGTATTCTTCCGAAGAATTCAATTAAAATTTTTAAAAATAATTGAATTTCTGCAAAGATTTTTATTATTTATAAAAATAATTTGATTCTTGCGATGAATTTTATTATTTATAAAAATAATTGAATTGTTCCGAAGAATTTATTTTAATATTGGAAAATAAATGAATTTTATGTAAATTCATAAATTCATAAAAAAATAATTAAATTGTTTCGAAGAATTTTATCTGAATTTTTGAAAATAATTAAATTTTTTGAAGGAATTTTGTTAAAAATAAAATTTTTGAAAATAGTGTATTTTTTAAAAGAATTTTATTAAAATTGTCGAAAATAATTGAATTTATATTAAAATTCTTGAAAATAATCGTATTTAATTAATATTTTTAAAAATAATTGTATTCTTTTGAAAAATCTCATTAAAATTGTATTGAAAATAATTAAATTGCTCTAAAAAATATTATTATTATGAGAATAATGAAATTCTTGCAAAAAATTTTATTAAAATTTTTGAATAATATAATAAACAACAATATTTAATATTATGCACTTAATAAGTGAATTCTTTAAATTTTAAAATCTGTAATCATTCAAAAATTGATGTTTATTTTTAAAAATATAAAATTTTTTAATTTACAAAATAATAATAAATGGTAAACCGCGTTCCGCGCGTGTATCATTTGCTAGTAATTAATAATTTATTAGTATTTATACTTTATATAAATTTTCTTTTATGTTTTTTTAATTAAAGAAAGTTGAAATTTAATTCAAAAATAGAAGCAATTTTAGAACATATTTTGTGTGTATAAATGAAAAATGTTCACGTTTTGAATTTCCCAGGATAATTCAATATTTAAATTTAGAAGGAGATGAATAGAAGAAGCATTCTTGCGAATTCTTAGAAATCTTTATCGTTTTTCTCTTAAAATATCCTTTTAAGTGCAGTTTCTGAACATACTACTTCACGAACTATTCATTCAGTTTAAAAAAAAAATATTGGCTTCAATTCTCAATTCCTAGAAATTCATTTTTTTTTATTGAATATGTAACTCATTCAATCATCAAAATGGTAAAATTCTTGAGATATTTTAAAATATTTATAAATGCGAATTTTAGGGTCGTGCCAGTTTGTCAAGATCAGAACAATTTTGGGCTGATGCTTTCAATGTTCTTTGTTGCACTGCTTATTTGACGTTAAGCTCTTGTCAAGATGGAAAGGAAATGATTGGATTACAAAAAATAAAAATGCCCGTACTAATGAGGGATATTCATTCGAAATGCTATGAACTTTTAGTTTGTCTCTTGTTAAGAGGCACTCCACTCAAAATACTATATCAGGTAAATTTATTTCAATATTGATATTTATTTATTTAAAGTTTTTTTAATTAATTCACAATTTATCGTATTATTTGATTTTATTCTATTTAAAAAAAAATTATTCCACCTTCAAGCTACGCGACTATAAAGAGTTTTTAATGAAACACCTCAATTTTCGCATCGAGGTAAAATCCAATTGAAAAATTATATACATTTAATTGATACATTTTCAACAATAATTGCCCCACATGTGAAATAATTTGTCAATTAAGAGAGAATTGCGCAACAAATAACAAACGTAATCCTTTAACATTTTATACGATTTATAAATAATTAACGGATCAACTTTTGTATATTTAAAAAAAAAGAAATTTGATAAGTTTAAATCTCAATTGAATTTCTATTTTTACTTTCCTCCCAATAAATGCCTCGAGACTGAAATGATAATATGGACTTTTTCAAATAATTAATTATTTATTATCACATTAAATGAAATTATTTTCACTTCATTAGAATATTCCCTTGTTAAATGAATATATTTTAATTATCTACTTAATAAAGTGTGCATAAATTGTGTGTTTTGGTCAAATATTTGTCGATTTGACTGCAATTATTTGAATATATTATTCACATATATATACAAAAGGCGCGAATCAAAAAACTAATTACATTTGTTAAATTAATGAGGTTAATTATAATATTCTAAAAAATACGTTGAAAATTATATGATTTATAGCTTTTTGCACTAAATTAATTAACAAAATAATAATAAATTTTATTAATTAATTTTTAAATTTTTTTGTTAATTAATAATTAACAAAATTATTAATCTCTTGTTTTCAGGTTTTTCGAAATGGCCTCGAGGATCTGACAATTTCACAACCTCGTTGTGGACCAGCACCGTGGCTCATTATGTCAGCACCAGATTTACTGGGGTTTGAAGAAGGCAATAGAAAAAAAATTTCCAAATTTCAAGATGTCATTTTGGAAATAAATGTCTTAAAATCCCAGCCACAGCCGAATTGGTCACAATTAGTAAAAGTAAGAAAAAGTATTTTTTTTGGGAAAACTTTTGTGTTTGCCGCTTAAACATTCAATTACCGGTTTCGCACTCATCTACTAAAACATACTATTTACTACTTTTTATATTATTTAAGTACTTTTTTTACATTTCAGTCAAAAAAGCTACTATTTCTGTTTTTTTTTTTTTTTGTTGAGAATTTCCACTACTTTAATTATTATTTTCAATGCAATTTTAATAAAATTTTTCGAAAGAATACAATTATTTTTAGAAATATTAATTAAATTCGATTATTTTCAAGAATTTTAATATAAATTTAATTATTTTCGACAATTTTGATGAAATTCTTTTAAAAAATTCGTTATTTTCAAAAATTTTATTTTTAATAAAATTCTTTCAAAAAACTCAATTATTTTTATGAATATTGTAAAATCCTCCGCAAGAATTCAATTATTTTCATAAATAATAAAATTCTTCGAAGAAATTCAATTATTTTCAAATCAATTTTAATAGAATTCCTCGAAAAAATTCAATTATTTTCAAATATTTACATAAAATTCATTTATTTCCTAAAATTTTAATAAATTCGTAGGAACAATTCAATTATTTTTATATATATTAAAATTCTTTGCAAGAATTAAATTATTTTTATAAATAATAAAATTCTTCTGAGGAATTCAATTATTTTCAATACAATTTTAATAAAATTTATCGAAAGAATACAATTATTATTTTTAAAAATATTATTTAAATTCAATTATTTTCAAGAGTTTTAATAAAAATTCAATTATTCTTTTCCATTTTAATTAAATTCTTCCCAAGAATTCAATTATTTACATAAATAATTCTTCGAAAGAATTCAATTATTTAAGATAAATAACAAAATTATTCCCGAAAATTCAATTATTTTGAGGCATTTTAATAAAATTATTTCCAAAATTCAAATATTTTCATAAATAACAATATTCATCACAAGAATTCATTTATTTTCATAAATAATAAAATTCATCGCAGGATTTCAATTATTTTTAAATATTTTAATTAAATTGTTCGAAAGAAATCAATTATTTTCATAAATAATAAAGTGCTTTTTAGGAGTTCAATAAGTAAATAAAAATTTAATAAAATGCCACACAGACATTCCAATTACTCTAAAAAATTTTAATAGAATTCTTTGCAAAATTTAATTATTTTTAAAAACTGTTCGCTATTCAACGATTTTCAATATCTACTATTTTCAAAAAATTTCCAAATAGAATTCAATTATTTAAAAAAATTTTTGGAAAAATCTTCTTATGAATTCAATTCTTTTTGCATGAATAATAAAAATGTCTCAGGAATTCAATTATTTAAATTAGAAATTGCATAAAATTAGTCGAAAGAAATGAATTATTTACAAATTTTTATAAAATTCTTCGCAAGAATTAAATTTTTTTTATAAGTATTTAAATTCTTTCATGAATAAAATGGAATTTTTGTCAGTTTTGTAAAGTTTCTTAAACGAGTTTTTTTTAAGTCGTCAAGTTTAATTCTTCGATAGTTATTTTTTTATTCCTTTTTATTAGTTTGAAAGCTACTTTTTTGAAATTAATTATCGAGTGCGAAGTCTATAATTAAGAAAATAAATAATTAATACAATTAAATATCCGGTAAATTTGAAATAAAAGGTGACAAAATTAGAATGTAAAATCCTTATGTAACCCAAGCTTGCGAATATCTGAATACCAGGAAATTGAACTCTACTGGTTGAAGAAAAGTTTTCCATATTATTTTACAAGAACAATTTCAAAAGAAAATAAATGTGAATCAAAAACATTTATTTTCTTTCTCTGCAAGAAGAATGCAACCTATTCTCCAGCAATTCGAGTGAAGTATAGGTGTACAAAAGAGATAAGGAGATACTTACATCAAAAAGAAATGAAATGAAATTCTTGAAAAGAATTTCATTTAAACTTAACCAATTCATCACAAGAGTGAAAATAAAAATTTGAAAAAAAAACAGACGAAAAGAAATAAAATTTTAATGCTAATTTTTCGATGCAGGTTTTTTTGATGAAAGACTATGTGGTATCGAAACTTCTACTTCGATCATTGGTGAGGCAATCTATTGGCAAATGTGAAGACATACAACTGATGAAATCAAAGGAGGAGAAAAAATTGGAAAACACTTGTGGAGGTTTTTTATGTGCTGGAAATTCGTGTCGTTTAATATTAAATATAACATCCACTTCTGCTCTATTTAGTCTCGTTTATATTTTAATCAATACGGCCAATGATCCATTGAATGTAATTGTTCCTGCTTTGAAACTTGATCCATCATGGTCCAATTATCTTGACAGGCAACAAGTACAATTTTGTAAAATAATTTTTGTTTGGTATTTATAAAAAATTTGTTTTTTTATCTTTAATATATCTTGGAGAATTTTTTATTAAATTTATAGTTTTAAAAATAGAAATTTAAATAATGGAATTTAAATTTTTTTAGGTGTGGAATCAATCGCGACCACCTTGGTTGAATGCTCTTTTGTCTCCTCTGAACTCGATGATGAAACCCATCGTAGAAACTCTTCTTGACGCTGTTAAAGTAAGTTTCTGTTTTAAATTTGTATAATTTTATTTTATGCCAAACTGGGAATTTTTTCATCAAATTAAAAAAAGTTTTATTTTAATTTGAGTTTAAAAAATCGCTTTTTATTTCAATTTTTATAGGCATTTATACTGTTCTCTAAATTTGAATTACTTAAAAATAATTAATTTGATAGTCAAAAATCAGTCAAAAAAAATTATCGAATTAGTAGAAATTTTGTGAAATTCATCTGAAAATAATTAAATTTGTTAAAGAATGTCATTAAAAACTTTTTAACAAATCGAATTTTCAAAGTATTTTAATTTAATAATTGATAAACAATTGAATTTTATAAAGAGTCACATTCTAATGTATTCATGTTTCTTAGTGCAAAGATTAATAATTAAAATTTTTATTAGTTCATTTAAAAAAAGATACACACTTAAAATTTTTTAATAAAATTAAATTTTCGCAAAGTTTTTTTTTAAATTCTGAAAAATAAGATTTTTGGAATTTTTCAATTCTATTGTTTCAAGATAATTGAATATTTATAAACAAATAATTGGAACTTTTTGAAATAAATGAAAATTCTTTACATTATATTAAAAATAATTGAATTCTTTTAAAGAATTTTATTTAAATTTTTCGAAAATAATCAAGGGAAGTTAGTACCGTAATTATAATTTTATTTTTAAAAATTTCTTCGCAATATGTATGTTCTTTGCAGGAATTCACTTATTTTTAAAACAATTTTAATTGAATTCCTAGGATGAATTTAAATATTTTTAAATATTTTCATTAAATTCATTTATTTTCTAAAATTTTAATAAATTCTCCGGAACAATTCAATTATTTTTATAAATAGTAAAATTCTTTGCAAGAATTCAATTATTTTCAATACAATTTTAATAAAATTCTTCTTCATAAAATTCAATTGCTTTCGAAATTTTCAATTAAAATTATTAAAGAAACTCCATTAGTTTAAAAAAAAATTCAAAGAAATTTTTCAAAAGAATTTAATTAGGTTTTTTAAAAATTTTAATAAAATTCTTTGAAGGAATTCTATTATTATCAAATTTTTTTTATAAAATTCTTTGCAATAATTCGATGATTATTGTATATATTTCCATATATTTGTCCTGCAGATTTTTAAAATACTTTTATCCAACCTTAAGAATAAAATATTTCTCAAAATAAATCATTTAAAAGAAAATACTTTATTTTCTTTTAAATGAAAAATATCCAGAAATTGTCCAACTGATAGTAAAATATATTTTGCATATCATGTTCTTTTCGAACGAATGAAATCATTATTTATGACCATAATCGATTTTTGATGCTATGTGGTCCAGTTTATTGGCGCAAAAATTGTGCGATGATATTTATTTAGATTCATTTTTATGATTATATTTACGCAGACAGGGGCGAGCATTTATCAGGCAATGTCGTTAGCATTGGCGTGCTTGATGGAATTGCACATTTCGGCGCCCATTGGAATATTACGAACGGCCATTGCAATGAATGAAAAAATCCCGGCTCATTGTCGACCAATCGGTGGATCAGTATTATTGCAAATTATGTGCGCCGCACTATACACAGCCTTACTTCAAGTATCAGCATCAATAAAATCGGAACTACCACAAAATCCAATGAATCTTAAAAAGGAACCCGGATCCTTTGATCCAAACGATAAATCTGCCTCATCTCTTGCCTTAGCCGAGGCTCTTTGCAGCATTGACGAGGACAATAAACACACTGTTCAAATTGATGACTTTCTCAAGATTGTCAAAAGAAGGTTTTTTTTTTATTTTTCTATTTCTTTTGTATAATTTGTTTCGATTTTTATTTTTTTTTTTTTGTAAGTTACGTTAGTGTTTTACTTTAGATAATGCTTTTTTTATTTTGAAATAAATCGCCAATAGAAATTAAATATGAGAATAAAATTGATTCTTCACTCTCTGAATTTGAATTGGTAAAAATGTTTACTAATTAGAATTACTGACTGCCTTTTTGCTTTTGAATTAGTAAAGTTTGCTAATAAATAGTTATTTCTACTAATAAATAATTATTTCTACTAATAAATAGTTATTTCTACTAATTTTATAGTTAAATTTACTAATTCAAAAGCAAAAAGTCAGTCAGTAATTCTAATTAGTAAACATTTTTACTAATTCAAATTTAGACAGCAGAATATTAACGAAGATACTATATTAGAAATTTAACAAATTTTTTCTAATCCTTATTGGTATTTTCTGACAGAAAAATATCCAAAAGCTGATAATTGATAATTTTTACAGTATTGATTCAAGAAAACAAATGAACAACGTTGATATTGAGGATATGTGTCCTTATATAGAAGTCCTTACCGATGAATTATTATTTAAAAGCGAAGGACGTCATTCCCTGAAGGTTCGTTATTTATTTAACATCATATTGGAAGAAGAAAATTTTTTTATTTTCTCAAAATTATTCAACTACTTTCAAAGAAAAAACTTATATATTTCCACGATTTCTACTAATTTCTAAAAAGAAAGTTTTTAAAGTCTTAAATTTCTTTTACTTTGATATTTGATTATAATTTTATTATTCTGAAAATAGCAATCATACTTACTTACTTTTATTCTCAGGATGGCAAATTTTTTAACACTTGAACACAATATGGTTTATCAAAAGAATATTGCAGGGCTCGAATCAGTGAAAGAAAACAAATAAATTAAATTTTTTCAATTATTTCTTAAAATTCACGCTATATTGCTTTTAATATTCAATTCCTATCTACAATTTTAACTGAAATTCATTTAAAAATCAATTTTTTTTAGAAAATTCTACTAGAATTCAATTATTTAAATACAAAAATAAATATTTTATTAAATTATTGAATGTTTCTTAAAATTGAATTTTCATATAGAATTTAATCAACAAATTTTTAAATAATTGAATTATTTCGACCAATTTTAATAAAATTTTAAAGAATAATTTCATTTTTCGAGAAATTTAATGAAAATTGTATTAAAAATAATTGAAATTCTGCCAAGAATTTTATTAAAATTTTAGAAAATAATTGAATTTCAGAGAAAAATGTTATTATTTATAAAGATAATTGAAATTTTGACAATAATTTTTATAAATTTTTGAATATAATTGAATTTCTGCAAAGAATTATATTACTTTTGAAAATAATTGAATTCTTGTGACGAATTTCACTAAAATTTCTTTTTAAATAATTGAATTCTTTTGTGAAATTTTATTGAAATAGTATAGACATTGAAAATAATTGAATTATCTAAAATTTTAACTGAAATTCATTTTTATTAGAAAATTCTACTACAATTCAATTATTTAAAACAGGAAAAAATAATTTATTGAATAATTGAATATTTCTTAAAATTCAATTCTCATAAAGAATTTTATCAACAAATTTTTAAATAATTGAATTATTTCGACGAATTTTAATAAAAATTTTAAGAATAATTACATTTTTCGAGGAAGTCGATTAAAATTGTATTAAAAATAATTGAAATTCTGCAATTTGTTTTATTATTTGTGAAAATATGTGAATTCCTAAGTTTTATTATTTTTGAACAATATTTAATTTTTGCGAAAAATATATTATTATTACTCTTGAAAATAATTGAATTTCTGCAATAATTTGTAACTTTTGCAAAATTAAATATTTTTTCGTGTTTTTAACTAAAATTCTTCTATAAAATCCATTATTTTTAATAATTTTTGAAAAAGTTCTTTTGAGAATTTTCAAATTCATTTGTTTATAATTCAATTTTAGAAAATTTCAATATTATTCGTAAATTCTTTAATTATAAATATATACCTATTAAAAAATAAAAACTTGAAATAATTTAAAAAAAAAAAATTAAATTGAACTTTTTCAAAAAAAATTAATTCCACAGTAAATTTTATTATTTTTTAAAAATAATTGAATGATTGCGAAGAAAATTATAAAAAATTTGTAAATAATTGAATTACTGTGAAATTTTTATTATTTTATGAAAATAATTAAATTTTTGCGTAGAATTTTATTAAATTTTTTTGGAAAATTTTATTAAAATAGTAGATAGGTATTAAAAATCATAGAATTGAGAACACTTTTTGAAAATAATTGAATTTCTGCAATCATTTGTAATTTCTTTAAAGTTCTCCAAATTATATCGGACAATTTATGTACTTTTCGTCTTTTTTCAATCAATTTACGCACTTTACGGACCTTTAAAAAAAAAAAACTGACTTTTACGGACTTGAAGCAAATTTACTGACTTTTACAGAATTTATGGAACTAGTTCGAGCCCTGATATTGTGAATAGAATTTTTAAGAAATGAATGATCAAACATTGAAAGTTTTTTTTCTTTTTGATCAATTTTAAATTAAAAACTATTTTTCTTCATTAGATTGCACACGAATATTTAATTCGAGCTTCGGATTTTGTTCTGGAAGCTTTAAAAAGCCAGAATGTTGATAACTCGGAAGTTAATATTCCAGCCGATGTTCCAGTTAAAATGAAAACTCTCTCTTACATTATGTTTCATATTGGCGATAAACCATTCGATCAGGTGATTTGTAAATTAAAAATAATTTTTATATATTTAATTAATTTCCAGTCTATTAAATATTATTAATTACCTCAATTTTTACAGTCTTCTGTTATAATAACATTAATTATTGTAATGTCAGTAAATTGGCAGGGAAATAGTAAAATTTGACAGAAAGGTACATTGAGTTTGGTTTTACTTTGTAAATAGTAAAAGTTAAAAAATTTCTTTAGTTTTAGATTTTTTGCACCCTTTTCTCGTGGAAAAATTAAATTTGAACCTAATTATAAGATCAGAAAAAAAATGATGACTCAATTTTTTTCTAAACTTCTCAGAGGTTTTTTCCAATTTTTAAAAAATTATGTTTTCCATTGCACATATATTTTTTATTTTTATTTTATTTCCACGTATCTAAAATAAAATTCTTCTTCATAAATGATTGTCTTTTGCGATGAGTGAAGCGCAATTTTGAAAACGGAAAGCTTTGCGGAACAGAAAAAGAAAAATCATCAGTATAGATAAAATTGATAATAAAAAATAAATTGTTTTTTTTAGCTTTTAATCGGTTACGATGATAAAAATTGGGAAAGGATGTTTTCCATTCCCCTGTCGATTTCACCAGAACGAATTCGCGGACAGTTGCTTGTCAGACCGGATTTGAGAAATATCGATCGACTCACATCCGATGAGCAGGAAGTTGCTAATTTTCTGAAGCAACTTTGCACCACCGGAAGATCTGCGAGATTCAGATAAATCAAAAAGGTGATGACTTCGTCCGCAAATAATTAAAATACTTTTTTTTTTCATATAGCATATTCTTGGATTTATCGTTTATATATTGAAAACAAAAGAAAATATACATTATTCAGATCAATTTTTTGCTCTCAGTGCATAAAATATACATTAAAATTAAATATACATGAAAATCACTAATGAGAATCGTCAGGACAATTCAAATATCGAATTAGAAGATGAAAATACAAACTTAATATTCAAGAATATTTATTTCAGTCTTTATTTAATAAAAGAAAAAATTTTAATCAAATTTTTAATTCGTAACATTTTTAATTTACAATCTAAAAATGAAATATTAACAAGTATAATTTTTTTTACTTTGAAAAATATATCTTCTAATTAAATATAGTAAATTGTCTTCCTCTCATTTTATTGACACGTTATTTTTTTTATATTAAGTCCTAGAGTTCGTTGCTAATATTCAGATTTTGGGGATCTTTCAATTTCTGAATATTGGCTGTCAATTTCTTTTTAAAAAGTTTAAAAGTGCAAGAAAAAGTGATGAAGTTTTTAAATTTTTTTATGACGATCACAATATTTGGCACACATTAAATATTGAATGGGTCTTGATTTTTAATTTATAGTTGCAAAATATAAAAATAATTAATTCGATTTTTAAAAATTTTTAAAGGTCTGTAGTAGGCGCATAATTTTGATTTCTTTGCAAAGAAAAGAAAAATTCTACTTGTCATAACATATATTTTTTTTATATTTAGGCCAATTGCCTCTTTTTTTCTTACTAACTTACAGATTATTATATATTTATTACAAGAATGTGGAATTATTTATTATTTATCAGAGTATAATTTAAGATTTATATTTTATCGCATTCTTTTCTTTAATATTCGAAAATGATTTTCCACAACTCTAAAAATAAATTATTTTTAATTTTTATTAAAATATTGACTTTGTACAAAAAGCTCTCTGGAAAATTATGTAGCAGATTTTATATTTAGTTAATCCTCTTCTTGAAAAAAAGCACATACGCAAGGAATTTAAATGAATAATTCTTTTACATAAAAATTTTTAATTTAATTTTTTTCATTTATATATATATAGTATATTTATAATAAAGAGAGAAATTTTATTTTTTGATAAGAAAAATAAATTTTGTAAAATAATGATATTATTTAGTATAAAAATTATGTGAAAAACATTTCTATTCTGAATATTTCAAGTCTATTGATTGTCTTACTAAAATCATAAATAATTAGGTACATAATTTCTCACAAATGAATTACATTTTACTTCTTGTTTCATTGGTGAAACAAAGATTAAAACAATTGAGCACAAAAAAAAAATTTCCGGTTACATAAGATTTTTAATTTCATTTTTAATTTCATTTTCAATAAATATTAATTAGTATTAATAAATATTATTCTAATATTTTATTTATTAGAATGAGATCGACGACTTTTATTGTTTAATAATCCAGGTATAATTTACAGTTCTCTTTCTCGGTTTATCATCCGAATATTAGTAATATTATTATTATTATTATTTCTGGTTTTTCACTATTATAATAATAATAATAATAATAATATTATTAATTATAATATTAATAATTTAATATTATTATCATTTTTTACTAAAATAAATAGATTTATAATAAATTATAACACATAATCACATATTAACAATAATATTTAGTTAGAATATTATTTATATTCTAAATTAAATTCTTTATTAAAATAATTTACTAATTATCTTAAAATTGTGAGTAAATTTAGTAGTTAAAAATTTGCGAAAGTGAATAATTTTTTTATTCGCATAAATTTTTTGCTGAAAACTTTATTTCATTTAGAGTGAAATTGAATTTTTTCAAATGGAGAGAAATATTTTTTCAAAAAAGCGAAATTGTTTGCTTTTCTTTTTTTTGAGAAAGGACAAAAATACCCTTCCAGAAAATAAATAAAAAGTATTGAGCAAAAGACATAGGTAAAGGAATTAAAAAGTGAAATGATGCTTACAAAGTATGCAACGAAAGATTTTTTGCTGAGTATGAAAACTAATTAAAAATGGCATTTAATTAGTTATCTTGAACTGACTCTGGATTTGATCTTGGAAGTGCTCCCGTCTGTAACAAAAATTTTAAAAATATACAATTGATTAGAGAAAAAATATCTTTAAAAGTTTATTTAAAACTTTTCTGTGAAAGATTTTTTTAATTATCGTTGTTATAAAATTTCTCCAATAATTTGAATAAAGGCAAAATATGTATTGTTTTCCTGTCATGATAATTAATTAAATGTAAAAAAAGAAAATTTTACTATTTACGAAAGTAAATTTTAGAGAAAAAATATCTTTAAAACTTTTTCTTGTGAAAGATTTTTTTTTTTCAATAAAGGCAAAAATATGTATTGTTCCCCTGTGATGATAATTAATTAATTAAAACAAAATTTTAATATTTACGAAAGTTTAGATTTTTATTTTAATCCAAGAAAACAATAGGAGCGAATATTTTTTTTACCCCCTTTCACAATATTTTTTCTTTAATTAAAAAACGGGATTTTATTTTGATTCCCTTTTTCCTAAAGGAAAAGAAAGAGGAAATGATATTTTATTCATGCGAGTTCACATTTGTGTAATAATTGAGAAATTAGGAGACTATTTGAGATGGTAATCACTTCGTGTTCCCCAGTCGTTTTTCTTGGGGTTGTAATTTCGTGATTTGTCAATGTTTATTTTCGGTGAATAATAATTTTTTTTATAATATTTAGATATAATATTTGTTTTCTTATAGGCATCGTAATTTTAATTACGGAAGCAGTCAAAAAATAATATTTTCGATTTTTTTAATTTTTCTTGATTATAATCTCAAACTTTCGTGCGACATGCTTAAAATTTTTTATATACAGAATATATATTCAAATGTGAAATTGAAGAAAGAAAAAGTTTATTAGATTTTTATATTAGGTACTTTATTGTTTAGCTATTTTTTTCGTTTCTCAGTTCATTTTTTTATTTTTTTCTCTCTAGTTTCATGATAAGTGGGGTTTTTATTAGGATATTGTTTTTGAAAAATTTTAATTTGTATCATTTTATATTAATTTTAAATTTTTCTCTTATTTAAACGAATAACTCACTGATTCTAATTAAAAAGTGGATAATTAATTTCTAAATTCTATTTTTTTTTAATTTTAAATCGGTTAAATAAGTTTATTTTTTTTATTTAAAATCGGTTATCATTTTTTAAAAAAAAAGGAATAATTATTCTGTTTAATTTAAAATCGGTTGTCATTTTAAATTAAAAAGAATAAATTTATTTAGAAATTAATTATAAACTTGAGTTGAGTCCTATTATAAAGGTAATAAAAATCAAAGTTAATGTCCGGGGGCGTCTATTTGAAATTGCTTCGCAAATTGCAATTATGCGATGGGCACAATACTGTTTTGTTAACAACGTAATTATTAAATTTAATAATCGGTAAAAATTTAAGAAGAACATATGATACGTGTTAGAATATCAATAATCACCAAAGTGTGAAAGCACTGTGGGTGTTGAAACTATTTTTAGAGCAGAGTATTTTATATATACAAATTCTAGGTACTAATTAAATAAATTAAAATTAAAATCATCGTCGATGGTGAAAATAAATGAAATAAATAAACTCACTGGAATAGGGGGAAGGGCACGTCCAAATCGAAGGCGCAAAGAGGGCGACCGTTGGGATTTTCGAATCATTAAATGTTCCATTGGTATCCCATATTCATTGTCCCATACTTTACGTTCCATTAGACGTCTGTATAATTCAGGAAGAATATTTTCTGGTATTCTATCGGCCATTTCGTCTGAAATCAAATTAAAGTCAAATTAAGAAGCGCGGAATATTTTAGCACGAGGGACAATATTAAGGAAATTTTTTTTTTAATAAAGACACAGTATAATTACTTAAATTAAGAAAAAAAAAGGTTGCGATAAATTAAAAGTCGTCTTCGAATTTTATTAATTTTTGCTCTCTGAAATTCAATTAGTAAAAATTATTATACTGAATTAGTGACTTTTTGCTTTTGAATTAAATTTTACTAATAAATATAGTAATTTCTACTTATTAGTAAAATTTACTAATTCAAAAGCAAAAAGTCAGCCACTAATTTCAGACTTTTCGATTTTTTTCCAACTATTTTCAAAAAAATTCGACTTTTCTTCCAAGTTTTGCCACAATTTTTTATTTCTATTTTTATAATGTAAAAAGTATAACTATAGACAAATCTTTCAAAAATTCATTTTTGAATGATTTTTCAAATTAAATTTTTGAAATATACAATAAAAAAAATTACAATTTTTGAAAATCAACTTTTGAGGAGTTTTAATTGCAAATTTTGAAAATAATTGAATTCTCAAAAATTTCATTGAAAGATTTCATAGACAAATCTTTGAAAATTTATTTTTTAATAATTTTTATAATTAAATTTTTGAAAAACAATTAAAAAGATTTTGAATAATTGAAATTTTCTAAAATTCAACTGAAAATAATTGATTTTTTCAAGTATTTTATTACAATTTTTGAAAATCAACTTTTAAGGAGTTTTAATTTGCAAATTTTGAAAATAATTGAATTCTAAAATTTTCATTGAAAAATCTTGAAGTGTTTTCAATCTTCAATCTTTATAAATATGAAAATTAATGAAAAATTAGCTTCTAAAAATTATATTAAATTTTTTTTTGAAAAAAGTGATCTATTATTTATAGAATTTTTTCCTTGTAATTTTTGAAAATTCAATTATTTTCAATAATTTCAATTACATATTTCCGAAAATTCAAATGCGTATAAAAAATAATAACATTAAATTTTATTTATTTAAATTCAATAAAAAATTAGTTTTTTTTTAAATTGTACAAAAATTCTTTAAAGAAATTCAATTTATTTTCTAAAAATTACATTGCAATATTTTTAAGAAAACTGAGTCTTATAATTGTTTCATTATAATTTTTTAAGATTAATTTTTTTTAAATTTACCTTCTTAAACTTATTAAAATTTTGTAGAAATCATGTTCGTTTTAAAAATTAAAATTCTTCATAAAAATTTGATAAATTCTTATTATATTTTTCCAAAATTCAATTATTTTAAAAATATTTTACCAAATTTCAATTATTATTTGGAAATTTTTCGATTGTATAAATGAAAAACCTATTAACTTTCAAAATTTATTTTAAAATATAATATTTAAAAAATTATTTTTAAGAATTTCTTTATTACAATTTTTTAAAAATCAGTTACTTTCAACATTTTTTGTTAAATATTTTCAGTAATTAATCTTAATAACTTTTATAAAAAAAAGAACCATAAACAGTTACAGTAATTATGGAAAATTGAATTTTCATATTTAAATAATTGGAAGAAAAATAAAAAATAATTTGTTTTGGAAATTAAGTTTAGTTAAAAATTAAAAATTGTAAAAAATAGTTTAATTTTGGAAGGATTATAATAATTGTAATTTTAGGAAATTATTAAATTTCAGAAGATTTTAATTTTAATTTCTTCTAATTTTTTATCCCATGGAAAAACAAATAATAATTATTTAAATATTTATATTTGACAAAATTATTCAAGTTTTGAATATAATAATTGAATTTTTGAAATCAGTGAAAGGGGAAAATCAGGAGAATAAAAAATAAAATTATTTGAAATAGTTTTTCATTCCATTATAATATTTATAAAGAAATTTTTTTCGATTTTTGGAAGATGATGGAAAAATTAAAAAAGAAAAACGATTATAGTTTTTCTTTTATTATCTTTTTTAGTAAAAGAAAATTCTTGTGACTGCATATGAATTAAATAAACGACTTTTTCGATTTTTTTTTGTATTTTTAATTGACTAAAGCGACTTTTTTTCTTAAATTCGATCCGAGGCCTGGAATCTAAATTTGAATTATTAATAAATTTTACTAATAAATTTAGAAATTACTATTAATTTCTACTATAATTTATTAGTAATTCTACTAATTTATCACTATGTCAAAAGCAAAAAGTCAGTGTCACTGATTCAAATTACTTTTTTACTAATTCAAAATTTAGAGAATGAGTCTCGATCGAAATTTGATTAATTTCCAGACCTTATTGTCTATACTTGAAAGTATACCTTTCTCTACTGTTATTAGAGAGAAGTCGAAGAAATTTTGCAATAAAACTTTTTTAATTAAATGTTTTATAAATTAAAAGTCCTTTTTTCTCGCAAAATTACAATTTATTGGAAAACAAACTCTCATGGATTATCGTCTTTCGTACAAGAAAAAGAAAAGAAATAAGAAGAGAACAAAATTCAATATAAAAGGAAAAAGATTTGATATTATATACATAAAAAATAGGTCCTGGGGTAGACGTGAAGAAGTAAGAAAGGGAAAATTGGAAAAAATTTATGTTAATGAGGTACAGAAACCAAGAAATCAGCATATACAATAAAAATAAAAGAACTTTTACAAAAATCTAAATTACTTTTTCAGGAAAGATTTAATGAGAAAAATATTGTTGATATAAAAAGTTAATAAAAATCAACGAAACTAAAAAATTAAGTAAATATAGTTACAGAGTATATATAAATTCGAGTTAAATTTAAATATTCAGTTAATTTAAATAGTAATGCATAAATTTCTATTTTTTTTTAAATAACTTTATGATTTTTAGTATTGATTTTTAATTTGGCGAAATTCTAAAGTAAATAAAGAGGAATCTTGCAATGGCGCAAAAAGTGAAAGGAAAAAAATTGATTACTCTTCTTGTTTACTACCCAAGTGTAATTTACTACTTTTACATTCAGCAAATGGAAAAAAGCTCTGAATTTATAAATGTAGACCAGAGTTAGAAAACCTATGTTTTTGCTTATTTAAAGTCTGGGAACACAAATAACATACTGCGTAGGTGGATAAAAAGGATTCTTCTTATATAGTCTAGGAGTAAATTGATGACTAAAGTATAAAAGTATGTTTCGAGAATAAAATACGAAAATACTAGTTACTTCTTATTTTTATATTCTACTCTTTATGAATGTAGTAATTAATTAGTGCTTTTTAGGAATTTTTTCTGAATATTTTCTTGAAAATTTATTTCTATTTTTCAAAGAATAAATCGTGTGTTTTTTCAATACAGAATATGGAATCAATATTTTTTGCTATTACTCCTGAAAAAAAAAGATTTTTAATTTTTATTCCAACCATTTTTGCTAGAAAAGTTGGAACAGATTTTGAAGAAACTTTTTCTGCTTGCAAGTTTGCACTGCAAGTTTTCAGCAAACTTACTGATTAATTAGGTTGCGGGTCCCATACCAGACGTCGAATGACTGGCTATTGAATTGGAACGATCAATGCAATGATTACTTTTTTCTATTATGTCACTAATGACTTTTATTTTATTAAGCATGTTCATAATACGATCTTTTATAGGCTTTATGAATTTGAGAAAGGAATCTTTTATTTTTAAGTAATATTTCGGAAACAAAAGCCTTAAAAGCAATATGATTATAATTATAAACAATATCCAGAAAATTAATGACATTTTTTGCACCAAAGAATCTTGAGAATAATTTGTGTGAAGAAATATTTAATATAAAACGTTTACTCTTATAATAAGTTACTTATAAAAAGATGTTTTTAAATTAAAAATATTTTAACAAATTTTGTTTTATATTCAATATTGAAAATTTGAAACAAAAACTCACCTGCATAATCCGGATATGTTTCAGTTGCTGCAGCAATGCAAATAACAGCTATGAAGCAAGTTAAGATCCCCATAAATCGATTATTGAAAGTCATTGTGTTCATTATTTCTGAAAAAAATATACGATTTTGAAATTAATCAACTTTGTTAATTAATATACTGAGAAAAAAATTATTTTGATTCAAATAACTGATTATTTGACTTATTATCAATTAAATAATTTTTTAATTTAATTTTTGAAATATAAAAATTAAAAAGATTTTGAATAATTAAAATTTTTTAAAATTTAATTGAAAATAAATCATTTTTTCAAGTATTTTATTATAATTTTTAAAAATTAACTTTTATAGAATTTTAATTGAAAATTTTCTGTAACAATTGAATTTTCAAAAATTTTAGTGAATAATCTTCAAGTGTAAATTCATTAAAAATAAAAAATTAATGAAAATTAGGTTCTAAAAATAATATTAAAATAGTTTTGAAAAAACTAATTCTCCGAATTATTTTGTTCTACGTTTTTAACGTCAAATGTTTGAAAATTTATTTATAAATAATTTTTCTAATGAAATTTTTGAAAAATACAATTAAAAATATTTTGAATAATTTAAACTTCTTAAAATTTAATTGAAAATAAGTAATTCCCTTCAAGTATTTTATTACAATTATTGAAAATTAACTTTTTAAAGAATTTTAATTGAAAAATTTTGGAAATAATTTAATTCTCAAAAATTTTAATGAAAAATCTTCAATTTTAAATTTAATAAATAATGAATATTAAATGAAAATTACCTAGATTATAAAAATAATATTAAAATATTTTTCGAATAGAGTAATTCTCAGAATTTTTTCATTCTAATTTTTAAAAAATTCGCAATTGTTTTTATAACTTTTTCGATTACATATTTCCGAAAATTTTAAATATATAAAACAGAAACAATAACATTTTAGAATTATTTTTATTATTTTGAAAAAAAAAATTATGTTCATAATTTTTCAAAACATTTATTTACTTTTTTTTTAAATACGAAAATTCTTTTTAGAAATTAAATTATTTTTCGAAAAAATTACATTACAATATTACAAAATTCTAATTATTTTAAAAAAGATTTTATCAAATTTCAAGATTTTACCAAATTTAAATTATTTTTTCAAAAATTTTACCAAAATTCAATTGTTTTAAAAAGATTTTATCAAATTTCAATTATTTTTCAAAGATTTTACCAAAATTTAAATTATTTTAGAAAGATTTTATCAAATTTCAATTGTTTTTCAAAGATTTTACCAAAATTTCAATTATTTTAAAAAGATTTTATCAAATTTCAATTGTTTTTCAAAGATTTTACTAAACTTCAATTTTTTTAAAAACATTTTATCAAATTTCAAGATTTTACCAAATTTCAATTATTTTTTCAAAAATTTTACCAAAATTCAATTGTTTTAAAAAGATTTTACCAAAATTTCAATTATTTTTCAAACATATTTTACCAAATTTCAATTACTTTTCAAGAATTTTATCAAATTTCAATTAATTTTTAGAAGATTTTATCAAATTTCAATTATTTTTCAAGTATTTTACCAAATATCAATTATTTTTCAAAAGATTTTATCAAATTTCAATTTTTTGGACATTTTTTAATTGTATGTGATTTTAAAAATATTGTCTTTCAAAAATTATTTATAAATATTTAAAAAAAATTAATTTTAAGAATTTCTTTATTAAAATTTTTAAAAATATTCTACCTTAATATCTTTAAAAAGAAAAATGTACAGTTTCAATTAATTATAAAAAATTGAATTGTTGTATTTAAATAATTGAATTCTCGAAGAACTTTCGGAAAATTATTAAAAATTTAATTTAATTATTAAAAAAAATTTATAATCAAATTATAATAATTTATTAATTTACAATCTATTATTTTCAAGATTCTGTTATAAAGGTGAATTTAAAAAATAGATTTTTCGCACATATCTTAAAATTGTTATTGTTTGAAAGCTTTTCTGCATATTAAATTTTTTTATATCGCAGCAGGTGAACTTTAGAAAACGATTTAATTTTATATTTTAAAGTTTTAGGATTCAAGTTACTACTTGAAAGTAAAGTGCAAAACTATACTTTCTAATTGACCAATTTTCTTTTTCAGCAAAATTTTCTCCTTCATGAAATTCTACAATAAATGCCATGGCCTTAATCTCTCATATAGATATAGTTCATGTGCAACATAAAATTTCAATTATAAACTGAATATAATTTCAAGAATTCATAAAATGTATTATTATAATATTATTTCTTATTAAAAATAAATTATTCTTTCTATTTTCATAATAAAGTTTAAAATGAACATATAAACTTTGTTTTACGTAAAACATTTTATGCAATATTTTAATTTAAAAAAAAATGATCTTTTTCTATTCATTTAACATAATTAAGTTACTTTTTTTAATTATACAAATTCTAGGATGAAATTTAAAAGAAAATTATGAAAATTGAATTTTGAACCTGTGAGTTTTGTGGCTTGGAGTATCTCACAGTTAATACGTTTCTTTTTTTACTTTCGAGAAAAGGGAATATTTTTCTAAAGAATATATAAAGAGAAGATAATGACATCCTTTAAGGTATCAAGTCTTATGAAAAAAACGATATTCTCTTCTGATGAGTATGGAAGCACTAAACGTGGTTTTTCCCCGCTTCATCCATTATTGCTATCCAGCTCAACTTATAAATTTTTATATCTTTTGTACAAATCTTAATAAATTTAATTATTCTTTTATATCAAATTTCATTGTATTTCGAAAATTTCAGCAAAACTAGTTTTTAACAAAATTTAAAGTTAAAGTATTTTTGTTTATAAATTTTTAAAAATTTTAATAAAATTCTTCAAAATAATTCAATTATTTTCATAAATAATGACATTCTTCCTAAGAATTCAATTATTTTTATAAATAGTAACATTTTTTGCAAAAATTTAATTATTTTTAAACAAAATTTTAATAAAATTTCACAAACTTTTACGCAATTATTTTAATAACATCTCATAAAAAAATTCATTTTTTTAAAAATTTTAATAATATTTTTAGAGAAAGAATTCAATTATTTTCTCAAATTTTAATAACATTTCATGAAAAAATTCAATTTTAACAAATTTTTAATAACATTTTTGGAGAAAAAATTCAAATATTTTCTAAAATTTTAATAAATCCTTTGCGAATAATTCAATTATATTTATAAATAGAAAATTCTTATCAAAAATTTAATTATATTCAAAACAATTTCACGAAAATTCGATTATTTTCTAAAATTTTTGTAAATCCTTCAAAACAATTCAATTATTTTTTTAAATAGTAAAATTCTTTGAAAAAATTTAATTATTTTCAAAAAAATCAATTTTTTCCTTTATTCATTATAAAATTTTTCAAAAGAATTCAATTACTTTCTAAAATTTTAATAAAGTTCGCAAAAATTAAATGTTTAATTTCAATTTTTAAACATCAGGATTATTTAAAAAAACTTGAAACAAATTGTTCATAAAATTCAATTATATTTTCAAAATTTTTCATTAAAATTATTAAAGAAAATCCATTATATTTAAAAAAAAAAACAATTCGAATAGATTCTTCAAAAAGAATATAATTAGAATTTTCCAAAATTTTAAAAAAATTCTTCGTTAGAATTCAATTTTTTTTCTAAATATTAAAATTCTTCGAAGAAATTCTATTATTATTAAATTTTTTGATGAAATTCTCTGCAACAATTTGATGATTTAAAAAATTTAAGAAACAAGATCTACATATAGTAAAATTTTCGATTCCCGAAGAAAACATCAATTTAAAAATGAAATTTAAATTCAATCTAAAATATTGCTTTTATGATGTACAATGCTTAACAGCAGATGTGTGCATCATCGATATAAAAATTTATGATATTTCAGAAGCAAGAAACTTTGTTAACTTTTTTTATTATTATATAAAATTAGAAAAAATTTTAAGGCAAAAGAAAGATAAAGAGAATAAAAAGATAAAAGGAAACGAACATCAAAGGAAAGATTACCGAGTAATGATTTTTATACAAAAATAATAAAGTGTTATTAATAACTTCATTGTTAAATTTTTTAAATTAAACGTAAACTAAATTAATTTAACAAAAATTAATTTTAAATTTACTACTAACTATTTCAATTATAATTTCAAAAAAAGTAATAAAAATTTTAAAAAATTTTAAATTGTCTATTTTAATTATACTTCTGGCAATTTTTAAGAATATATTTTCATAATTTTAATAATACCTTTGCTTTTTTTTTGCGCGCTTGAATTGTTCGCAAAATAATTAGCTTAATTGAAGCATGAGTACCGGATTAGATAAAATATAATCTAATTAAAATTTAACAGTCAAAGAAATTTCTGCACTAAATTAGCATTGGAAAATTTTTTTTAATATATAGACACATTTACTATTTATTATTAATTTTCATCTCAATAATTCATTTAATTTAAATTTTCCTTTCTATACAAGTTTTAAAATTTATTTTTTAACTTTGGTATTTTCAATTTATTTTTTAATTATTTAAATAATAAATTTATTTATAATAATGAATAATAAAATAATAAAAAATAAACAAAAATAATAAATTTAAATAAATAAAAAAAATAATAAATTTATTTATAGAAGAATTTAAATAATATTTATTATTTTTGTGTTTAATTAATTTAATTGTAATTTATTCAAATTAGACTCGACGGTCAGAATTTTATTTTCTTGTATAAAAAAATTTTTTGGTTTAGAGAATTTAGAAAATTCTAACATAGAAATAATTTTCTAAGTGGCCTCAGATTCGTGACCTATTTTAAATAATCCACTGAGAAATGAAAAAAAGAGTTATTAGTAATAATTGTAATTAAAAAAGTAAAGCAGGTGCATCAAATAGTTAATTAACTTTTGTACGCATCACGTACATAAGAAATAATAAATTGTTGATTAAACTTGATAAAAATGATTCATTTTTTTGTAGGTATTTAAAATATTTTTGACTTGATTTATTATTTATGTAAAAGAAATGATTAGTCATTAATCCGAAAATAAAGAAAATTAGAAGGGTACCTAGTAGTAGGCAATTT